TATATATTGAAATAGATGCAGAATGTGCTCTACGCAGGTATCAAGCCAAACGTGACGGACGGTTACGATAATATTGCATGGACCGACTTCGCGATATCCGGGCAGGCCGAGGAAGGGGTAATGGAACATTTTATTGATAGCTTATTTATAATTAGGTTATACTAAAGTATTAATAGATACTTTGTTCATAAGGTAATATATAAATATAATACAGACGTAATGGTTACAAAAGAAATAATTGCGAAACTACTGATATGCTGATCGATCATTGTATTTGATTGGGATTTTATTCACTCGTACATTTTTAGTAAACCAAAAAATTACATTAATTAAATGATTTGTTCGTAACTGAGTGAGGATGAAATGAGGTAGGTAGAGAAGGGACAAGGCCCCGCACAAATATTCAGAAAAAGGAACGAGTGCGTAAGGTTGCGAAGTGAACGAGACTGAACGAAGACTGTAGAAGATAAGAACTGATATCTATTCATGAATATAGTGTTATTAACAGCCGGTCAATAACAGAATAAATGAGCTATAGAAAACAAATCCCATAAACTCAAGACATGTTTTCTAAAATTGGAAAAGCATAAACAGATAAGAGTATTCATTTGTCGTTGACTTAGGTATCTGTAATTATCTGAGTGTTACACTTAGCAGAATTTGGTTATTGTTATTGAGCTTAGCGCCATTAACAAGTTACTCACGAAATTAGCAATGGACTAAAAGGCGTTTATTAATAGTGATCTTTCAACTTACACCTTTCGAGCTATGTATTCTCCATCTATAGGTAACTATCTGTTTGAGGGGTTTGCGATCTATGCAGACTTTTAGCAGCCGAAGGGTGTAGACAGCCAAGAGCAGACATGAGAAAATGTTAGTTTACTTTGCCTTTACTTAATGTAAAAAACAGCATTTGTGTATAGGGTCTAGTAACACGTATATGAATAATTTATAGTCGAAAAATTTTACTGTCGCATTGTGGTGCTTTTCTTTATTATTATTATTATTATTATTAATACCCTGTTAGCTTAGTTAAGAAACATTATGATGTTTTTATTTGTTTTTATCCATTTGCGAATGTCACACCCCCTGTGAACTTTTAGGCCATGAAACAAGAGCGTCAGATAGATTACGTAGATTTTTTTATTTCGTCAAAAAATAAGCATGTATAGCAAGGAAATATAGCGTCATGCAGCGACTCTGTCCGTACTTCGTACTATACGAAGCGCAACCAAGATACGTTGTCCAATATGGCGACCAGCGTATCATTAGCTATAGTACAATTATAAAATCAATCCCACACGTAGTCGGCTTCAGGAACAATGTCGTCCATTCGTTTCAGCGTTTTCCGCATCGGCCAAGCGATAATATTATAACCAAACGAATGAAGAAGTGAACAGCGAACAAATATCCTTCGCCCGAAAAGTCGACCTCTACATAGTTAAAGTAATTGAAACGTTAATGCAGTTACCATTTTTTCAAAATTCCTAAACGATCACGCTAGGTGTGATGCTCGCAATAAATCTCTACGGCTAAAAACGTCTAATATATGGATTTTTGATAAAACTATTCTGTGTCCGATGTTTTTTCAGTTCCACTTATTTGTACGATCCCGTTATTATTAATCGAATACTTAATTTGCGGAAATCCCTCGTAAGCGTTCTTCACCGATTGCGAAAACAGTCATATTATATGAAACACTCTTCTTACATAAAAAGGCATCAATACATTGGATCATTATAACGACAAACTAACGGAAGAAAAGATGACAAAAAAAAAACAGAGTCTTAAATATATAAAAAACACTTACGATTATCTCTACGCGTATAACATTTTTCAATGCACTTCCTTATCTTGTCTTACATCGTCTGCATCTACTTCGCCATCATCATTATAATGGCTGACTAGTCTCACGGACTCAGCGGGTGTCATGCGAAGACCGAAGTTATACACTTTATTATCGTTTTAACACCGACCGGACAACAGGTGAAGCGGGTGCGGGGCTAAGTGTCCACGTCGCGGACGCTGGGTGATGACAAAATTAGGTAATCATAATCAAATGAAAATAACTATACTGCCGATATTAACGGTGATATAGTTATTTAACAAATATGACGATATTACATTATAGAGAGTGTAAGGTTTTGTATCTTTTGAGCAAATATCTCAAATAGAATAGTTCACAGTGGTTCGCTTCGATGCAAGTGTCGGCAGTTGCTAACTAGATTTGACTAGTGCCATCAATAAGCTTTTTTTTTAAAATAAGCTGTTTCACTCTAAAACGATAGAATCTCACCTGCAGGTTCCTATTTGTATGGAATAAATATATGATACATATGACATTAACGAGGTTATGGCGGGTGACAATGAAGATATGGAAGCACCTCAGAGCTTTTTTTTTTTTTATTTCTCTTTCTAAAGTGTTCTGTCTAACAAAACATGTCAATGGGCTTCTTTGGTGGCTGTCACTTTTCCTTGACCTAGACTAACGTAGAAATACCTTGACGGGTTATTACATTTTCCATAGTTTCGACGAGAAAATTATATTAAGCAATAAAAATAGCAGCTAGTTTATAAGCTACCTTGCTTCAAGTTTCCAGCTATAAATTAATTTCATTTGAAGATAGTCTTAGATTGATATTTGCTTTCCGTCGGACTACTTTATGATTACGCGTTGCTGTATTCTTTTTGTTTTCCAGATCTCGGCACGCTCTCTCTCTCTCTCTCTCTCTCTCTCTATATATATATATATATATATATATTTATATACACTTGCATAGATATACACTTGCAAGTATATATCTAAAACCAAACACTTACTCTAAGTTATGTAAACTACTATTGGACGACTGATGAAGCACCATTAATACTGCCAATAAAGAAACCCTAAGGAAAATTTTTTTTAGTTTTTTAGGGTTTTAAATAGAAACTAAAAAACATTGATATTAACATTTTATTAAAACTTTGCTAAAGCGGAGACTTGTGTTTAATGTACATTCCCGCGAGGCCGGTATCGAGGTCGAGCGGAAAAAGCTTCGCGTAAGCAAAATATATGTAAACTCATATAACAACCTAATCTTTAAGGCATAGGAAGGTAATTTTTTCCAAGCTCTAGATCTGTGGTGCATAGATCAGAAGACATATTGTGGTAGGATTTGCAACTCCTTTGAGCTACAAGAAAGTACACTATAAGGACATCAACGCGGGCCTCCAGACGGGATCTACTCACAGCGATGTTCTTGGAAGAGCGCGATCACACACTTTCGTACACTCTTATTCAATATAAGCAAGGTTCACATCTATGAGATCAAAAATGTAGAAGGCTTACATGCGTATAATTTGTCGAATTGCTTATACAATACGACATGGTTAATCTCTCATAAACAAATGTCAATATAGATTAGAACGCACGATACATTTTATATGTACTAAAGGTGTATATAGTTCATTTATAGATTTTCACGATTGTTTTGAGCTGCGTATTGTCGTTACGTTTCGTTATCGCTACTTCAGTCTGTATCTCTCTGTGATTTATCTTCCTTATCCGTTTTCCTTCGTTTCTATTTCCTTCAGGCATTTCAAATTCTAGCACCACCGTCATCTATTTTTTTGTCGAGTCATCATCCTGTTTACGTTAATGTCCGGCGCTTCACCGCTCAACACCGCTGCCTGTGGTGCCGATTTCCCGTCGTGGAAAGTGTTGCCGTCGACAAACATAAGAATCCACAATCAGCTAACCCGCCGATAGAGCTTCTGTGCCCGGCCGTTATCGAAGGCGCTTCTGTTGCTTAATCATTCACTGATGGCTGGGTTGCGCTATATTCCAGCCGCTGGGCTCTGAGCCGCCGACAAACTCAGGCGCCGCCTTGTTGCTTAGTCGCCTCTGCACCGCCCCTGGAACGCTGGTGGTGGGCCTGTCAAACACAGGCCAATCTTGTTAGCTATATAGTGTGTGTGACGTGTGTCCGTAGTAGACGCTACTGAAAAGCCGGAAAGTTGACGACGTTTTATTGGTGGATGCTTAGATCGGAAATTCGCTCTAAGCAAAGTGTCGACTTGAACGAGCTACCGCAGACAGAGCTATCATGGTAAGCGCTGCGGGTTAGCTAGGAGCTAGCCTAGTGGTTATTTCAATGTGTTCCAGGGGACTGAAAGCTGAAATTTGTCGAGTGGATTATAGGCTGTCGATCAGAGAATGGTCCGTAGGCAGACAGGGAAGGTGGCGCTGTTGCTGGTGTAGTGACCTGCGACGATGTGTGTTTCGCCGCACGAGCTGTTTGCTCGTTTGACAGGAGTAGCAATAATAACAGCTGAGTCAGTGATGTGTGAAACTGGCTCTTAGCGAATTGTTGACCGTGTTCATCTATTATCCTCGCTGGCGTAATACTGTGCCTATGTTTGATCATAGCTCCGGTCGTTCGGAACTTCTCGACGAGCTCCGCAGCTCATATGGTTCATTACTGTATTAAAAATTCCACTTAGAGTACCTATTGCGGTTGGCATAATTGTGAACTCGATAGGAAATTGTCATTGGTCCACGAGTAGATGCAAAGTGATGACATCAAGTCAAGCAAAAAGATAGTCCGTATGTTCGAAGATGATGTCGGGCTGATTTTTTTTTTACTTTACAAGATTATATAGTATGATATGGTGAAGCTTATTGATTCTGTAGGGCGATTTTATTGGGATTAGGAAATCTTAAAGGATAAGATTTTTGTAGGTTAACTACAGAAAATAGCTTAATCAGATAAAATTCGTAACGTTTCTTAGCCTTAAAGCCACGTTGACGTAAGTAAGGTCACTAAACTAGACAGGAATATAGACAAATTACGCACCTTGCAATCGAACGTCATCGGTCATAGGGGTACCATGGCCCTAAACAAACTTCGTATTCTGTATTTTTCGTACAAGTCGCGCTCATCGTCAGGTCGTTTTTTATAATGCTAATACTAATAGACATTTTTGCTTTGTATGCAGGCGACTTTGAAACCATATCTGAACGCAGTTCGACAGACGCTTAACGCGGCGATGTGCGTTGAAAATTTCAACTCACAGGTGGGTAGCAGCAGTGATACCTCTTTATCTTTGTCAGCGTATAACGAATTAAAAAATTACGTCTAAGACCATGTCTTTTTACTAACTTCTTCCATATGTAAAGTGGTAGAATTTTAGATTTAGTTAAACCTTGAAGAAATTCGGCTTAAGGAGTGAAAATAATTAGTGCCTATTCCATTTTTTTTTTTTTCTCTGTGCAAAGGTGGTCGAACGACATAACAAACCGGAAGTGGAGGTTCGAGGTAACAAGGAACTCCTATTGCGGCCTGTCACTGTTTCACGTAACGATAAGGAACGTGTTCTCATCGAACCGAGCATTAATTCGATACGGTATGAACATGACTACTATGGCTATCGATATTATAGGAATTAGTCTTAATCTATCTGCATGGTACGGAAAAAGCGTATTACTTCAGGATGAGAATGTATTTGGTATTGATGAATCAACAACATATCCCAAAACGTGCAGCAAATTGTAACAAATCGAGCTAGGATTCTATGTAGAATGGCATTCCACAATGTAAGCCTGTCGTTGCAATTTTCGTTAGGAGGTTGAAGTGGGCTCAGTTATTACCACAGGCTGCTAGATGACCTCCATCGTAATACCTCACTGTTGAAACACATGCTAATTCAATATACAGGGGCTAAGAACCGTAAACTACAAAAGTGCCACGTGTCTGATTATGACCATACATTGCTAACGTATATATTCGTCTTTGCTCGTCCATTGACGTTCACACAGGGTGTCAATCGCGGTGAAGCAGGCCGACGAAATCGAGAAAATTCTTTGCCACAAATTTATGCGATTCATGATGATGAGAGCGGAAAGTTTCATCATTCTTCGACGAAAGCCTATTGAGGGTTACGACATCTCCTTCCTCATCACTAATTTTCATACGGAAGTGATGTTCAAAAATAAGGTGAGCACGTCAGAAATCGTTAACGTAGTTGTAATAGGACTCTTTTTATTCTCTATTACCTAATAATCTATCATTTTTATAATATTGCTTTATTTATTTTTTATATTCTACTTTGAATGCACAAAAGAAAGCGCCACTTGTATATTACTCGTTATTTATTCACTCTTAGTAACTGCTTCGTTATCAGCAATAAGTGGTATGGTAGAATACAACACACCAAAATATAATTTATAAGAAACCTTGGAATCAAATTAAATGTTACCTGGATAGCGCTGCATAGATTAGATGGATGTTCGTGTACAGTTGATTTTGGTTAAATAAATATTGATTTGGAGCCTATATTTATTCTTAAAGACCTGTTTACCAGAAACCGAAATCTATAATATTATCTTAGAATATCACTGAATGTGCTCAAGCAAATTACTTTGCTTATTTGCTAGCATCGGTCCATAGAATTTTAGAAGAAGCCGACAGGGTTAGTAATTGCGTGTTTGGTGTTACAGTTGGTGGACTTTGTGATCCATTTTATGGAGGAGATCGACAAAGAGATTTCAGAAATGAAGTTAGCATTAAACGCACGAGCTCGAATATCCGCTGAGGAGTTCCTCAAAAGGGTCAGTAATTTACACCAAAATAAACGTAAACATCCACAACGTTCCGACAATGCGACGCTTTTCAATACATTAGCTAAGCTGTGTCTTGATATCTTCGTCAAGAAAACCTTACTTTTTAAGGTTGTTCAGGTACAAGCGCACTTTCGGATTTACATTGTATATAACAGAACCATTTTCTTCCACTGTGTTTCTTTCAGTTTTGATCACAGCAGATAATCAATAGGCCCAATTAAAAATAGGATGAACCTCCTAAAAAAAGGCGGACGATAAAACAAGGAAGCCTGAACAGTGAGCGCAATGCGAAGTATAGGATGGGAGAAGCAGGTTAAGCTTCTGTCGGCCTCCAACACTAATTTAAGCACAAGCAAAACGAACTGGGACGTAATGTGGTAGCATTTGCTGATTGGTCTAATGTATGACACACATACATCTATATACACATAAAACATTTTATATAGCCATTATTCAGGATAGTATATTTATGAAACTAATTATCATTAGTTATTACTATAATAACGATTATTACACACATTGTACATGAAGAATAACTGTGACAAAATGTGCGAACTGAAGATGGGTAGAGAACGCTACCAATAGTGATTACGATGGAATACGAGTAATGAGAACGCCAAGATAATGATCATGGCGAAACAAAAAAAAAATACAAAGAGTTGAAACGATGCCTGCTTTACAATGTAAGAATGTGTAAGGAAAAAATACATTTCTGGTTGTTTGTAATTTCTTCTTGAAATAAAGTAGGTTGGTCTTCATTTCTATGTATTATCCGTAAGTGATACTTAGATAGACAAAGGGCAAGGAAGTACTACTAGATCAAAATGCAAGACCTCGTAGTCTGCAGTAGATCGCTAAAAAGAGCTTTCTCCTTATTGGAATTTATTTAATGAGTTAACTAGATATAGTTATAGATGTACCTTGTTGCCTAATAACTAACCTCCATTTACGATGTCATATTATAGATGTATAACAAGTGTGATATAAAGATATTTTATTCAGCTGGCTGAATCTGGTAAGGTTTCGAAGTTGTCATTTGATCAATTCACTTGGCACTCACGTTATCGGGCCCACGTAGTCAAGGCTCATAACGGTGTAAAACAATACAAAGGCACATACAGCATACACCATGCCATTTAAAAATAGCACACGACCTCTAATCGTGCAACCAAAGACAAAACAGATCGTTTTGTATAAAACATACATTTATTATGAAATCGTCAAAATGCATTTTGTCGACCGTTTTTGTGACCAAATGAATAAACTATGCCTGCTTTCCCGGTTGAAAACGACAACCATTTGTTGTTAATAAATTAAATATTTCTCTTTTTCTATTAACATCTGTTATCGTGTTATTCGCTCACGGTTATAATAACATACAACAATTAATATAAAGTGTCATTAATTTTGTGTCACTGTGTTAATTTTCCTTCTAACATTTTCCTGTAACTGCTTAAACGGTTCTTTTCGGCTGGGCTTCGGCTTTTCTTTTCTTGAATACTATACGACTGTAACATACAGTATTCGTGCCATCTTAACATAAAAAAATACTCATTGCCACAGCATGATTAGGTAAGGCACGTTCCTATACAGATGTCTACATACACAACGTGCATAGCGAATCTACAAACACTTATATAAATACACGGTCACAGAATTTTATGCCATAAAACGTACGCACTTCCATATCGATGTTTCTATCCGCAACACACACGCAATGAAAGGATTAGGTAAAAATAATTAATCTGTGTCACATCTCGTTTGAAAGGATGGATGTATTCTTTCACAGGAAGAAAAATATTTCACTGCATTAACAACAATATCGTAACACTTGGCAAAAGGGTTCATATCTTTTAGCCAAACTTTTCAATAAAGACTGCAATTGCATCTTTAAAAGTATAACACCAACAATTGCGTCAGCTAGTAATAACATTCTTAAGGCTGAGCAGGTCTTTATTCCTACACTCTTAATTAACAGGACGAGGCACAAAACCTCAAATAAATATTTAAACTTTTCAGAAGAAAGATTCAAATTCGAAAAAAGTAACCGTGTGTTTGCAAAATGCATAGCAAGAATCAGTATCTTGAGCTGGTTCCAATGATCGAATTTAAGAGTACACTGAATAATTTCCACAATAAATGTGCTATTGAACTCATGACTGTACTCATGGCTTTCAGCCAAAAGAGTCTTCCTGTTTCTCCATTTCGTTTGCAGAGCTTTTCTCGAGCGTATGTTTCACAACTAACTGTACAATACAAACACATCTTGTTTCAACAGATTATATATATATATATATAACCGTCTTCAAAAAAAATGCAGAACCTGCCGCTTCCAGTAATTCGGAAGCAGAGGCTTCGGTTTACCGAATTTGCCTGAACAGTCTATTTCAGAGCTATTATAACATCTCCGAGTGCCTGTTTGGCTCGATAGCACTGATCGAATCCTTCGATATTACCAAGGCATACGTCGACATATGTATGAAGCTGCTGACGGGCCTCTTCGACGACCCCAGAGCTCAGAATCTGTGTGTACAGATCAGCGTAATCAATGCGGTTGGCGTCGTGGGTTTCCAACGCTGAGGTTTCGAGTGCAGCATAGATGTGCGGATTCCGTTGCAGGTGTAGCATAACAGGGAACGACGTCAAATCGAACGGAGTACCTACATTGAAAGAATTAACAAATCGACAATATTAGGCCATCCGTATATTAGTCTATTGCTCAGAGGTGAGAAAAGATTCTAACGCGTAAAGCAATTCCAGATCTCCGGTCGGATTTGCCAACAGGGAGCATGATGCTAATTAGAAATGATGTGAACGTTGAATAATGTTGGTTTCGTCCGAGTTGCTCTAGCCTAGCCTAGACTAGCGCAAAAGTGAGTAGCAGGTACAATAATAGTCATTATTATTTATAAGAATGAAATCGTTTGCTAGAATTATCGAACAGTGAGGCTTTAACATGTTCCACTACTTAACGTATTTGTATTTAAACCACTGACACCGTAATCTTCGAGGGGTTAAAGCAGGTATTTACCGTTCGGTTGGCCTAGGAGATTGACAAAAGGTTCCAACTCATCATGAAGCTGCCACGCAAAACCCAGACTTCGACCGAACTCCTTAGCACGACGCTGAACTGCTCCACCATGCCCTCCCATAATGACCGCTGATTGACACGCATGGGCCAAAAGAGAACCTGCAACGGTGCGAAACACAAAAGACTATTTGTGACTGTGTGTCTTTACAGTGAAAATAGCGTTATGTTGGCAATATCGATTTAAAGAAGCTGAAAACTCAACAAAGGCATATACAAACAAAATCAATCTTGGAACTTGCACGGTGCTTAAAAATTATCCACCTTCATGTTAACAGCTTTTCACACTATTGTGGCATTATAGACAACCATTAAGGGCTGGCGTGGTCTGGGTGGCTAATATATGTTCCCATGACAATCATAAGCGTACGTTGACCGCTGGCTTAAATTTCAACGTTGGCGTATACTTTGTTGGTAGGTCTGCTGGAGAAAAATCCAGATAAGTTCAGCAGTACCCATAGACCGGATAGCAACTGATGCAAAATAACATGGCCCATTGTACTTCATATCAAAGTTGCATCTCCACTGTAAGTCTGGCTTTTTCGGATCTAGGACCGGGGGGGGGGGGGGACTAAAACGAGCCAGTTATACCCTAGACCTCCTTCTAAATGAATGATTCCCATACTAATACCTCTCGGTTTAGATCTGAAATGATTCAATATAGGCGTAGAACTTGAGAGTTAGCCGCGTCTCGATAATCTCTATTTATGTAGACAACTGTGATTATGCGCGTTATAGCGTACCTGTGTTAAGGAAAATACGATTCTCCCAGGCATTTAAGTCCATACAGGGTGGTGGGTAGGGCTTTCCGAAAGAATCGTGACGAACCACAAATTCACTTTTCATAAAGTCTCCGATAGAAGTTGCAATTAACTCCAATACCTGAAAACAAACGAAATTTTTAGATATATTTATATATATATATATAGTGTGGGGCAATCAAATTCGGATAAACTTTGGCTAACTGATTGTAACAGCGAGCATGCGTGCACTCGCTATTTTGGTATCACAAAACAATTCATTCTTAAATACAACAATAAATCTTCCCATCTCAAAAACAATATGTCGTTCCTGGAACTCGAGTGAGGATCAACTGTTATTTTATCCTTCCGTGTTGGATGGATCTCCACCGAGACTGAAGCTTTCTAATTATTGCGTTTTCATAAGTCCGAGGAAGACTGGCGTCTTCTAGCCCTGATAGACAGTATTGTTCCACTTCATTATTACTTGTGTTTTTACGTCGAGTACTTAAGCCTTTAGACATTTCTTCAAAAATCTTCTTGCACGAAACGAAATGTATTTACGCCCGGATTCAAACCTAGCCCACTACGTCTTTCAAGCTTTGGCAGGCATATAAAAGTGGGTACTTCGTCATTATTACCACATCGTTAAATTGCGCTTCGGTCTTGGAAATCCGTGTTGCTATTGTACACTTCTGGATGTGTACACTTTTCCAAAAGCAAACGTTTTTTTTTTTTTTTTTTTAACTCAAATGAAATTACTCTTGTTGCTCTTCGTAGGTACATTAATTCGAGGAAGTAAAGCTTTGAACCTACTAATATTTGTTACTTACTTTAATTGGCCAAAATAGTATCAGTTTTTTTTAGCTTACGCTAATACGTCACCGCTTCACTACCTGAAGAGGACTCATACGTTGAGCCTACCTTGCAATCATTGAGTTCCGCAGTCATTTTAGATGCGTTAGCTATAAGAATGTCTCCAACGAGTATAGCAATCTTATTTCCGTATTGCAGTTCGTTAAGAAGGGATGGATCCGTAATCAGTTCTCGAGATACGTTTAACACGTCACTGTAACACAGACAATATAACGACACAACTCTTCTTATTTGATCTCTTTGGCCCGTCCATTATTTGACAAGCCTTTAACTTCTATTCGAAAACTTTAGTTTATAAAGAATTTCAGGCATCGGATTTTCTCAATTCATACTTGCTATTTCTATGTTTTCACAGTTCTACTTAAGCTAGAGTGCCCTATATAAGTCTATTGTATTTGTGGATCAAAAACAACTGTGTGTTGCACAGGTGTAAATTGTGCGTACACTCTTCAGTATCGTATATTAAATATGTGAAAATCGGTGAGTTTATGTTTCAGGGGGCTTTGGGCTTCTTTCAGCAGGGCCTTAGAATTCAAAGAAAGTAACGCTACAACATGCTGTCATAAAACAACGATGTACCAACCAAACAACTCGACTTTCGCTTAAGATAAAAGTCGCCGTAAAATTTCGCCGCTTTTGCTTACGCTATCTGGAAAATGTCATGAAAAAATTAATTATGGAAATTGAAAAAAATAGACGATTGTTGCTTCTGGCAATCAAACTATCGTACGTATTTTTTTCGAGCAGCTGCTCAATCAATCAATCGTCTTAGTATACGTAGCGGCCTAACTGTTAATGGCGGTTTTGTTTCTCTGAGACCTACCGATGGATTAGATGTGAAGTGTAAACCATCTCGACAATTTCGGCCATCGATTTTTGACGCTGCGTTACTCCATAGACACACGCCTCTTCGAATTCCTCGTTTAACACCTGAGGACTTCCTTCGATATGGCCAGCGCAACGAGATAACAGCAATACAACCAAACCTCGCGTTTGCAGCGTATTCTGGCCATGTTGAGTCAGGTTCCTGCGAGGTCGACGAAAATCAACAAGTCGCCAGTTCCGGCAATTCGTTTGAAGCACAAATAACAGTTTTCGTCTAATCAGGTCTAGTCAAGGATGCACGCATCGAAGCATCTTCAGATACAAGAAACAACTGAAGGACCTGTTTTATGATAAACACCAGGATGAAAGCTCGCTGGATTTTGACTGTATGCACAGGTAAAAAAATAGTGTTAACACTTGATGTTGCTGGCTGTTTATACAAAATTCGTGTACAATCTCCTAAATGAAATTTCCTGTCTATCCCCTAGTTCTATGTTATTTGATAGTCACCTTCCATTTCCGTATAGAACGCTTCCTCCTGCTGGATATATTATATAGTTAATTGCTATTCATTAACAACTCTGCTCATATATAGTAAACATACGTGATGGTTTTGATCACAGGGTGCGTGGTATTGAGCAGCTTCCGAAGATGACTCGCTGCACCCACGCCCGTCTCGCTCGTTAGCAGTTTTTCCGTGAAGGTAGAATGCGACGTACCTGCAATGACAGAGATTCCGTGTATATATATATATATATATATAGATGTATGGATGTTTTAAAAAGCGAATGATCTAACCAGATGACTAATAGTAACTTTTTGGATAGTGACAATCACAACGGTATTTTTTCATGGAGACATCTCCCAAATATAGAGCTGTTCATACTTATCCTAGCGAGTCGCAGACGGTGGCACGTACGAGCTGCGATATTACCACTGCGTTATGAACAGCGTGAAGGAAATCGCGATGTAAGGGAGGGGGAACAGTACAGAATCCCTCTCAATTTAGTACGACAATCAAATAATGCGATTTTTGTAACTTACCTACAATTTTCTCAGCGTTAGAGATCGCTTTGTGCCATCTTGCTTGTCGGTGATCGTCTGAGATGGCATTCAACGAATACGAAGATAAGACCCCTTGCGGTGGGTTTGTAGGGATTCCCTCTAATGAGCGAAGAAGCACGCGCCTCTGTGGGAGACACTGCGCTACTATACGATACATGGCAGCTCCGATAAATTATGTTAAGCTAGAAAGGTATTTTAAAAAAAAATAGTTAACAAAATGTCAAAAATGCAACAATGTTGTTTAACGAGTAGCAAGAAATAGATAGATTACGCAGCCATAAGTTAGAGCTCACCAATTTAGTACATCAGAGCAACACGTTGATAAAGGACGAATTAAGGGTGAAGCTTCGTTTTATTCATTTCAAGTTTAATTATCTATATGTTTTGTTGTCCACACAAAAAGGTAGAATCAGATACGTGCCAGTGTCCTCTGTATCATAGATTGAAACTTGTAGGTTTTAGGTGGCAGAAGAATGATAGGGAAGTCGTTCCATACAGATATCATTAAAAATTGATAAAAAAAATTGAAAGGTCCGCAGCTTATAATCAGATAATGGTAAATATATTTAATATACTAGGATATCAACTAGCTGAAGCAGGACGGTCTGTCTTGCGGTCTGCCTAGCTTGGCGGGTAGTCTGCGCCACCTTGAGCGCGTGGCTACGGTAACCATAGCTATCCGGTACGTTGCTACACTAATTGAGATTTCAGAGTTGACGAAAACGATTACTAAAAATCAATAGCCAGGAAGATAAGGAATTAATGAGAAAATTACCAATTATTATTTATTACTATTACAAAGGCAGCAAAAATAGAATACGAAAGCGGAATCTAACTCAACAGATGGCCATGTTTTGACAAATAATCACAATAACACTAATACTCGTATAACATTTACGATTATTTATTTCAGTAAACGAGCCAAACATATCACACTATGTATTTCAATGAGTTGACGAAGGTAGCTACAAACACACTGTGGGACTTCTCACTTTTGCTTGCCTCCTGTCGCCATAAAAAACCGACCATGGAACTGCACGGAAGAATCGCCTACTTCTGTACCGCGTTTCTGCCCAAAGCTATACGTATAATATTTAATAACATCAAAACGACTGGCGAAAACAGATTAAACCGACTCCCTAAAAAAACTCCGCCGGAAAACAAGTAATTCCTCTTCAAAGCCATAGCACACATGTTCGCCATATGAAATCGTAATTTCACTGCTGCTCCATGAAGGCAACACCGGCCTTCTCATTTATTCAGATTATACGAAATCGCAAACACAAAGCCGGCCCACGAAGGCAATGCCTTATTACCGCCACTCACTGACATATGCGTATTTACTCCTACAGCGTGTACCTGATTTGCCAACTTTCCGAGAAATCGAATCCACAAATTAAACATTAATGAAACATGCTTTCCGCTGGGTTCGAAAATCACACTATTACTTACAAATGCTCTCAAAATGTTGCGTTTGTCAATGAAAATTTAAAAAAAAAAGTTCTTTTACGCGACCGACTGCAAATACTCACTGTATCAGACAAGCTACAAATTCAATGTCCACCACTACCCACTGTGTTACTGGGTCACCAGATCTTCATCTGCTTTTTCACACACGCCGCTACGCAGACACAGCAAGACATTGGTAATGACCAAACGGCCACTCAGCACAAAGAGCCGGCAGACACGCGAAGCTACGGTCTTCGTCTTCAGCACCGATGCTTTCATAACCCCATTTCGAATTTGATGAAGAGCCAAACGAACGAACAGACCGCTGATGGAAAGACGAATGAATGATACTCAGCTGGCAGAAATGCAACTGACTCCTTTCCTGCTTCCCGAACTTGCGGGAGAGAGAGAGAGAGAGAGAGAAAGAACAATCAGAGGGGAGGAGCAAAAACCCGCCAAAACACGAAACCGTATCGCGGGGTTCCTAACGATGGAGCTACCTATTATTGTTGAATGTCAAATGTTACAGGAAGCTGGAAATCTATGTAGCTGTTAAGGTTACAAGACGTATGATGTTAACACGACTGTGTTGATATTTGAAAAGATTTGAGTCGTTGAAGAGGATGGGGCAAAGAGGCTGGCCGTTGCTAGCAGTGGATGAAACATTAAGCGCAAATAGTTTGATTAAGACTATGTTTCAAATACGATTTCAAACAATAATTAAATGCGTTTTTCACTTGATTCAACAGGCATGCTATTACTTTCACCGCATCATTCGGATACTATATGCTTATGACAATAGGGAACGATTATGGGTCCGAACGGCGCATTGATTGCCACCTTCTCGCTGCCGTCATTGGTCTCAGTTGTTAAATACTGACCAGAGTAATTCACTGTCTTTACTATCGCTTACCTCCGTCGGCCCACTAGCAGCCAAATATTTTCTTCATCTAGCCATTGCACAGAAGAAACAGATAGGCAAATTGAATAATATCATTTTGCCTTTATTTTCAACACCTACGTGCGATATATAGATACATATAACGCCATGTTTCGCGCGTCTTGCTCAAAATGTTCATCAACAACATTGAGGTATCGACCGACCGTTTCTTCGAAGTTAATTTCGAGTCTTTAACATCTTTCGTTGGCCTCGACGGGCCAAGCTAATTCCAAATGTTAGCGGTAAACCCTATATTCATCAGACCGACCTTGGCCACCAATTGCGCTGCCTTGCTGTAACTCTGCGTAGACCCAAGACCTTAAATACGCTTGGATACTGGTATTATTCTCCAACCCTTAGCAACAACAACCACAATAGCTCCGGGTGTCGTCTGTCACCGTAACCGCGGCGGGTCTTCTAGCTCATCCGGTCCTATCTGGGCCACCTCTGCTGCTGATGCCTTTGCCGATGGCCCATCTATCGGACATGCCGTCATAGTGAGCTCGGATCGAATCCTGTTCATCCATTTCCCTATAGGCTGGTTCATCTGTCCGTCTGCTCTATTAATTTTGGTTCTTCTGCTAATTACAAAGAGAGAGTGGAGTTGTTATAGGGCAAAGTGGCAACGGCAAGAGGGGCAGCAGCTTGAGAGGTTAGACAGCAGAAGCTGCGATTTACTCCCTGGTGCATCTGGTATCGTGACGACTCTTGTGTGTTTGCGGTGTAGAGCTCTTGTTCGATTCGGTGGGCGGTACCCGGTGCAACTGTCAACGATCGTTGGATCGGTGGTGGGTCGATTCGTGCGCGTGGCTGTTTTTTTTTTACGATTACTGACCGTCCGTTTTCCCGGTTCCGACTATATGTAGGCCCTGCTCATTCGTCAATAAAGTGAGTGTGTGCGTCGCTTAGCTGGGTATGGTTTATTAACGCTGATGGCACCTCTAGCGTATGGTGCGATAATGAGCTAGGACGGTGATGTCTATACGAAGATGAGGGAAAAGATCCGGCGGGGGTTTCATGTTAATTCCCATCAACGATAACGCAGAATAGGCTACGGTGAGTAAGCGCTGGGTAACAAAGGTGGACGAGGGAAATAGGAATGAAAACCATATACCAATAATTTACATTTTAGTGGTATAACGGTAATGGGTATGAGGTTGGTGATTAAGTAGAATGAAGCTAATAGAGTTGCTTCTGTGAGAGATATATACACACGATGGAAACAATAGTCAAAAACAATGCTAGTAACATATCGACAATTTCGTTGTAAGAAATAACGTGGTCATTTCGCTAATTACCAGTTTACTAATGGACAGAAAATCAGAGGCTCATTATCTGGATAAAATATTCATAAAGACATAAGACACTCGAGAATAGAATTCATTAGGAGATATCGAGTATCTTATACCGGGTTCGGCAACAGCTTTAAACCCGGACGCCACACTGGCTTGACTGGTTGAAGTTGGCGTAGAGCCATTAAAAACTCTGCCTTCTTGGATGATTTACAAAATTTGACAAAGTCTGTCAATGAGATTCGCAGTAGGAAGCTATCATTTTGTGGGCGCACCATGTTGTTTGCTTGTGTGTTAATGAAAAAGTCGCGGTAATGAAACCTGATCCGAGAGAAATCTACGAGCACAAACTTGCAAACATCAAAAGAGTCGGATCATGCTCTGGTTCAAGGACACCGGAGTCAGAGAGCGTCAGCTAAGGGAAACGCGGGAAGGTAGTTCTATCTAATAACTGACATATTGGGAGTGAAAAAAAATCTGTTTTCAGCCGTCTCATCCAACGAAAACGCAAGTGAATTATTTTGCGACTTTGTGCTTCTGAAGGGCGAATAAAGATGGCTAAAAAAAAAAAAAATGGTGAATACAACTAAAGTTACCGGAGGGTGCAACTTTAATTGCGTTTTAGCACCGGTGAAATAGGCATCGTGAAATGCCACCGTAACCACCTGGCAATAAGTAATAGTACGCATTTTATGGCTGATAGAAACCAAGTGTTTTTTTGCCGCGTATCGTGTAATACTTCTACAGGGAAGCATTGACATGTTGTGGTAATGGCTACACATCTGCTGCATTGGTCTTCTTCTATTACCTTAGCCCCCAAAAAGGTTCCTCAAAAAAGAGATATATTTCTACGCTAGTAGAAGGAAGCGTGGAACGAGCCGTTTGGGGCCTCGTTATGCTACATTAAACACTGTCCGGAATCTTTGTGATTTAAATGGTTATTTGGTGATGACGCGAAAGTAATTGAATACACTGGGTGCGTTTTTGCTGCTTGGTGCATTTTTTTAGGTATTAGCTTTTAGAAGAGTCTGAGGGACTTAGCTGGTGCAATAAATTAAACCTAGACTTTATTATGACACCTTGCGAAACATATTATTGATAAAGCAGACGATCCGATTTTGCAATATATGAGTATATTTCTAAGCTACTATCCTAGTTATAAATAAATCGTTCAGCTACTTAATCGCTTCCACTCATTTATTGCCAATTGAATATTGATCATATGATTGGTCCATCTTTTTTTCAATTCCAGAATATCTGGAAAACAATAGAGGGATTAATTCAAGTCGAAACAATTTCCACCAGCAGTTAGTGACCGATTGCGCCTCAGCTTACGAGTTCTACCTATGTCCTCGTTCAATTTTCCTTTTTGTATCCAGCTGTAAAGTGACTAACCCACAGTGGCATACCGCTTAGCTATTGGTAGTTGCAATGGTTGCAGTAGAAACAGCAGAGCGATACGTGATGAACAAACATACGTATGCTAATCAACATTATTCTAGAATAACCCATGCCATCGTTGCCCTCCATACTCCTTTTGTTGGTGCTGCACTATCGCACAGGATAATATACAGAACGCTACTTGACATTTTACAAGCTATGGGGCCGCTTTCATTGTTTACATTTAATTTGATTTATTAAATAGCTTGTTCGACTCGTTCTGCTTCACAATGGGCGAGGTGCTAGTGGTAGTTAAATATCCGACATGTCAACGCGCACGGTCCTTAACGGGTGAAGAATCCGCGAAGGAGGTTTTGCCCGCTGTGTCTGAAACACCGTTACCCACAAGCTTCGTAAGAGCCCCTAAGGCACTAGTTACTCGTAATAAACATTAAACATCCAATTTTCTAAAGGCCAATGTGATAATGTTTTAGTTTGCGACGCTCTTCTGCTACCGTATAGAGTTGTAACCGGCTGATGTTTAGAAAATGACTTCGAGAGATCGGTTCATTTTGAAATTAATTCATGGCTTTATAATAACTTATAGTTGATTAAAAAAAATTTATTTTTTATTCCTCTGACAGTTGTCTGGTATCGGCGGTGCACTCGGGTCAATTAATCGCCGATGTCATTCGAACCGCACGGCAAGAAGGAACAGTACCTATGAATCTGTATCTAAAAGAACCCTAAGGGGAATGTAAAGAGAAAACGCATATGGCGTACGAGGAACCACGCCAGAAGTCAGCGTCAGAGCACTTAGCATAAACAGAGTCGAATAGATTTATAAGGTAAAGCCGTTGCAACGAAGACTATATTGTGACAAGAATCACTTATATACATACAAAATGTGTTCAAATTTTCAAAAGAGGATTAAATAAATATATATGTATGTACACACTTTTTACAAATTTAAGCCGATCGGAAAGATGCTCTTAGCGGAACTCGATTCGAGAATAAGCGGCTTTGGTCGACTACCATATTAACCATATATTTTGTTCGTTCGGCCAGATAAAAGGAAGAAAGCTTCTAGATAAACCTCAAATAATTCAGTAGTGAGTTGCAAATCAGTTTTCGCATACATCCGGAATAACTGGCAGCAGTGATTGTTTCCTTTTCGAGAGATATCTAGTGATGAAAAATGCCCCGGGTATCCATTTCGAGTACGAGTACCAGTCTGCGACAAAATCAATTCAGTATTGCCACTAGCGTCGCTTTCTCTAGTGTTCGGCGGTATTTCCTCGCTTGATCCTCTTCTGGTGGGCGACACAGACTAATCCACATCTTACCTGTGGCAGCACTGTGTTCCAAGCGCATGTTTGTTATGTTACAACGTCTCCATATGCGTTCCACATAGCGTATGTCCAATGCTTTCAGGACATGCATGTTGAGCCGGTAATGATGACTAAAAGCTCAAAAGTTTTCGTGATTTCAACAACTCGTTCTTCCTCGTTTGTGGCCCTGAGGAATAATCTGCCGGCGCTCCGGCATAAGTCACTCGTTACCGTTATCGCGAATGGCAAAAACAATCCTTAACAACCGAGTTTGTGGAGGAGAATAACAAAAAGAGCTGCTGTTACAAAATACTTCCAGTTATACCCTTGGCGCGTCTCTCCACTTCCCTAGAAGCTCGAGGTATAATTATAAATAAAGAATATGGCTATCGTAGAGGACAACCAACAATAACTGCCTGCCAAATCTCGATGGCTTAGAGATCCGCCATAAGCACAAGGAACAAATAGTTCATCTATGCTGTATTCGTCAATTTCAAACGGCATTCAGCAGAGCGCTAAAAAATCAAATTTTGTCCAAGCTCGCCTAAGCAGAAGTTCCATCCATACAAGCTCACCCAGCTGATAGATTCGATTCTAAGAGAGTTTTATTACCATACGACATGGAATGAAGCCCTTTCTAAGAGGTGACAGGAGTGGCTTATGGCAATAGCCTCAGCCCCTTACTTTTGACAGTGCTCCAGAACGATCTCCCACGTAACAAAATCGGAAAATGGAAGGTGAAAGCAGATACTGTACATCGAAGATCTCACTAGTTTTCAACAATACATAACGGATATCGGTTTCGAAGTCAGCTTGCACAGCAAGTTTGGATACACGTGAAGCATTTTTTTAAAATCTAAAACTGACTTTACGCTCTTCCGAAACTTACTACGGTGAGCATCTAACAAAATGCGTAAGAAGAACCTTAGTAGCGAGAACTGCCATGGAAGAGCTGTCGTTCCTCTCCCTTAATACAGCAATACGCCTTTTTAATATCGAATCTGCACCAATGGCCTCATGAATGAAGCTCATTCGAGGTGACCGTTGCATAGCTTAGTTGTGTAGGCTAGACCAACTGAAGCCTCTTTTTCTCAAAAAAAGTGCTGAGCCTGCATCTTGTCATAACCGCTACGGGTATTTTCCGACGGATACGCCACTCCCTGCTAAGATTCTACAATGCCAGTATGGCTTACAAAAAATGTCCACCTTTCTGAAATTTATCTGACAATGGTAGAGATAGATGGCTGACGTCGACCCGGAATTCTTCGCCACCGGTGCGTGCGACGGAACGTGTTAAGAACCTCATAGAAAAAACTGAAATATGGTAGTTGCTACGTAGTGTAACGCCTCCACTATGTTGTGCGTGGTAATGACTTGTACCATAAGTAAAAAAAGAGTCGCATCTGTGCCCAATGCGGAAGCCTCTGTGGGCAATACCATCTAGACCCATATCGAACAGCACTTTCATTAAGTACCATGGCGCAAAAAAGAACAGCACAATTGAAGCACTCTGTGCTCTTAATTTTATTTATTTACTCTATTTTCACTGCTCACATTCTATTTTAAAAATTCTTTTATGTTGTTCATATACAACATTAGTACTTCACTGAAGGGCTCCTTCCCGTGTGTTTATACATTAGATTCTACCTCAGGAAAACAGGCTATTAACTACTTAATGTTGATTTTTAGTTTTAAACGGTATCCTTGCCTGTAAATTCATTATCCTTTGACGGTACTCAATTTGCAGATAGCCAAAGATAGCTATAAACTTAATATAAATACATCTCAAGCGTCACCTGTTAGTTGTGCTAATTTTAAAAGATGTACAATATGATGTTTATGAATCTCAGTTTTGTAATGTCGTCACTAGGATTGAACATTGTACCTAAGATTAAGCGATAATTTATTTGTCTGATTATTTTAACATCACCATCGAATGCGTTATTTCATTGTTTCACAGAGATGGATCACCTCCTCCGCGATAGGGGATCGCTGGTAGCCGCCCTCGGGGCCGGGGTCGTCGTCGGCATTTCTGGCATCTACATGTACTACAGGTAGATGGATGTTACAAGGGCAAATAATTGATACCATCTTTTTTGTAATTCTATATGTTTATAAAGAAAATTGCCAGTCTATGAATATTTTCTATATTTTCGAACCAATTTCGCCTATGGAGTAGAAGAGCGGCATTAATAGACTGTCTCCATATGCCCTATGCGCTAATATGTCTAGTAGTAATCAATAAACACATTTGGTTGACATATTAATACGTAACTACATGAGGTATAGTCAGTTCATTTTAGTGTACAGGTTCTATTTGATTTAATGATTAAATTTTTAGACGGTCTGTGCATGAGTATGTCGCAGACGAAAAAGCTAATTAACAACATACGCTCTCTTAGTTTGGCTGAATCTCTCTTTAGTAAGTCGGCACTTTTCAATTTGTCTTATTTCATTTATATTTATAGACTCAACAAGACAATGAATCGCGAGATCAGTCAGTTGGCGGGGACGATCGATGACCTGAGAAAAGAGCTCTCGGACCTTCGCGAGAGGGAAGAGCTGCTCGAGGCGGCTGCACAGTGCCTTTCCCCCATCAAGAGGTCAGCCTCGTCCATTTCGAGGACCAGCAGTGCCAATGGTTTTAATTTCAGGAAACGGGCACCGCCGCCGCAGCGGTAAGAAAATGAAAAGTAATCAATAATGCTTAATTAATGAAAGTATCTGATTTTAGACGATAAGTATTTCAGACTGATTATGCACGAAGTATTAGCAAAGAATTAACTGTCCTTTTGTTTTGAACTGGTGTAAATCTTCCACACCTTTAAGCCGAATTAAATAGTGGTTTTGTGATAATGTTTAAGCTATTTCTTTTTAGCACACGCCAGCATAATCAAGAGTGTATGATGAAAAATAAATATTCACACCGATATTAAAAGGTGAAAGTCAGTCACATGTTCTTTTTCTCTACCAACTAAGACCCTACCAGTTTACCTAAACTCAAACTTTGATATATATATATATATGTATATATATATTTAATTGTCGATTGCATCTCTATTTTCTTCGATGGTACCAATCCGTGCACAGAGTTCGTCGAGTCGTTGACGGTGCTGCTGCGTCGTCCCCATCGACGACAACCGATTATATGACAGCTTTAGAAGCGACTCTTGTCAACGGTGTTCTCAGCGACGACGACGATGAAGAGTTCTTCGATTTTCCGGACTCTGAGCACGAGGCTAGCCAGTTTGCGGGCAATCAGCCATGGGCCGGTGCGGGCGAGAGTATGGCGTCGCTTGACGTAGACGAAGGCGATCGCTGGCTGACGCTTATCGACGGCCGACTCGACGATGCCACGACCGATAAGGAGGAAATTTACCTTCAGATGAAGCTGAAGAAATCCGAATATACTGAAAGTGCGCATTTCTACTGGCGATTGGCAAAGGCAACGCATTTCGCCGGCATTGTGGCTCAGAGCGCGGGAGACATTGCAAAGAAACGAGAACTGGCCTTCGAGGCACACAAGTAAGTAGACATCTTCGTTGAAGCGATGAAAAATCGTAGATTGATTTGCTTGTCTGCTCAGTGTTGCCATGCGATATTTAACATAAGCACGATTATTACGATTGAGCTAAACGCTGCGCGGAATCATTCCAAAACGAACTGCTGCTAGAGAAGGATAAAAATTGAAAGTGAAGGTGAATTGTTGTGGTAGTACTTCTTGAGATCCTGTAATGGTGAAGTGTTTACCTAGGGAGCCCTATGACTTAGGGCGCATTTATTTATGTAGTTGCGTTTCGACACCAGATGTAGACATGTTTCGATGCATGCCGGGAGAAGACAGTCGTTTGAAGCAATGCTTTACCGAATGTAGAACTCAATGCATTTATTTATAGTAGTGGTACTTTTAGTAACTTGACAATGGACAAGAAATGAAACAGCATGGTAAATGATAGTTGGTGCTTGTTTTTCAGATATGCAATGGAAGCGCTAAAGTTAGATGAAGCAAATCCCGAATGTCACAAGTGGTTCGCTATTGCTGTCGGGTCACTGTCCGAATTTGTTGGTACACAACAAAAGATCCAGAATGGATACTTATTCAAAAAACACGTTGACATAGCTGTGAAGCTCAAGCCACTTGACCCGACATTACATCACATGCTTGGCCGGTGGTGTTATGAGGTACTTGACAGTTTTTAGGTTATTATTCTATTATTGATTTTTTATTATTGATTGAATATTTTATATTATATGGATTTACAGATGATTGTGTCATCGATTATTCAATCTTACAATGTTGATAGTATGTAACGAACACGAATTCATATCCTTGACATTGGATTAACAACTATTTACTAGTCACATTATTGCAAATATTGTTTGACCCTACAAGCTAGGGATTGGCTAAGGACCAAAAATATAAATATTGTTTAAAAAGGTCCTTGTTTGTCTCACATGAACGCCGTGTGAGCGCAAACAAGTGCTCTGTCAATGATATTTACCGTCTCGCACAGTTCTGGAGACGCTGCTAGGGCTACAACCAAAAGCAGTGAGCCAGTCTCTCAAACAACAACAACATATCTCTCAAACATCAATTGATTATAGTACTCTAATTGTTATTCTCAGATAGATGAAATTCAAACAAACGGGCCATCAAAGCAATATTAAAACAATATTGAGTTAGGTTGTGTACCACATTATCGCCCTTACAGGTCGTGCAGTTATCGTGGGTAGAGCGTAAGCTTGCATCGACGCTCTATACGATACCGCCCGAGTCTACACTGCAAGAAGCCCGTGCCCACCTTTTCGAGGCAGATAAACTCAAGCCGCACTGGAAGGAAAACATGCTGTATATCGCAAAGACATACATTGGTACGTTTGAGCTTTAAAGAAAATTACGACTTCAACTTGTGCTTTACTTTACTGTTATCTTGTTTTATGTGAAAAGTTTGCTTTTTTAAAGGACAAAGCTTAGATTCAAGTGAAAGTGTACTGACTGCGCGCATGGAAATCGTTATTGACATGAACTTAAAAAATAATCAGCAGTGATTACATTAGTATAATTAATAAATCGAACTCACACCGAGAGCTGCAGAATTAAAATACCACCTGTGGTTCCGATAGGCGTTTGTAATGTTATTTCTATTTGTTGTAAGATAAAAAAAAATGTTTATGAAAAAAAATTTAGAAATACTTGAACAGATGTCAGATGGCACATTCGGTGGTAACGACAAACGTCTAGGCGAACTGCATGTTATTAGATTATCGCCTATACTATGAAGATCTCATTCTTGTTTTGTGACGAATTTCCCTTCGATACTATCAGGTGAAGCCAACTATGCCCCTGCGATATCTTGGATCGACCGTGCGATTGATGTCGCTTCGGAGACAGACGGCGATCGGGTTGCCCATAAGCGGCTCGTTGGTCTACAGGGAACGTACGCCAAATACCGCCAATAGGAATATGCAATACAGCAAACAATGAAGCAGCATTATAACATTATGAGGGGCACAAGTTAATATAAAACCAATGCTCGCCGTCGTAGTCCTTGCATTCAGGTGTCCACGATAAACATCGAAGAGGTTTTCGCTGTTGAGATATCAAATATCCGAAGGACGTGTTTGACCCAGCAAATACCTGCTCAGCTAAACGTTGTCGTCTGTACAATCTCGTCAATACACGCAAGCAGTTCGAACACGGAGCAGACTTGCTTTTTTCTTAGTAAAAAGGATCATTTGGTAAGCAACAGAGAGATGAAATACGAAGGCATAATTTGAGCCATTGCCCCAGGTAGTGAAAGAACAGGGTGCCTAAGAATACCGGGTAGTAAATATATTTCGTTGCAAAGTTGCCACAACTGATGCGATTCAGTGTCGGAGAACAAGCACACGATAAATAACTTGAATATCGTTGTTGCATGCTAGAAAGTGTGGGGTTATGATTCATTTAAGGCGTGCGGTAAATGCTCGGCCCCCTATATATATATATGCCTCTTCTCGGCAATGTATGTATAATGTTACTGATTGGTGTGGTCCCCCTTTCAACATCTTTCAGCTCTGAAAATTGTGGACGTCTGTTTACTTGTTGTCAACCCACGAAATAATATATACGAATAAACAATACTACCCTTATTCGGATGGCTTTACTAAGAAACAAAGTAGTCTATGAAGTTGTCATGGGTACCCAAAGGCGGCATCTTGGTCAGTAGCGTACAATCTGATGCATTATCATCTGTACATAACAGAATTTAATGCTCTAAGTGCTTAACTCTTAATTCCGAGACAGTCTATGGACCACATAGCAAAATAATCTATTTTTCGTGCTGGGCTATATCCCAAAATTTTTACGGAGAGATTTGTCCTGAAAAGATGCAGCTAATATGAAACCACGTATTGTTCCGTATCGTACTGCCACAATGAAAACTACATAGTAAAAACATGGTCTATCTACAAAAAATCCCTTTTTATTGGCAAACTGTTCTGAAATTTGCCTGCCTTCTCCAACCTTTTTTCCTGAGGCGCAGCCTTCAATTGGATAATTTCGCGATTTCATGCTCGCGTACGATGCATATACGTATGTCGACGAACATGACAACGATGCCGTCAACCAAACCGATCTATGTTAGATAGCGGTAACAGCAAACTGCAATAAGGCGAAAAAAACTGATGTTTGCGTAAAAAGCAAAATGTATTGGTACACTTTGACGCATGCAACGTCACGAAAAACGAGTAGAGATAAAACGTTGATTGATTTTCTGATCTGATCTAGTGACGATCTCTCGTCCCGCGCACAGATTTGAAGACGTACGGTTGTGATAAGAACGATGGAGAGAGACGTTAACAACTTCACAGTAAAAGCAGACGAAAAAAGAAAAGTAGCAGACGGCACAGAGAAACATCAAATGAAACCCGTGAAATGTCTAGATGATTTCAAAGTTCGCGCTTAGTCGTGCGCTAGCGATGAAACGAAAACGTTTCTACCAAGCAAATATCCCAACAAATACTTATAGTAAAAACAAAGCAGGGAACTGTAGTCATCTAGACGGGGAGCAGAATAGATTTTTTAAACAAGAAGATATACTGAGAAATGGAAATATGTTCTGAAAATAATATATCGATACTATGATCATATGTAGCACACAGTAGGAATAACTACCAGACGGGGGTCTGCACGCGAGTGTGAACTTAAGTACAGTAACTGTAAAAATCAAGAGAAAATTTTGTCTTGGTGCTGGATCAATTTTCGCCCGTTTTTTTTTTTCGATGATTTTCCGGTGAAGTCAGTATTACAGATTAACCCTAAAAATAATTTATCTTTTTCCAGACCAGTTTTTGGTTTGGCGAAACGCCAATAAAATGTGTAATAATTGTATTATTATTATTAAAACGTATCAACAGAGATGCAATGTATTGTTCTGTTATACTGACAATAGCCACATATATGGTATATGACGGAAGCAGTAGAATACGGTGTGGGCAAGCATTTTTATTCGTTGGGAACACAGCACGCTTAACAATGCGTAAACATATGTTCTATTTAAGATATATATATATACTCTTTTCATACTTTTCAGTTTATATATGTATCGCACAGTAGAGTGGAGTGTCATACGAAATTGCTTTACGTTGAACTAACCATTGTAAACCCTTAATGGCAGATAGGCGAAGCCATATACTCGTATAGCAGTGGACTAAGTAATTACTTCTTTTAAAGTAACCTTCTTAAGCAATTTTATTTTTACAAGGGGTATTATCGAGAAGAGATTTGTGCTGATACATATGCCTTGAACGTTTGTACGTGTAAATGCGGTTGAGCTATACATATAATTATTCAATGACTTTCATTTGCCAGAAACACAAAGACATTATCCGGAATTTTACATAATAGGACCAAACTGATTAAGGTTTATTTGCCTCCCAGGTCAACTCGTATCACCCACTACATAACTTTGACTAACATCAGCGCAAGTAGATAAATGAAAAACAAGGAATTGAAACAAGGAAGGAAGGAAGTTAGCTAGAATATATTATGTAAGGTGCGAGTTTTTATGCATCAGCACACATCAAACTCATCATTTCGAAGACAAAAAAAATTAAAAAGAATAAACGGATAGAAACAAAAGCAAATACTAATTCCTAAGAATAAGCAGTGGAGTAATCGAACGCTAAATTCTAAATAATTTTTAAAACAAATTTAGTAGTGAAACATTTTCCCTATTCATTTATACAGCAGTAAGCAACTTGAGTCATCGAACAGAAATATATATATATATACATAGAGGAACTAATATATATATCTATATATATATAGTCACTCTACAACTCCAGAAAAACAGAAGTGTTCCACTGGGCAAGAGTACGATCCAATGAAACCCAGCGGCGAACTAGGATACAACACAATGTGCGTAAAACTGACAGAAACGGCGCACAACACACACAAAAATTGAGAACAGTTCTTGGAAAAGTATTAAAAAAAAGTAAAACGTGGACGACTATTCAGGCTAAACAAGAGATAAAGTGCGAAAAGGAAAACTGGTCAGACGTAGCCAATCTGCGATATTTTAACAAATACGTGAGAAAACACTACGAAACAGCAATGCAAAGAGCGAAACGCAGATGCAATTACAACAAAAATGTAAACGACACAAAGAGGTGATCAGATATTTACAATAACGTAATTCTAATTGAGGGAAAACGGTAAAGAGGCAGACGAATATTTGCGCAAGGGAAAGCCGACGAAGTCCACGCGAAGTGGGCAATAATAGGATTATGATGAAGAAAAATGATAATAAAAATGTGTATACTCGAATATTTTTTTCCAATAAAAAACGCACGTTTCTTTATTTAGCTAACCTTCAAAATAGAAAAATTCGAAAGTTGTATACCTGTAGCAAAACCTATTAGTGTTAATTCATAGTTATATTTTTCTGTTTAAAAATTTGGCTGTATATGAAGGGCGTACACTTATATATGTGGAGTTCATTTTAGGTAGTTTTATTTATTGGGCTTAAGTTACTATCTTTGTTATTGTGCTCTCGAGCTGTATATAGGCAAACTCAGGATACTTCGCTGCGATGCAAAATTCAAACTTCCGTGAACGTATTCTTTCGTATTTTTTTTGTATTTTCTTTTTATTTTAAAAATTTTTTTTGTATATCTTTGTAAACTGTTTGGATTTGTATAACGTATGCTTCACAAGCATTTTCCTGTTGACACAATCATTACTTATTAACAAGCTGGATATTATGTTAAATGCGAGAAGTTTCACGCGATTTCGTCGTCGCTGTGGTATCAAATTCATGAAGTGTCGTTTTGTACAGCGGCCGACCTTTTAGCACTTGCGAGTTACTATCAGTTACTTGGACTGCGATATAATCCCCAGGTGAAATTTGTTTACTGTTTACAGTTACCGTGTCAATGATAACCTTCGTATTACCTGCAACAAAAACGCCATTAGAGACTATTAGCGCAAGTCAGTAAAATTATTACATTGTAAGCATGGACATGCATGAGTTGAGCAAACTCCTAAAAACAAATTGCGCGTACGTGTTGCACTTCTAAACAGGGTGATTCTAAAACGAACGTGCATAAGTAGAGAATCGGTTACCTTCATTCCGTCCAAAGAGCTGCTGATCTGACCGTCGAGGGCTACCTTCCACAAGAATTAATTGTGTATCACCAATTTGTCTGTCGAGAACGGATTAGACACCAAATAAGTTTTTATATTCGCTGTGGAAACTTAACACACTCGCGGTTAAATTTGTAGTAAAAAAAAGCGGACAGATATTGGACTCTTTTGAAGCTCCAATAGATTTATGTCACTGCTTCTAATTTTGGCAAAAATGTCGTTACATTCGAAGTTACAGGCAGAACGTATAATTTTAGCCACTGTTTTGTTTCTAGCCTTCGTCTACAAATAAAGGTGCTTTTCGTGTAAATAAAGAAGTCAGAACATCTAAGCTGCTAGCTTTTATTTGCTCCATGCATCTGATACGCTAAGATAGCTATGATTTGATCTAATGTGTTGTTAGCATCGTTCTAAATAAGCTAATCAATTAAAATATAACATCAACCGCACATAAAGATACATTTTTTTTCTCTGCAATCGAAACAAGCTCAATTTTTCTGAAGCAGAAAATCAATGCGTACGTATAAATTACAGATATTGACGTATTTCAGAACAAATGGTCATACAGAGATTTCACGTAGGTACTGATAACCCGGGCCAGATTATTGCAGTGGCTCAAGTCACGAGACCTACTGACATCACAGATTATTTAATCTCAGAGTGCTATAAAGTAAAGAAGCAGGACGGTAGCTAGACTGGTTTAACTGAGACATTTGACTCCGTCTACTTACGCCTTAAAGTGAGGAGTAACAGTCTGTCGAAAAGCGGCCAATACCTCTGTGGCACGACGTTTTTTCACTTCCATCGGAATGAGATCTTCAAGATTTCGGTGAGCTTTTGTCTTCTCTCGCATACTGTACGGGAACACGAAACAGAAGTTATAATTCACCTGTAACCAACCAATCGTATGAAACAACACCTTGGTGACAAAAATATCTTTTCGACAAAACTAATAACTTAGCCATTCCATTATAAAAGCTAAGCTTTAATTGCTGTAGAGATTTCGTTAATAACAGATTAGGAATTAAAAATCATGCCAGGATCCGAACAAAGTAAGTACAGCCACTGCAGAGATTTGTCGAGGCTTACGCAGAGCTTGAAAACGATTTTTTTTCCAAAAAAATGTTTATGAGTAATGACGCTCAAGAACTGCGCGTAAAAACTGTCATCCTTATTCGCCGTAGAATTGGTGCACTATTCTTTAATTAGAAAAAAGCAACTTCTAATAAAAGACAAATCGATTCCATAGACTTGACAAACCTTTCGAACGAGATCGACTGTCATCTCATGGTCTTCCTCAGTTTCACCGCAGAATCCACTAATGAAATCACTTGTTAGCCCAACGTTTGGAAGATAGCTTCGAATTGTCTCCACCAGAGATAGGTAGTCCTCACGCGAATACCCTCGAGCCATGCGCTCTAGCACGACCGTGCTACCGCTCTGAGCCGGCAAATGGAGGTGGTTGCAGATATTTCGGTGCGACGAAATCACCTGGAGAACTTCGTTTGGAAAGTCCTTGGGATGTGGCGAGGTAAACCGGATTCTCATCTCCGGGTCGATTTGTGCAACTTGATGAAGGAGGTCGGCAAAGCCAAGCCCGCTAGTTGGCAATTTGCATCGCTGTTTGAAGCCTTTCGCCAGGCCAACACCTACAAAAAGTGAGGACGATAGTTCGTGTATAACACGAACAATGCGTCGCATATATTCACAAATTAAAGAGCTATAAATCCCCGATATAGGTTGTGCTAAACAAACTGTGGATAGCAAAAACGATTATAAGCTTCAAACCAACCTAGGCACACATCATCAGATGATATTATAAACAACTGTGATTATTTCCTTGAGCTTAACTTATGTAGAATACACTAAGAGTACTACGGACAATTCAAACAGGATGGAACGATCTAGCTTACCAGTGTATTGGATAAAGGGATGAGACTCAGCTGACATATCGCGGTAGCTGTTAACGTTTTGACCAAGAAGAGTAATTTGCTTCACTCCGTTGAAGGACAGATGACGAACTTCATCCAGGATCGAGGCCAGCGGCCGTGAACGTTCCCGACCTGATAGTTAAATGTATTCATAAATATGCGCATAATAAATGGGAGGGAAACAAATCTTTAATTTTTCTTACAAGCTGCCAGAGAAAGCGTCAATATCAGCTCACAAATCAACAACGATGCCTAATTATATAGAATCGCACATTTGTGCTTATCAAATGCCTGACTACAAATGACTGAAGTGAGTGTAAAATGGTGGTACTCAATCCCCTTAGATAATACTGAACCCAGCGATTTAAGTCTCAGTGTCCTCTAGCTGGGCTAACAAGTATTTTCGCATTGTAGTAATTAATTGCTCGTTCCAGATAACCCTTAGCCATTGTGTTTGAAGTTCCAAAATACGAAGAAAACAGAACCACTTAGCAAGGTGACCTATAACACGGTTTAGCCTTTTGATGGCCATAGCATTACCCCTCTAAAACGAAACACAATAGGGGAGGCGTTAGCCACCTGCGACTATGTAGACTCCATAATACACCTACCTCTGGTAAAAGGGACGATACAATATGTACACAGATTATTGCATCCTCTCATAATCGAAATGAAGGCAGTCTTTCTGTTCGCATCTAGTCGAACAGGTGTTACGTCCGCGTAAGTTTCGTCCAATGACAACTGAACATTTACACCTGTCTGGCCCCCGTGCGCAGTCTCTAACAAACGTGGAAGATCGCGGTAACTATCTGGGCCTGCAATAACGTCGACGCTCTTCTCGACTTCGAGCAGAGTCGTTTTCAATCGCTCTGCCATACAGCCAAGGACCCCGATCTGCGCAAAAAATTCGAAGCCAATTTGTTAGACAATATATTATAAAATTTTAATCCAACTTCAGGTTCTTATAACGTGCGATACCAGTTAGATATCTATCAAGGATCGATAATAGTATTGTGTTTGACTTGGGTAAAATACTAGCGACGTACGCAAACCTTTTCATTATGATCATGACTTGTCTAGAGCTGAAGTTTCGCATGCGTGATTATAGGAACAAGCGAACAAACCTGCAAAAATCTTTCGCGTTTTATTCCCTTGAGCTGGCGAAGTCGATGCCAAATTTTGTTTTCCGCACCCTCGCGTATTGAACACGTCATGATAAGAATAACATCAGCTTGGTGCTGTTCGGTAACCCTTTTATAGCCACTCTTATTAAGAATCGACCATACGATCTCAGTGTCATTGACATTCATCTGACAACCATACACCTACAGAAAAAGACTGATATGACGTTTTGCTTTTTGTGCTGAATAATATGTCATCATTTATCTACCTGAGCCTTCGGAGATAGTTATCAATGAAGGTACGATGTTTTTTGATGTTGTTAGTTGTAAATATGTTTCATACACACCTGGCGTTATCCAACCAGCTAGTATGGGTCTCAAGATCAGTTACCTAAAACCATGATATCCTATATACTTTTTAAATAGATTTTTTTGCTCACTGAAAGCAGTCCTTTGTAGAACCTAGTTTAATGCGGAACATAAAGATGGGTTTTCTGCTTGGACATCGTATTAGGGGTCCGCAAGCCGGAAAAGCCATAAGTGGTCAAACACTAGCCCGGTAAGCCGCATCAATGGCGAGAGAGAAACGAAGCAAAAAATGAAAAAGAAATCAAGAAGGAACCACGGGGCTAACCCATTACCTTTTCAGGTTCCGTAAAACTTCTATATTTTTTTTTACGAATAACCGTATCAATAAATTTACGCATCACGTATCATCTCTCTTGTATTATAATTTATTTACTTAATAGCGTTCCTGAAACAACAGTCCGATTGAATCTTTTTCCTACTAAACTTGAAATGCTTTTAAAGAGGGAATTGATCTGAATATTTAATAATACACTTCGAAGATCAGAATAGCTAGAGGAATTGAAATGAACTTACCTCAAAGAAAACGTTCTTTTTCTCAACGTGAGGATTGAGATATGGCATTTCTGTAGGAAACTCATCATTAGCAACATTCCGATTTAAAAGGGCCGCATCAGCAACAAAACTTTCCAAAGGTGGGCCTTCGGCTAACTTTTTCGACCATGAACTACAACTTCGCCTTAGTATAGGCCGTAGATGCATCCACCCGACGGACAGCATTTTTTTTAGTCAAATTTTAGAAAACGTTGTTTCTTTTAATATATATTATTATATATTAGAGCTTCCACCACATACCATGCTCTATATGACAACTCACGACTTGGCTAATAAGACTTTATAATACACATTCCCAAAAAGTATATAGTCTGCGAATCTAGGTAAAGAAAGCGCTGTGTTTTGTCGATTTAGATATTCACTACTACCACTTCAGAAAACTTGCGCACAGGCAAACCTCTTGCTCAGTAAACAAGCTCTTTTTACATAGCGTCCAGCGTCTTTATGTCATTGCCTAGCTGGTTCTTTTTGACGCCCAATCGCATTGTCCAACATCTTGAGAATAATAAGCGACCCCTTTCAAAAAATAACCGTGCATCCTGGTATCGTTCTATTCTCAAATTTTATGCGCATCCGCGCACCAGCGCCGCTACATAAATAAACAACAGATTTGACCTGTCTACTCGCACTCACCCTGCGGAGGGCGTCTGATAGTTTGGTCGTCACGATTGCTAATAGCGGGCCACAGAATACAGACGACGCGCGCACCCTTTCTTCTGTTGAGGCATCGTTCGTAATAGCTCTCTATTGCGGGGTAGACTGTGAAATCAATTCAGAGAACTATTTGTTTCAATTGTGACACGGAAAATATTTGTTTATATTTATACATTTCCTTTTCATTAGGTATAAGAAAATGTATCCATACTTACAATTCCAATAGTAAAGACTTAATGATCGCTTCTCGCGGGATAAATGAAAGTCTAACCGTTCGCAATGCTATTATCAACAAAGGTACGGTCCTTCGCTGTGACTTCCTCCACAAGTCCAGCACTGGCACGGAAGAAATTATCGTTGAATCATCTTACGCTGACTGCACAACTGTCAGTATTTTAGTCTTCGATATATTTATTTTGACGGTTGTATCGGACGATTAGTGTTTTTAAGGTTTTTATACGCCTCTATGTTTCGGGCTTTATGGCCGGTATCGCGGTTAGACATTCCATCAGTCGGTTGGCTCCTAGCTTGAAACGAAGTCTGTATATGCTCGGGTTCGAACCTAAACCACAACGCATTTCCTAGAATTTGCAGACAAATACATTACTCACCAAGTTATCATAGTGGAGTGACCAGAAAGCGCACGGCGCTCCAGCACTGACCGTCATATCTGCATGTAATTAGCGGGCCTTCTTGTCCCTACTAGTTAACATTACGAGAAAAGAACGTATGGGTTAGCCTGGGAAACTAAGGCTTTATTGCATCTTCATTCGTCTGATGATGACCGGTATGTTTAAGTGTGAAAGATATTTGAAATAATATACAATTACGACAAAAATTAATATAGTAGGAAAAATAGGAAGTCGACGAAGTTCATCTAAGTATGCAGAGTCCCTGAGCTACAATAAAAAGTACTATACAATAAAAACTTGCCCCAGGAATTACATGAAAATTATTTTATTTTATATGTATTTTATGATTTTTCTACTTTCGTATGCTACATAATTGCAGGGCTAGAGAGATACTCGAACGCCACATGCGGGTAGCCCGTTGTATTATTGAATGAAGATCCAGGTCGATTTGGAACATAAGAAATGTATACGGAAAGAAATTCACATTGAGTTTTGGTGTTATATAAATACATAGACTATGGGGCAACCTGTCCGTTGTGGCGTTTCAAGGACTCCGCCTATGTGGATCTGTAGCCGTGCGGTTTACAGGTCCATATTTCCTGGCAATCCTCGTCTTCTAAAAAACAACAATACCATGAGAACAGCGACTTGCCTTATTTACCAACAGACACACATCAACCCGATTTTTCGCGGAGTGATCACCCAAAATCCAATAACACGACCCTCGGTTATGCATCGCTATCGCTACCCTCGGTATTGCTTCGCGTTTGTTGTTTCCGGGTCGGCGATTATCTCCGACATGTTTCCACGCACAAGGCGCATTTCGTGCGGTGCGGCATGCACTTCAAAATTTCCGTCCCCCCTCCTGGCAATTTGTGCGTCAGAGAAATTCCTGCTTTTATGCATGCACGTGCGTATATATGCGACAACTTACAGCTTCGTATGTGAGCGCATGGCAGTACCGTGTTATGGATTTGTGTGCGTCTCAGCTTATGGTTGGCTGTGTAAGATTTATTCGGTTATATTGGCTAACAGGTGGGGGGGGTCCCATTGGGGGAGACGTTGTTACCTTTGTTCTTGGGGGGCGTGAGAGAAGCGGCGCAACCTATACCGCGTTCGATTTGTAGCAAGGGCATTGCATAGCGAGGTGAAATAAGCAGATTTGCTTCGCTCGGTAAGGAACTGTTTAGGACATTATTGGACACTGCTACGTGATTGTTGCGCAGTTTGCTCTTGTCTTCGCTAGAGTAACTGACGGTGCTTTTTATTGCAAATGCAGTACTAACGTTGTTTTGAACTTTGCCTTCTTCACAACTACCTGAGAGGGTAGAACGGAACTGATCGTTTTGTGAAACATGATTTACTTTATCCGAATGAGATGTACAATAATGAATGAAAAATGTAACATAACATATGCAGCGGTTAACGCGAAACTGAAAACAGCCATTTCTTATCGTTCCTAATAGTTTTCTTTGCGGTTTTTACAAAGTGGCAATATGAACTCCTCAAGCCTAAGTGTACTTCCGGCATAAGCTAAGGTCTGATAAAAGTTTGAAAAAAAAACTGCTTATCAAACCTTAGGGCAGCTACCCTATTTTCATATAATCTATCAGCCATATTGCCTTGTTTGAGACGTCAGTATTAAAGAAAGTGAATGGTACATAACGTCCTAAACATTCATAATATTTTATGCTTTAGTTTACTTGATATTAAACACGAGTGATAAGGCATCCGGAGCGGTACAAACCTTACCACTAACTCGTGGCGTTTCTGTCTTTTCTTGTGTGATACAAATAACGTTTTTCAACGTACACAGGTACGGACTAAAAGGTTTTTGTCTCAACGAAAGCCGCTCTCACAGAAACACTGCGATACCCAGCCGATGACCTTTACTACAATTCTGGTGCTACTCACCCTATTAACCTATCTTCTTTCCCTAACTAAATCATCACTCCATCAACTGTGGCCAGCAATCTTTGGTGAGGTTAATAGCACGAGGGACGCAAAGCAGAGCAGAACTGTCAAAGCCATCCATCCAAAATTACGACGATCCAACGAAAGACTGGGGCCTTCATATGAGTAAGTGTTAGAGTAGCTTTGAAGTCAAGGGAAAGGTTGTGGACTTTGTGGCAGTGCTCCACGTTAAAAACGCAGAGCTCACGTCGCGACTGAAAGAAGAGGTACAATACACAGAATTAGAAGGAGAAAGGGAGCATATCGCAGCTGATACTGAGGCTGCTAGCTGTTAGGGCAGATGTTTAAACGACAGATGTTTGTTAGTGCCAGTTTTATAAGAAGTCAGTGGTGTTACAATTTGTGCTAACAGTAAATCTTTCAAGTTTGACGTTTGAAACAGCCATTAATGCGTTGCTTTATGTTTTGGCTGAACAAGACGACATAGTGACCAAAAGCGAATGCAGCTCTTCTGGCAGCAGTCAACGCGATGCAGGACGTTCGTTGCTTCGTCAAACCAAATGAGAGCCGGGGAAGACCAAGTGGTTATACTATGCCGCGGCTAGTACCAGCCTATATAACGACTGCAGACAGAGTAATTGATTGATAGCGGTGGCTTAGTTTGAGATTGATATAGTTCGATTGGCCGCTACAGGATAACGTGAGACGAATCTGATGGCAGGCTTGATCCATCACAGGCTTGATCCAACGGGAAGCTGGGCTAAAAATTGAGCTAGTAACGTCCAGATATTCCGAACACCAATGCTCTGCTCTTATACGATCAACTATTCTAAAGTAGTGGTTATGATATGGAAACTGCTCTTATGCTGTATAAAGGTATAAAAAGTCGTTCCGGGGAGATACTCTTGTGAGTTCATCTATACGCCTTAAAATAAAAGTTTTAGAGATGTAAAGTACTAATATCCTTGATTTTCAAACAAAAATTCACTTGAAACAATAATGAATAATGGCGACTTATATTATTGATTTAAGTGCGATTAAGCTCACATGAGAAACGAATCCGACCAGCAAGCATGCTTAGAAAGCAGTACTTAATAACGCGTGATTTTCCTTTTTTATAAATAAATGACTATTTTCTTTGGTTTTTTGACACAACATCTTCGAACGTAAATTTTATGTGGAAATTTTTATCATCCCTTTTGACCTACACAATGTCAGTGCATTACAAGGATCATCCAAAAAAACAAATACCGACAGAGGAAGTGTTTGATAATAAAATATCATTATTTTCTTGTAACTGTGATAACCGTACTGTAGTGACGTGAAAAATTTTCGGGCTACTCATTTTTGATAGAATAATTAGAATTAATTTTTAGTAGCAGCAGCGATCTTTATGGTTCGTTCGAATCCATTATCTGATATACAATAAATCAGTATAAAAACCCATTCGTCTTTTTATCTATTGAACTACTTCCATTACTCCCATCAGCTTTATTCAGCCGGTAAACGCACACCAAGAAATGCATAAATCTGACTCAAACACCACCTAACAAAGTGATCAATTCGAAATTTGACATTGGAAATTAGTTTCCCAGCATTTTTGTTTCTTCTTTGTCGTCGTCCCGTAACCACCCCATCCCACTCAAATATCCGAACCCCGTCGTCGTTAACTGTCAGTCCGCTCTGCGTACGGTTCTTAATTCGCTGCGACAGGCGGTGCCTACTCGGTCTTGGCGCAACGACTAGCTGTCCGATCGTTTCTGGATGAACAAAGTTTCTGCCATTGCCGGCAGTGGCTACATTTCTTTTAGTCTGCAACATTGTTCGCACTCGACTGCGACACGAACGAAGGCATGACTGACCCTTGGCTAACCGTCTTTATGCCCTGGGAGATTGACAGGGTTTCACGGGTGTCTACGGCCTTCATCGTGTGTCTCAGTGTGCGCGAGTGCGTGTGTGTGTGAGATATGTAGATTGGATTTTGGTCATTGCACTAGTTCGTGCTGCGTCTGCCGGGGCTCGTTTGCCCCGCGGTCCAACCTCGTCTTCGCCCTCTGTACTGACTCCTTCTGTCCCTCTTCTGTTTCCCTTTCGAGTGCGGAGAGTGCAGGGAGCGCGGGGTAAGTTCTGTAGCTGCAGCCGCTCTGTCACAGGTCATCCTATCGGTGATCATTTTGCTGCTCCGAACACACAACCCGGCACTGCCGTAATTTATTACGAATGTTTCTCATAAAAAACGCGTCCACAACCAGACCCGCACCTACGAGGACCCTATCACCGCCGGAGACGCTGCCGCTGTTAGGCCGATTGCTTTAGGTCATTCTTCTAAATTTCGATTCTTCTAGGCGATCTTCCGGACAAACCGAACGGGGTGCTCCCGGCACGAAATGAAGTGAGTCTAGTTAACCCAGACCATCACGTGTCTTTCAAGTTTAGCGGGCAAATGCGTTACCCACTAAACTGTTGCCAAGACTTCTCCGTCTTGACCTGAGTCGATCACAAATATATTCATTAATCAGCGTACTGACATCCGCATTAGTGTCAACAGCCTTCCGTAATATCTTAATCTCACGCCAACTGTTACGGTCATCATATCACACCGAACATTCAACATCTCATCTATAGCTGTAGCTTCGTCTTCTTTTTTCCTCCAGATATGAACTCAAATATTTAAATTTTCCCGCCACGCCGTTCGCTCTTTTCTAATAACAGCGGCGGCGGTGGTGATCTTAATGCGTGCAATTACCCCGCGCGCAAACCGCTCGTCGCCTTAAAGGCCTTCTCGTGGAGCGCCTAACAACCCAAACAACATTTGGGAGCCAATCTACTACTTCTTTTTGCCACTTTTGCCGTAACAAGCGCCTACGGGCCCACAGTGGCGGCGGCGGCGCCAGCAGCAGCAGCGGCGGCGGTCTGCAGCAGCAGCCGCCGCCGAACAAATCTGTTGGATTTGGTTGTGTTGTGTTGATGCTCTGTAGACGACCACGGCGGCTGCTTTCCCGCTATTACCCTTGCTGTTAAAACTGTTGGTTGCGCTGGCGGCTGCGCCGGCTGTTCCCTGCCTTGTGCTGAGTAGCGGCGCTGTCTGTGCGGTGCTGTAGAGATGTGCTGCTGTTCGTTGTCCGCCTGCCTGCCTGGATGGCTGGCTGGCTGACTGGCTGGCTAGCTAGCTCGCTCGTTGTTCTATGTCGCTGCTGCTGCCGCTGCTGCTGCTGCTGCTGTCGTCCTAGAGTCGTCGTTGTGTCTTTCATATAGTAGCAGGGTACCCTACGACCGCCTTCCGCTGGCCTGCTGTTTTGGCCTAACTGGCTGCTGCTGCTGTTGGGCCCGTGCGTAGAGTGTAGCAGCACTGCAGCCGTGGTGCTGCTGCTGGTGGTGGTGGTGGTGGTGGATAGTCTGTCTGCCTGTTTGCCTGCCTGCCTGCCTGCCTGCCTGTGCAGCAGCGGTAACGAATTGTGTTGATTTCCCCGCAGAGGGTGCGGGTCGCCGTGAAGCAGTACGAAACGGCAGGCGGTGTTGAGCTGGTTCAAGCAGCGTTCGAGGTTCTTTTTCAAAGCGTTCGTCGCTTGTTTGCTTTTTCATTAGTTTAGTCGTCGGCTGGCTCGTTGACTCGGCCAGCGACTAACGACCAACGGAAGTAGCTTCTTCTGAGCAACAAGAAGTGTCCGTCGACCGTGGTGGCCTGTCTCTTATTCGTGTGCCGATATTCCTATTGGAGTTTATGTTGCTGGCGGTGTGGTGTTCGTGATTCGAAGTGGCGTTATTTTTACGGCAGCTTAATTTGTTACTGCTGCTGAAATTATTAGTGTTATTACTACGATTGATGCGAATCAAAGTGTATCAGATGTGTCTTTGCCAATGCGTGATGTATTCTGCTGGTGCTGCCGTTTTCGTAGCCGTGGCGCCCGCTCAGGCCGTAGACTAACAAATAACTATTGCTCCGATCTTTAATCACCGGTCGAGTCGAATTCTATTCCGCTGCTGCTGCAATAACAACAGCAGCAGTAGCAGCAATAAGAACAGCAGAACCGATAGCGAGTGTTTGGAGTCCCTGTAACGACAGCCATCACAACAACTAATTACTTCTACAACAAGAAACAACAGTGCGACGAGAGAGATCATTAAGTGACTGGTGGAACAGCTATTGGATGTTGCTTGTTGCTTGGCTATCTTACTGACGAACCGGACCCGACCATTGCATTGCTGCTGCCTAATAACCTGGAATATAGACGACGTTAATTCTTCCTACTAGGACCGCTTCGGCTGTAGTGCTCCTGGTGTTGTTCGCGGCGGTCGTGCCTGTCGTCATTTAATGAAGTTGATTCCTGGTGCCCTGATTCAATTGTCACCCGCGCCCGAGGTCCTCAACGAGCCTGTCTGTATGGCCGTCACGAGAGGTCGAAATCGCTCACAGACTGGACTCGACTAACCCGATTGGTCGAGGCTCCAGGGGGGGGACCCGATTTTCGAAGGTGGGCTAATCGCTCGTGACAAACGAACGGGGCCGCTACCTATTTGAGCGACGGGCGTACCGCCACAGGTCGAGGGGCGACCGAGGCGCGGTAACGCTTGTAGATACATACATAAAATAAACGACGCCAAAAGTCAAACGGCGAACGCCGGCGGTAAAAAGTTTCCAGCCCGCGGCTTGCGCAAATCCGTCCAACTGGCGAATACAACAACAACAACAATAAGCTAACGTCAGTCGCAGATAGAGGGCCGCTGGGCCGCCTGCATCGACAGGACGAACATGGACAAGCTCCATCCAGAGGCCACGGAGGCCTCGCAGTTCGTCCAGACGTTACACGATTTCCACCGTGGACGCGGGTGAGTGGGACAACTAGCTAGACAGTGCGAGATATAAATGTAAAATGTGTATATTGTGTGTTTGTGCGAGTGAAAAAACGTGCGAGTGCTTACGAAAAAGTAACAGCCATTCAAGTCGATCAGAATATATTCAGTCTGCTAAATGACTGGTAGTACGGAAAGCGGGCGTTCGACAACAAGCAGTGCTTTGTAGAACAGAATGATTACTCTCATAATCGTTTTCGCCTGGAAGGGTTGATTGGTGGTTATTTCGACGAATTTTATGTGTGTAGTTTTTTTAAATCGGCCAACTCACGGGATGGCCGGGCTAAGCAGGAATCAACGAGTCGATCGCCCGCCTATCCACTCAGTCTAGCGCAATCGTGTATCCTAATCGCTCTGTGAATATTATATCGATGTGTCCAGTAGTTGCGTATGTTTGAATCAATTTATTTCGTGTTTTCATCTGTCTCTTTATTTTGACGCGCTAATGTGTGTTTGTATCTCTGCCTGTCCGTGTACGCTCATCGCGACGAATTGCAGAACCGACTTTAAATTCGCGCCCAAGATTTGCGGCCAGGAGATTGATTTGCACCAACTCTACAAGACAGTGACCGCTGCTGGAGGATCTGGAAAGGTGAGCTTTTGCAATATACGATACTGTACTTGCATGTCATATTGCGTAACATGTTCGTCGGCCATCGTCTTTGCGCTCTGTATCTATTACATAATCATTGCAATTGTCAGTACTGCGCAAACAAAGTGTCACCCCGCTGCAGTGACATCGGTGACAGGCAACAATAGCGATGTATACTGCAACGATAAAGCGCAGCTCTATCTACATGTCCAGTTCCTTTGAAATGTCTGTCAAGTAAACATTCAACCAAAAACTCCACAATCCGTTCGTGCAGCCAGTGTCAAAGCACTGGCCATTTCGAGGTTGCCAGTTAGCCAGTCAAACGACCGGTCGCGCCTTCGCTACGAGCCACCGCTGTACCTGCTGTCTATGCTGTGATTCTGTACGTTTGCTGTGAGAACGGGCAACCAAGTGTTCGTCGTTACTGCTTCGAACGAAGTTTGCCTGCTCGTTCGTGCGAACGGCGGCTGGCTGCTAGCGGCTTTATGTGTATCTGCCTGTTGGCTCACTGGCTGAGCGACCAATAGTAGTGGCTGCGGGTAGTGAGAGGAGAGCCCGCAACAATCGGCTCGGTCCATAACGGGGGAAGCCCCGTCTGTGGGACTGTCATATCGGGGAGCCTAGTGGAGCGCTACCGGAAATCCTTTGAGGCCGGCTTGAGTACCCGCTCAACCTCTTTGGTTGTACAAGTCAGAGCCACTGGGGGCCACCGATTTCTCCGGGCCTCGTACTTAGCTAAGCCTAACAGGCAGATTGGCCTGCTGTCGCCGCCGCCGCTGCTGCTGCTGTCGCCGCCGCCGCCGCAGTGGACTATTAAGTGTGCTGTGATAGTGGCTTTAGCAGCGACTGATGGCGGGGTTGTGGGCTGTTTGATGCCAGTGTTTAATATCTACCCAAGTGGCTGAGTAACTGGCTGTTGAATGACGTGTGCCCGATATAATTGTTGTTGCAGTGCAGTGTCATATTATTCTTGTAAATATCATATTGTAGGATAATACTAATAAACTATTGTAAGTGTGGCAGGTTTCACGGCGAAGCAAGTAATCTATGTCGAAAAAACTGGATAGCATCAGGCAACAAAAGCGGACCTGGATCTAGTAAATTAAATTTATTCTTCTTTTTACTTACGAATTAAAGCAATATAGGAGATATTAGCCGTATGTCAGAGCGCCACCTTTCTTACGAATCCACGCTTGTTATTAGACATAATTTATTCGGTCTGTGTGAAGGTAAGGGGCTCATTATTTTTGTATTAGAAGTCACGTCGAATGGCTACCTATCCCTAATAGCTATACCGAACAGCTTTCTTATATAGCTAGCTTAGACATAGTGTTTGCACATAGAGCACACCTATTCATGTAACACAAATTAAGCATACTTATTTATACTTTAACAGAAATGTATCCATTGAAATGTAAAGAGTACATTTAATGGGGGCCACCAACGATGGCGTGGCAATATTTTGAAACAATGCAATCAAGCGAGAAGAAAGTTGTCGCCATCGGTTTACAATCGGCCAAATTAGCATTACATTATACGGCATTTTCTCTTTAGAGAAAAAGTATATTGATCTTCCGCGCGAATTTTCCCAACATAGCTCTAGTGGCTGCGAAAAACCAGTTACTCGACAACGACCCGAAAGGGTGGATTTGGGTCTGGTAAACAAACAGAAAGACAAACTTTTGGTAGGATAATACGGGCAGATGACACTAATATATTATTCTGTGTGGTAATTATTGTATATATTACCAATATATTATTGTAAACGTTGCGTGTTTCTCGGCATAGCGAGCAGCCTGTGCTGAAAGAATTGCATGGCATCGACAGAGAAAAACGAATCGAAAACAGATGAAGTTCATATGAGAGACACACGTACGTAAATGTTAATAACGGCGAAGTTGGTTGCATGTGAGTAAGGAGCCAGCCGCAACGTTAGAGTTGGCGATCGTTAGGGCCCCCCAGTAATGATACGATAGTTTGAGAGCTGTTAATGGATGCGACAGGTAAAAACACTGCTGCATTAGTGCTATTGTGGCTAATAGCTAGCCGATTTATATCAATAATTAAGCTCTATTGTGATATTATTATGGACAGTTTGTTGGTTAGGAGTAGTTGCTGGACGATATTAGGGTCAATTCAATTCACTAACCAACCTGGCCGTCTCTCGTGTTTGTCTAACTTTATCTGGTGATCAAATATTGTTTCAGTTACGATAGACCTCTATTGCGAAAAAAATTGCTAGGGAATAATAGTAGTAATCGAAAACTCTAGATTACCAGTAAAGTCGGTGTTTTTACGCGAGTTTTTGACAAAACGAGCAAGTTCAATGGAGGTACGCATGTATTTGATTAGTCTGAAGAAGTTCGTCACGCATTTTGAAAAGTGCAGAATGCTTGAATTGCTCGTACAATATGGATAACGTCTGGGGAGGCCTTGCTCAAGTAACAGAGAAAAGGGACCAGAAATTCACATTTGTCAAAATTATACAAACTTCGACAATTTATATATATATATATATATATATATATATATATTATATGCGGTACTTGAATTTTACTAAATTTAGACAAATATCGTAAGATTCGACATTGTGTGGTCTCTGTGTGTGTAGATTGTGCATATAATTAATAATTGTGACTAGTCCCACACGTGTTATTCGAAGGCTAACATGGAGAAATATTAGAAGAAATATGATTTAGGGTTCTGTTATCAGTTAATCCCAAAACAGCAATGACTATTACCAGCGATTGATATCTAGTGCGTGTCAGCTCAGTCCGATCGATCCGTGCAGCAAGCACGTATGATAACATTAGATTATATTGAAAATGAACATGTTCATGTTCATCCTTCAACTTGTTTTGTCGTTCCTTATATACTATATGTAGAACGACAATCAGGCAAGTTTTCTCTACATGGAGTAACCAAAGGTAAACAAAAAGAAGGCAAGAAAAATATGGTAAAGACACGGAACGAAATCGCGTAAAACTACACGCGACACGATCCGGGGACTCCTGTGAGGCTGTGGAGTTGGCAATGCATTTACGTCAGATATATGCCGCCGTGCTGTATGCAACGTGAAAATTTCGCGCCAGACAAAACCGAACTGGGCAGGTCCCCGTAGACTGCCAGGCAGCATAGATGATCCGCACACTTGAGTTGATGAGTTCAACCGGTCCTCTAGCCGTAAGTCGTTTCGAATTGTATCCAAAAAATAAGAACGGCGCGCACTGCCAACGGAAATTTCACAGAAACTCCAGAAGCGTCAAGCCATTCAGAGATAAATGAATGTATGCTTCGCATCCGCTGTGTTTGTTATCCCTAACGTTATTATATACTAACAGCAGCTGCGGCACAACTAGCTAGATTTAGTTGGATTGGTCAATAACGTACCAATATTAATGCAATGCTGAAAATAAATTGGGGTCTTTTCTTGTATTTCATGGTGGCATTCCTCTCATCTTTCTACTTACGGATAAGAAACAGTTCAATTAAAACGACGGGCAAATAAACATTGTTTCAGCTAAGGGGACGCAGCCGTACACCAGCACCATATAAATATGTTACACGTTAGTTCATTGCCTAAAATTCTCAGATTTTCAGCTACACTCTCCAAGCGTCTGTAGCTATTAAATTTTACGCGCCTAACGTTTAGTTCGTGCGTAATCACAATCATGCCTCAATCGTGTCAAACAGGCCGACGAGCTGACGAACATTTTGCCTAGGTATTCAAGATTCTAGGAGGACCAATAACACTTACTGGGTCGTTCCTATCAGATAATTGAAATAGACTGAGGGTAGCAGTTGAATCTATCTGTATTCTTAGTGGTTTGTTGTCAGGACGCTGCTTTGCCCAACGAATGTCGGCCGGGTCAAATCGTGTATACGGTCTTTGTCATGGTATGCTCACTTGTTAGATCTGTAGTAAGAGTAGATTGTTCGGGCCTACGGCTATGATGAGCAGGACCAACTTGGCGCATAACGTTACTCCAACTGGCGGAGCGCTAACAACGGTAGGATCGGATCGAAGCGCTGGCAAGCGGACCGCTGGGTCAGAATCGTCGCCAAGATTAAGCGCGGAAGGAGCTGATGCTGGGCTAACGCCTATAGCATTTACTACATCATTGCTATTATGGGAATTGGAAAGGAAAATTAGTCGTTAGAAGAGCTGATATTGACATGTGTTCACGCCTGTTTTTCCGCTATAGCACGTCGGCATTTTTCGACTTTTCGCGCTCCTGTTGTGCTTTGCCAAATGTAGTCAGCTTTCAACTCTACGAAAGTGCTCTATCATAGGGGTTAACTGGTTGGCGCGCGCACTAGGTAAACACTCGACGAAATGTGGGCGACCCTCTACTAAATCTTATCGGTACCAGTCATTCAATAATATAATCGTAATGTTTTACACTGGCTACGTTCAAGATGCATTTGCTCTTAGCTTATTACCGGCAATAATCCACAAATATCGCCTCTATATTCAGGTTCGAATTCGCAAGCACGAATATTACTGTTGTTTAGTCACTGCCACTCTCTAGTAGCGGCAGTATACATGATCTCAGAAATACAGCCGAGTGCCCCTAGACAGTTAGACGCATGGGCTTCGGCAAATCGTCGCGCGTAATTGGAATTAATGCCGATAGCAGCGTCGGTCTAGTTGGTACTTAATTACGCGCGAGGGAACGCAGCGTCGCCACAACTGTTCGTCTGCGTTAAGATGAGTAATCTCAACTATCTCTGCTGTGTATAATTTTTACTGGCGCTGTCGCGCTGCACGTGCGTTTAGCGTGCGGCGCGGTGCGGTGCCAGGTCGGCAAGCGTGGCTTGTAATGATTGTCTATTATAGCGTGCGTCTCCAGCTGAGTAGCGTCGTGGACGTCGTGTGTGCTTCGCGGGAAATGTGTAACTCGTGAGAAGCATCGCTAATACGCGAAATAGGTTGCGAAAATGGAATGGTTTTGGTGAAATATGTGACGGGTGGGTTATGTAATGGTACTCATATACATGCGTGTCTTCACATTGGCGAGACGTGTAGATAACCTATGTATGGTTACGCTGATGAAACTTTGTCCGAAATCAAGTACCTTGGAACTAGTCTCGTTCCTCTATATTGGCATAAAGTGTTTTACTACCAAGGCAAACATAATAATATTTTTGACCTACAAAATAGTGTAGGATTGATTAGAACGATCCTTTACCCTTTAGTTAATTACCAAAAAAAAAAAATAGAAGCTTGCTAATGTGGGGAACACGTTGTGATCTAGATTCGAACTCGAGCATAGACAAACCTTGTTTCGTGCTGAAAGCCAGCCAGCCAGCCAGCCGTCTGATGGAATGCCTAACGGCAATACAGGGCGTAAAACTCGAGACGTAAGGGTGATCTTGTTAGGATACCGACAGCTAAACTTATTGCGAATACCTAACTTTAAGGTAGATATTAGTGTATAAGAAACTTGTAATATCAAACAGATTAATGCTTGTAGTTAGCTTTAGAGGCTGTTGGACGGCTATACTAAGACTGCGAAGAAGAGGTGACCGTGAATGCTCATTAAAGTATAGGATTGAAATCTACTTATTCGATAATATCGTATGAGTGACCAATGGCCTTTTCATAAAACGATTTGCGCAATAGACATATCTTACCCGACAAGCGAAGTACCCCACGCTAGACCCTTCCCCAAGGAGTTAAGATGCTAGCGCATTTCGCGCAGTATTTTACGCGCGTCTCTCGGCAGCTAGCAAGCACAACAGCTAAGTGAGTGGTAAAGATATAGCTTCCAGCAAATTTTAGTCTCCGACACAGATACTCGACAATACAGCTCTCGCTGCCAATAAATTAAATACTTTTGTAAACTATATTAACTAAAGAAGTATAATTAAGTGATTAAAGCCGCGATGTGTTCGCCCGTTAAATCTAGTTTTGAACCTTGTTGTTGGATAATTTATGAGTGCTTTTTGGGCTGATACTACGCCCTTTGCTAGTGCACAATTTTCATAAAACGATGGAGCCTATCCTAATGTTACATTATTACAATCTTAGATGAGGTTTTTATATTAAGGTTACACTACAAATCGAAATATCCGAAAGAAAAAAGATGGACACCAATACAACAGCTTGAAATGCAAAAGCGCTCTCTATCAGACGCCTAATTATAATGATTATGTGCAATGGCAATTAATGTTATCGAAGCGTGAAACATGTTTTGTGTCTTGTGCTAAACCGAAAGATTAGCTAGCCCCGCATTTTACATCAAATTATGAATAAAAAAAAAGAACTGAATATTTTCGGTGATTTAGTCGATTACTATTATATAACAACCACACCGAGTACATTATTAGGTAAAGGCTGATCGGTCATATACTTGCACCTGGTTAACTATATCGTGATAGGGGGTTCACACGGGTCACTATCAGATTATGGCAGTTAATACGCAGCAATACGTGGCTTTGTCAACAGTCGTAGGGCTGGTTCAACTATTTTAATACTTAAGAAGTATTTTTTCATATAGTTCACGAGTGGAAATTGTCTGAAAACGGCCTACGTGAATACATACAGCAGGCGTAACGTTCCATGTGTAATCATCTGTGTTGCATCAATAATTGTTTTTTTACGAAGATGTGCCCATTTATGGGGTTTCTAAAAGGCGCTGGCGGCAACAGGTCGCCGTAAAAACCTGTTGATTTCTTGCAGGAATAACACTATAGGGAAGACATAGGAATATACTTATTTAATTTAGTCGAAATACGCGGTTCTATATATGGAAGTGGGCGTGGAAAGTGCTATGTTGAAAGGTGTCTATTCACTGTTTTTGTTAAGTGGGGGACCTAACTGCCTTCCTGTTGCTAGAGTTACATCATGAATTCAAAGTCAATAACTGAAAAAAAAAGACAAATCATTAACGTTCAATCATAGACCTATCATTGTTAACTTTTGACTCTTCAATAGGGCAGTATTCGTCTTTTCAAACATGACTTCTTTAGAGTAATATGCTTTTTGTGATTCTGGACATGATTCATAGTGTAGTACTAAAACATATATCGAAATCTGCTAGTAACAAATCGTTTTCCGCACATTTACAGTGTAGTGACACTACATATTTGACATAATTGTAATCTGAAACACGCATGGAACTAGTAATTTTAGTGAAAAAGTTGCTGGTGATAAAACTTCCATCTAAATCTTGATGATAGTGTAATATATATATATATAGTGCATACAGAGCGTCTGGTTACTTAGTGGATTTTATAATATTACTATGTTTGACCACTATTTCCTAAACTAAATATTGCTGATTATGATTAAACTAACAACAAAATATTCATTATTATAACATTTCATTATTTCTTTCCGCCTTCTTTTTGTTTCAGCTTAACGAGCGTCCGGAACGATGGTATGAGATTACAAACGCATTGCGGTTTCCGGACAAATGTCCAAATAGTACGCTGGTACTTCGGCAGATTTATCAGCGCTATTTGGGAACCTACGAAAAAGTAACCTTCCTCGGTGAAGACCCCGACCTCGAGGTGGAAGATTCAGGCGAAGTAACCTCATCATCATTTCGTGGCGGGCGAAATTCGTCACGGGGAGGTGGGGTCAGCGCAAATGCCTTCGTAATTCAGGTGCCCATGTCATACAATCGGTAAGTTATCAAGAAATCTTTCGATGCGTGATTACAAATGTGCTTTACATTCCAACTGGCTCTGGAATCCTTGCCAACAGTTTCATTTTTAAATTTGGAGTGCATATAGAGAGAAACCGTTGAGTCGATTAAAGCATTTTAACTGAACAATCATGCTTGAACTTACTCAGTCTCGTATATATGTGTGCATTAAATGAAGATTAACATTATTATAACAGATTAACATTATTATAACAACCTATCTGTTAAATCAGCTTGTTCAAGTTGATTTAACAGATGGGTTGTTATAATAATGTTGTTGTTATTATAATAATAATTCAGTAGTTCTACTGAATAGGCAAAAAAAGTAAAGAAAAACATTGAATCTACCCACTTTTCTTAATCACAATAATTCATAACGGGTCTCTACATCATGTCCGCGCTCTTCGTCTTCTTAGGCAACAGCATGAAGTCACCGATGGCCAACGAGCAAATTACGGCTTATCGACGCAACTCGCCCCGCCAGTATCACCGTTCGAAAGGCTGTGTTTTTCACTTCAGAGTGGCTTACCGAATGAGGAGACGTTCGCGTTAAATGTGTGCACGCTTTTAGCAAATGGCGGTCGACATGCCATGCAACTAAATAAGGCACCGCCGCGCTTAGTTGATCTCCTTGTGTCACAGGCTGGGTTAACAGCCGACGATGGTACGTTGCGGGATACCCTCGACGAATCGTGGCGGGCATGCGAGGCACGGCGGATGACGAGATTTTGGCAGGAGCACGTCGACCCCGCCGTCGGATTGTGTCTAGGACTACCCCCGCTAGATCGTTTTGCTGAAGCGGCCGAAAAAATTGTCGAGGAACGAGACTGCGTAGAGCTAATAGCCGAAGGTGGATTTATGGCTACGAGAGAGGCTCTCGAAGATGAGGATGATTTCTTCAACCTTGATAATGAGGTTAGTCCGAGAGACGCCGAAGCGCAGAGGGTGTTGCGCATAGCGCTGATCCTACATAACCTCAGCTTTGAGGAAGCGAATGCCCAAATACTAGCGCAGAACCAAGCGTTTCTTCGAATGATGATGCTGGCAGCGGTTAGTCGGTGGGCCAGTTTGCGACAGGTGGGGCTCGACTGTCTATCAAATGTTGCACCCCATCTACAGCTCAACGTACATGACGATATCGTCTGCCGAAGTTTGCTACGGCTCACGATCGATGGTACGTACTAATTAGGCCTTAGAAACTGTATAAGGGTGCGTATGTTCAGCGAACAAAAATAGCATAAATATAAGCTATTTTTTTATGGTAACACAGCAGTTGAGGACTTACATTTTACCCATCTTCTACATGTGCTTATTGAGGTTGCTGTTGTTATCGTTATCGTGTAACCGTTTCAGGCATCTTGAAATCTGAGGATCGGGGTTTGGTCACTCGCTGCCTCGACATCATTACCCATTTAGCCCAATGTGAAAGCAATCAACAGACGCTCGTCGCCGAACTGGACAGCTCGCTGCTTGAGCGCCTACTCGAACTTTTAACCGTTCACGATGTTCTATTGATAATTCACAGCCTTGAAACGCTGTATGCGTTGACCGAGCTAGGCGATGGCGTCTGCGAACGTCTGGTCGCTGTCCGTCATGCGATCGCTATGCTGGTATCGATGTTATCGTTGGACCCTATCGCGTACGGCCCTGGAGCTCAACGCGGAATGAAGATTGTGGAGCACTTTGATCCTCTGTTGCCGCCAGCAACGGCGCCACTCATTCCCTCAACATTATCGTCGCATCATGGCCATACGCAGCTAATGCCGGCAGTCGTACAGACGACGCATATGGCACCACCAGCAGCGCCCGTGCAACCACTCATGGGTCGGCCTATGGGACAGCCAAATGGAGGGATTGCGTCTGGAGCGCAACCGCCCATTGGAGCGACCCCGCCTGTTCATACTGTCGCTCCGTCTATGCCAGGAGGCGCCCCGGACACCGGTTCTGTGGGTGAGACGGAAGCGCTGGCTACAGCATGGATACGCGCGCATATCGAGCTGACGCCGGGATCGTCCGTAGGCCGTCAGGAGCTTTACGCTGATTACGTGAATTTCTGCTCGAAGGCTGGCCGTCGCAGTGTTCTTAGTGGACACCACTTTTCAACATGCATTCGAACGATCTTTCCACAATCAGCTCTCAAGGTACATGTTTAGTGTTGAAGGATTCGTTAGCTTGGCTGTTTGTGAATTAGTTTCACATGATGATTCCAAGATATGGAGGTGCTATATTAATGTCAATCTACGCGTATATATGAGACCAATTTTTCAGCAGTGTGCCAGTCAAAATAGTCGATTATGATTCGAAGAGCTTTGAGAAGGAGTGCGCGACGTATTTATTTGTTTTGATTGCCTGTAGATATATGTCCGAATTTATGCAATGAGCAAATAGATGGTCCTACATAGGATTATAACTATAAAACAATGTATCTTCCTCTATTAGGTGACTCAGGTGACAGGCCCTAACCAACAATTGAGCCAGGTATTCCAATATGAGAATTTGCGGCGTCGGGCTGTGCCTCTCACAGTAACTGTGACCCAGACCGGAGTAGGCAGTGCACAAGCGGGGGCGTCCACAGCCGTTGTAAACCAGGTACGTCCTTTGTCAGCTGTAAGACAAAAGATTTTTATTTTCAGCTACTTTTCCATATTGGATTACTTGGTAACTTGAAGTTCTTAGTTTAGAAGTACATCGAGAGCAAAATGGTGATATTTTAAAGAGACTTTAAGCAAAGGGCACTCGTTCGATTTTACGTTGCTTTGTAACTCTGTCAAATTTTTCTAACATTACATTATGGTAGCAACGTACGACTGCGTACATTGTACCCACTCACAATCTCTTGTTTGCGTTATTCCGCCAATAATTCAACTGTTTGTGCATCTGTGAATGACCCTTTTGCTGGGCTAGCTATTTAACGCTAATAACGCATCGTTAGTTTTTCATTTCCCCACGTTTCTACGATGCAACGTACTTTACTCATCGTAAGCCAAATAGCTTAACTTTACGAAGTCAATTTTGGTTGATTGATTGATAATTGACTGATGATTGCTGAATGAGACCTGCGCCAGCCGAATGGTTGAATTAATGTCTTTGCTTAGTCATTTCGTTAATTATTGTTTTTCTTTTGTATTAACATATTATTAATAAGTTTCACATAGCTGCTGTTGTTGTTATCACTTGCATGCATCTTTGCATTATTTGCCATCACCAGCGCCCTGCTAAACATACACCGACTCACAATTAATTACAGGAAGGACGGCGTAGAAAAAAAGGCAAATCCGCATCATTTTTTTCCGACGTGATCGTAAGGTCACTATCGATTAATGATGGAGGGACAATAATATTAATATTATAATATTATATATAGATATATATATATATATATATATATATAGTATTGTCTTTACTGTGTCTAGTTAAAATGGCTCTATCGGCCTGACCGCTACCCCATTGAGGCTATCTAGATTGCTGACGCTATCTAGTTGCGAAAGGATGTTTCTGCAGAAGGATTAAAAGACCAGCTCGTTGAAGCATTATAACGTTGAGGACAATGAAAAGCTGAAACGTGTAATATTGCCACCTTTTATAGATGTAGATAATAAACTAAAAAATGGAGTGATTATGTGTTATTTCTCTTCATCGGTTCGTCCAGTGATCGACCACACAAACACCGTTGAAGTTTCAATGAAGCCAGCTTATAAGCATCTACGAAGATACAAAAAGGCTATCCTCTGTGAGACTGTCTGCTAAACAGACAGCTGAGTCATGGTCCGGGCTTTCGCTCAAGCTACCAAACGTTCAGGACATGCGGATGTGTGAAGTCTCCTAATGACCACACCCTCGCAGGTTTACAGTCGTTGAGCTAACTGATTATATATCGATGGCCTAACACTACAGCGGCGTATTGCCTGCACGACAAAATGTTTTGACTAACATCGAATAACGTGGTATTCGGGCTGACTGTAATCTCCATTGCTGACTCACCTGTTATGTATCAGGCATAAACGACCTGCTGATCATAGTCAGAAGACTGACAATTATTGCGCTCATGGGATTGTCCAGTATTTATGTGTGTCTGGTTACTAGCGAGTCTGGCATTTGCACGCTTCTGCACACGCACACGTCTTCACGTAGACACGCTGTGCGTGAGAGAGTGGAAAGAGCCATACGATAATGTCCTGTTTGGTGAACTAAGAGAGGCATGTTTACTGTCTGATTAATTGATCAAGCCAAACGCGAACGTAAGGACCGGACATAAGCAAATCCCTTCCCCTCCACTGATTCATGATAAGCTTTAGCTTGCACAGCTTGCGACGTGCTAAAATAAGCCGTATGGGTTAACCTATACATATTACCTCCTCACATCGTCATGGAGTTGGTAATAATTGGTGCTCGCAACACGGTAACTTGGTAGCATTCCTCTTCATAATAACCTTAAATCTGTCGCTTGCCTTAAGTAGCTTGTTATAGAGCTAGTGGATATCGCAGAACAATCGCAAAGCATGAATCAATCGCCGATAGAATTTGGATGATGACGGATTCTGTGGACGTGTCTTAAGCATTCAATCGCAATGGATTCGGCTGCGTGCGCGTTTGCATTTGCCTGCATTCATCTTACACTAATCGACTTTGAGAAGAGCTAAAACGTACTCATTTTGTTTTTGAGAGAACAGCAAAAAAATTTGAAATCAGTTCGACGTTTGTATGAATACCCACGATATGACATGGCGTCCATCGCATCTCTCTCTGTGTTCGTCTATTGCTGACATAATTATAGCTCTCCGCAACAGCTATGAATACGCCGAACTCGACTCACACGATTTCCATCGCGTCGACACCTCCTAAACAGCTATCGATCGGCTCGCAATCGGCAGCGGCAGGCGTACTGGCTAGGCCAGTGGCAAGCACGTCCACAGCAGTGGACACCGGCAGTGAACCAACGGGGACTGGCCTTCCAGTTCCCGGTACGACAGCTTCTTCGGCAACTGTCGCCGTGTCAGTATCTGTGACTATGGCCCCTTCGGGGGCGACGCACCCATCAGTAGCAGGAAGTGCTTCTTCGGCGAAGCCCACGACCAGCACCGCTGTCGCTGCCATAACCTCCAGTAACGCGGCCGATCCGTCAGCGTCGTTCCTCGGGGGCAACAGCGGGGGCTCGGGAAGTAGCATTCTCAAGGCGCAACTGAGTGCGCCCAGGCAATGCGCCCAGCCGGGCTCCGTGAGCAGACAACCTTTGATAGCAGACGATGACGGCGCGGTTAAAGCGTCCGCTGGTCAGGGCGCTGCTACGAGCGTTGCCGGTAGCACCACCGTTCCGGGTATTGGTTCGGGTAGTTCAAACCTGATTAAAAGCTTACTGGCCTGTAAGGTAGGTCGCGATAGGTTTGAGCTTTTGCGAATGTGATAAATTGACGGTGACTGGCCGCAGAATAGGAGAATAGCATTTACTACCGGCTTAAAAACGCAGGCTATGGTCGTCAACATAATACGTTAAATAAATATCGTTTTACTGGTGGGTGAGGATACTGAGCGATGGGATCTGTTGGTGGTAATATACAAATATAGATTAACAAGCCTGTGAATAAGCAATTCCTCGATGTCCTGGAACATACACGGTTCTGTCAACATTATGCATTTAAAAGGAACCTATATACCCCAGGCAGAAGCTAGTGTCTACATAAGTACACATATGATCACAAATTCCATGGAAAGGACTTACGAACTACGATAAGTGTAAGACATTCTCTTTATGGCATGCACTCCTCACAAGCATGTACGGTGCGCAGTATACAGTCCAGTAATAAGAAATTTTGATTTGATTGCTATCACCTCTTCTAGGTCTCGCGGAATCTCCAGAAGGCAGCGCTGGATAGTGCTAGGGCGGCTTTGCCTGAAGGCGCCCAAGCTCCACCGACAGTGGCTGTACAAAGACCTCCGTCGACAAAAACCGCGTTGACACCGGGAGAGGTAGCATCTATTACAACAGCTCCGGTACTTACAGCCGCGGTCAAGCCCGAAGATGGCGCAGGATCTGTCGCCGGCGTAGGACCTCATGTGAACGGTGTCGCTGAGAAAGATTCTGCAGCCACGACGGGTGAGCCGCTTGCCTCTAGGGGAGTCGGTCCCGCATCAGAGGCCACAAGCGTCACGACGAGACCAACTGTAGGAGTGATGGTTACAGCGCCTGCGACGCCAAAGGCGAATGGAAACCACGAAACGGCTATCTCGAATACTACCTCCAACGCCAAGGTCTATAAGTCATCCCCGCTGCTCAACGGTCTCCTCGACAGGGGAACCTCACTCCAGCAGTCGCCGCTTCAGCGGTGTACCACCTCAACAGCGGTGAATGGAAACGGAGCCGTAGACGTTGTAATGACCGGAACGAATAGTAACAGCAACAACGGAACCAGCGTGCCTTTGGTTGATAGCCGACTATCTCTACCCAACGGAGAGATGCCGCTGGCCATGGGCACGACCACCTCAAATACGATGGAGGTCCGCAAGCGACGACTTACCTTCGTGTCTGAGGACTCGAACAGCCAGGACGCTACGCAGGTAAAGACTGTTGTCAATAATTATTGTTGTTATACATGTTCAACTAAGCCAGAAATCGCTTAAGTATTTGTTCGCCTAGTAGTATCGTATTTACTATGTTTCGTTTTCTGTTTTACCAGAGCACATTCCACTCAATCTTTAGGTACAAATAGTGTTCTCAGGACGTGACACGTACTTCCATTACACCAACCGATTTCAGGAAAGGCAGCAAAGCAGCTTATCGACCAATGCCAATTCGGCGCTATCGAAGCTGCTTCAAAACGGAACTATTGAGGATTCGAACAGTGGCAATCCGAACTCTACAACAACTTCCACAGCAATGGAAGTTACAACTGCAAGTACTGGCGGCAGTATCTTAAATAACAACAATAATGCTAAAAGGATGAAACTGATGCAAGATGACGAGAAGCAGCCGTTTCAGCCGCCTGTCAAGGTAAGTAGTATCTGCTTGTGTTAAAGCTGAATACCGAATTAAATCATAGCAAATTGCTCGTACTGTACAATGTGCATTCCATGGGACTGAACATTTGATTCAGCGATTTGATGATCATGGCGTGAAAAAACGTCCGAACGATGTATTTGTAGAAACAAGCTTTTCTAATTAATGTAAGGTTTTATTAGGTTAAAGGTAAGAAAACCCGATAAGTTATGAAATGCGTAAAATAAATAAGTAAAAAAAATATTTAAAATAAATAAAACAAGCAAGAAAATAAATTCACAAAAGTTTTCAATTTTATTGTTTCTGATAAGCAGCATACGAATGGAGACGTGAAAGCCAGGGAGACCGGTGTAGTTGCACTGGGCGGTAACCCCATCGACTCAAGCTCAACGCCCGTTGCCTCGGCTGTCACGGTTGCTACAAGCAATCCATCTGTTGTTGGCAGCGTGCTCGTTGCGCCGAAAGACACAATCCCTTTTTCAAGCCACCTTGAAGTATCATCACCTCATCAAGGCCACCAACAACAGGCTAGTCAACAAGAGGTAATCGAAGGCGCGAAGCAGCCTCATGAAAACATTAACAAGCAGCCTCAACAACAACAGCAGCAGACTCTGCCGACCTGTATCGTCGATCCAGCACAGCAAGCCCAGGTACAGCCGCCACAATCAGCGCAGCCTTTGCTGCCGCAGGCTCAGTCAACAATACAACAGCCCAAGGTAGAAAACGGATGCCTTCTATTAGATTTGAATAAGATACGTGATTGAGAGAAAATCCTTATATATATTAATATATAATTGAAAGTTTTATCAAATTACTCAGCGAAGAAAGCACAAAAAAACATCGTAAAAGTAAATTCTTATATGTAATTGAATTAATTGTGTAGAAATGCGTGCTGGCCACAGCCTGTAGTGCTTCTGACGTCTGTGTTCGATTCAAATCATTCATCTAATCGTGTAACTCTTTTGATCTCCAGTTTCTAACGAAATGAATTTTTACATGATTTTGTTCAACTTTGACCTGCAGGAGGTTCAACGATCCGTGCCCCCTTCTCATGGTGCTGGCTCCGCGGTTGTCGTCACAGCACCTGCACTATCTGCTTCTGTCCCAGTTCCAGCGGCACCCGCAATCGAAAAACGGGTACTTCGCTATTATTGCGAATGGAAAGGCTGCGATCAGTCGTTTGGCTCCGCTCGCCACGTGCTCCTGCACGCAATCTATGCCCATGTAGGTTTGCGTGGAGGGTCTAACCCAGTACAACCACCACCCAATATGGACCCAGCTCGTGATAGTCTATTCTGCCAGTGGGGCGTTGGTGGCGATAAAGAATCGTGTGACGGCATGGCCCGTCGACGTCTGTCTCTCTGTACGCACGTACAAGAACGCCACTGTTCTGAGGCGCATCTCCACGTACAGGCTATTCGACGCCAGCAGATCAGCCAGTTCGGAGCAGCCAGTTTACCGGCTCCTGTTCAGCCCCCTCCACATCCGGGATACGCAGCCGACGCCGCTGCCCACGCTATTCGGCGGCATGCTGCGTCGTTCCACGCCTACCGGGACGCTGCCGACGAACGGGAACACCCGGTCACTCGGAGTGTGCGTCTGACAGCCGCGTTAATTCTGCGTAATCTGGCGCGACATGTGCCGTCATGCCGGTCACGTCTTGCGCAGTACGAATCCAGACTTTCACAGGTGGCCATGTCGGCTTTAGAGAGTTCACGTACAGTGGCGCAATGTCTCGCCGATTTGCATATGCAACAGGACTCGGCTGCTAAGGTGAGCCGAAAGTTGAGAGACGCTGAGATTAAGTAGAAGTCACTGAAAAGGGTTCTTGTCTATTGATTTCTAATGTTGTGTGGGTTTAAACCAACTCTTTGGACTCGTAGGTATCCGGATGTGATCACTGATCTAACGCAGCGCATAACGGCGATGCCGGATATATCTAACTAAATTTGCTTAGTTAGTATCACTGAACTGAGTGGGCCATCGTACGACACCTATTATTCGCTACAAGTTACTGTTACGAGCAATTACTAAACGCTGTTATCACGTTTGGATGGTAGCTGGGTCTATAGAAATGCTCGATGTGAATAGGCTCGAGCTGAATTACCGAAGAGCAGCATAAAAACTTGCATAGGCCATTGGAAACACTTCTAGATGAGCCTTTGTAGCTTGTTTCTAATGTGAACGTGCGTATTTTCTTATTACTTTGAACACACGTTATCGTTTTTCAGACAACGTTATCAATGGAGCATAGCCAGCTGTTTCAGGAGGGGACGCGACCCCGTTATTCTACGGACTAAAGAGTTAACACCGAAAAGACCAATTTATCGGAAAAAGATGGAGTTGAACTGCAAACGAAGATAACGACTGAGCCAACAAGCAACCCAGTGAATAACAGATAACGAAAAACAACGCACCCCTGCCAGCAATGTCATGAGATGCTTCCCCTTTTCTACTCCCGACAGCGGCGTCGTCGTAACTACCGATGTTGAACCGTTTGTGTACCATAGAGAGACTGTGCGCTAAACCTTTGACGTTACGGTAACGGATGAACTATGAAGTAGTACTATGTCAATACTTGTCTCAGTTAACCCTGTCTCTGCAACAAAGCTTGTATCATCTATATCTATGAGACTTCAAACCTGGGCTTTTTCATATTTCGATCTCTATCGGCTGCAATTTGTCGGCAGGCTCGATTTGGGGAGACTCAACCATTCTGTCGCAACGTTGACACCATTAAATTTTCTGGTTAATTCGCCTGCCTGTATTTCGAGTTGCCACTGGCGTCTCAAAACGTGTATATATATATATACATACATAACACCTATATACATATATATATATATATATAAATGGTATATATATACCCAGATTTGTAGTACTACTATTAATGCTGTATGAGCGTTTGGAAACGGTGATTCTGCACGCAGTGTTTTCTACAAGCGCATAAAAAAGAAATTGCTATAATTTATGATTTCCTCGATGAAATCATTAAAGAATGATACCATTGAAACGGTGCGTTTGGTGACAATGCTCGTTATGGGCAGCGCCAGAGAAGATGAAACGAAAAAATTGTAAACTACATCACGAAGACGTGCTGTCATTAGTCAGAGAGAGAATACGTTATATGATGCTGATGAAGGACGAACTGCGTGGCAGAGGACCACCACAAAAGGGTATCGAATACCTCGGAATGTGTTTTCGTATCGAAATTGGGCACATAGCTGTGGGCCGTGTCACCATTGAATGAATGTTTGGATGTTTGTGTGTGCATGAACGTTGTACTTCTCGTCTGGGCGAAGCGATATAACCAGAGATAAATGCTGAATGGGATAAACACAGTATGTGGGGGAAGTAAACTGTAAGAATAGAGTACGATCACAAAACGCCTAGTGTAATTAATACCGAACAGGAGGGTCTAACCTAGCCTGCAGGGGTGGCTAGTTTGGTGATTAAGCAGTGATGTGCACCGGTGGCTCGAATGAAATAGAAAATACTAAGGCGTACATGTTTATTAGATGGTGATACGAGGCGGAAGGTGGCATGCATTGAAAATAGCGGATGCAGAAGGAGCGATAGCAGAAGCAGTAGATGATGACACACGGCTAAATGTCAGAGATAGTAACATGAAAATTGGTATTCAGTTAGATAGAGCAGCATCAGGAAAGTTGGCTAGGTTTTTGAAAGCTGTGCATGCGTGCGTATTGGCGTTACGTCCAGTGGTCTCGTAGGTGGTTCACATAATAATGCGAAAATGAAAATATCTGGGTGGGGTACAGTTTTGATTTTGGGGAAGTACGTCTATTATTGATGCAGCTGCAGCAGCTGTACAAGCAACAGCACTTAACGGCACTTAGCCTTGTCTGTGTGTGTACATAGCATATACATATGAATTATAAAATTCTACATATATATATATATATATATATATATATATATATATATATATATGTGTGTGTGCGCGTGTGAAGAATAACTTGATTCATTGATAGCGTACAAAGTGTACGTTGAACAATGAAATAGGAAAATGATAAAGAAATGCTGCTACTGATAAGGATGCTGATGCTAAAACCAACAGCAACTACACGATGACCATAATGAACTCTTGTATTAAGAATAACAATGATAATGTACCCGGGGAACACTGGAGAGTGCACCGCAGATATAGGAAACTGAAGAAATCAACAACAACAAACGAACAGACATAGTGAAGCGTAACTAAGCGAGTTTTACGAATGACATGTGTGAAGACAGGAAGTCATTGTGAACGAAAAAAAGACGAAATAAGTGAGTGAGCAGAACGAACTACTGTTTAGTGGCCGAAATTGACCAACACAACGACTGTTTAATATCACCCCCATTGTGCAGGTGACAAAATAGAAGACAATAACAATACCCGGGGAAACTTTATCATAATGGCAAGACTTATTATTTGTTTAGGATGCAAGATGAAGCGCAAGGCTATCACAGAGATTTGTGGCAGAGGCCGTCGACAATTGTGCCCGATTTGAGTAAGTTCCGACGACCTGTGGAAAGGCAAAATTTGTACTGCACATAAAGGACAACTATCCCATACTTGAAGCAGGAATAAACACGTTTGATGGAGCAGCTTATGACGAATTGAATATTACGATTTATATGAGAAACAAAAGAACACCCAAATCAATAGACGCTTTGAAAAGGGAGAACTCTAAAATATATATATATATTTTTTTTTTGAATCTAAATAGTCGATGCTTGTGGTATTTAAACCAAAATCGCTGCGGGGAGGGGGGTACAAAGCTAATGCTGGAATGACACCTTGTCTCTGCGCTTAGGGGTGAAAAGTAAAGTCAACTTGATGAGATTGGACTAATCGCAATAGACCATGGCCATGTAGAGATAAAAATCAGAAATGCGTGTGTAAGTGTGTCTATATGGTGGAAAACAGAAGGTTTTTTGTGTGTAAATACGCCGTTTGTCGGCCACTTATATAATATGTACAGTATCGAGCAGATAAACAGCCTGTATTATTATGAAATTCTACAGTTTCGCTAAACGAAATGAGCGGTTTGAGGATGTGACGGCGATTGTGTGAAAAACAGAACAAGCGAATGTAATCTAGGTAGGTAAAGAAACGATGGCTTCAACGGGAAGAGATGTGTAACAGTGATTTCCGAAAGGTTCGAAAAAAAAGTTGGGACGCCGGTATAACAGTTTTTTTCTGAGACACCTAATAATACGAGATGGCTGGCTAAGCTTGTTTATAAGTAGATTGTTTACGGAGAGATCGTTACGGATAGAATGGCCAGTCAGGACTGGCGGAAGAACCAAATGTGCGATGGCGGTGGTGATGATGAAGGAAGAAGCTATTAATAGGAATTTGTTGGAAAGGATGGGGACCAGAGAAGCTATTAAACGCGTACAATGCATAGAGACACGAAGAGTTCGAAATATTTGAAGGTGATAATGGACTCAATCTTACTTTCATAGAACAGACTCATTCCTGTGTCCACTATCAGCTGATTCTTGGCCACCATCTTGTAAATCATTCGGAAAGTTTGTCAAAAGAGAACTATTTAATGATTGGTATTGTACATGTATTCATAAATCAGAACATGCTCGAATGTGTTCGAGAGTGAATAACGCTTGCTGTGAAGGCTGGAAATAACTACACAACAGACTGTTTGTTCAGAATGCCGTTCCATGAATAAGTAATTGGCTAACTAGAATGCCGACCTGATCCGTTGATTGATTGTAAATGGAGAAACAGTTGAAGATCTGTATATACGCGTTTCGGATTGTCGCATAATGGTGTAAAATGACCACCTAGGCGTGTTGCTATGGGAAGGCAACACTAACGAAAGTTATAATGCACCAGTGCCCTCGGCCAACAGAAGAGCCGAAATGGAGAAAAGTAGGTCGGTGAAGCCATTTTTTTTCTGAACACCTGTTACCACCTTTCTCAATTTCGATAGGCAGGATCGTACTGTTTCCATTTTGATTTGGGATACAGAAAGAATCCTGTATGTATATGCAGTGCTGATGGCCATATTGAGCTAGTTACCTAAGCTCACGAACCACATATGTAGAGGTGCTGAGGCTCCGGGCTTAAATATTACAGGAACATTTAATTGAGCAAATTTAGCATCATCTCAGTCAGTGGCTTTATAGACACCTATATGAGCTACTTTGAACCTTCCTTCTTACTTGGCTCTCACGGAAGGTGCAACGGTTACATGAATCACGCGATTCTTAATAAGCGATACTAGCCGGAGAGTGGCATTTACGTCTTGCTGGGCCTACGATCCATAACGCTATTGGAGAAGACAACACGCGAATCGAAATCGACCAGAATCTAGTTCTTTTGGGCAGTACTTGCAGCGTCTCTAGAGCGCTGTCCTTTTTCAAACATATAGTGTGTATGGTATGTGTGTCGCTGTATGTATTTGAACGTGAATTCGTGTGTGCATGTATAAATATTGAGACGATATTGTATGAGGAAATGTGTGTTATGAATGGCTTCTGCCGAATGTGTCTATTCTGGGTAATGAAACAATGGATGAGATGTTGTTGACGCAGCAGAAACCGAAAAAGTGACGTGAGTGTAAGCATTGGCGCCGGTAATAAGGAACACTTTATTATTATTCTACGGTCTTGGGTTTCTAGCATCGGTATTGGGTCATCATATCAGAGAATGAAATCAAATTGAATGCATTTCTTTCCAAGTAATAAATGTACCTTTGTACCCCGTTTACGTTCATAAAACGCGAGGAGAGCACGGTAGACCGGGGCGGGAGGTCACATCCTGGCGGCTTTCGGAGCTCACCACATAGCATACTTTTTGACGAGTATCTCTCGGGATTGATACGTGCATTGAGACTAATTAGGAGAATTTTTCTTTAAAGACAGAAGATGTTTTCGATTTGCGGCCTTTTTAAAGGACCTCAACACACTGTTGATTTAACGGTACCTAGTTCTTTTCTATTGAAACGAATCACCACCGCCCATTCGGCTAATAATATCCTACATTTGGGACTACATTATTTCGTAATATCAAAGGGAAATTTGGCCGATTTGGTTATCGTCTTGCGGCTCTGTCGTCATTCGAGGCCTCGAATAGTGCCCAGTGTTTATTTTTGAAAAAAAGCTAAATCGTCTTCATTGAGCAGCGTAACAGCTGTTATTTAACAGTCTTCACTGTTTATTAAAGCAGAGTACAGCCGAAATGTCGCCTCCGTATCGCTCGCCACAACATGATGTTATCATGTTAGTTCGAAGGAAAAACGGTTTTTATTAGTTTATAGATTATATTATTATAGCACATATTATGATGAATAGGCTATGACCACATGCCGTAAATTCATTACCCAGGATAACCACATTTGGCAGACGTAGAGAGGCAAACCGCTATAGACATCCACACTCACTTGGCACAGCAGATGGAAAATACCCATTTACTAAGCGGTGCATCTCTTCCCCCACTTTCCCCCGTGGTTATACGGTATATTATCATTGAATCTTGGTAGTATATTTCACTTTGTGTATTACAATGGTTATGTTTATTACGAAGAGTAAATTCATCGTATCGTTAGAACGCAACAAATGTAGCTTATCTTCTTCGTCTTTTTTGTATCATTTCTCTCATCATTCACGAGTCGATAGCCAGTTAATAAGTCAATGAACCAATTGATCAGCAGATTGGCAGCCAATTGAACGGTTAGCCTGATCTAACATCTTGTTTTTAAGCCGAGCTATTTATAATGACAAAAAAGCAGACAAGTATGCGGGTACGAGGCTAAATGAAAGTACATAAAGACGACGACACAGTACAGAACACGATATGTACACTACTAGATAGTAACGATAATAATTATAATAATATGGATGACTATATTAATGATGATGATGATAATAATAATTATTATTATAATGGTAGATACATCTATATTGTGTGTGGGCGAGGAAAACGAATATGAAGCGAGATAAAATGGTTCTACTAACTCGAGAACTTAACAACAAAATAGACACAGGAAGACGAAAGTAACAAGTTACGTTGTGTAGATTGGGCCCTGGGAAGAGCCGAGTTGATTAGCAAACATGGTGTGCTCGTTCCGAAAGGGATACGAGGTAGTTGAAAACAAATATATTGTTTACTATTATCCTTATTACAATAAAAATATTAATAAATATATTGATGGTAATGATGATAGAAGATTGAGCACGGAATGAACCGGCAACTGAGAAACAGCAAGTAAAAATAGGGAGACAATAAAAATGGGACAATAATTATGATGATGAGACTGACCACGTGGTGAAGACAGCAGCAAACAACAACAGCAACAATACCCATAGCATTAGCAGCGACATATTATTTTGTAAAATAAAATAATTAAAGTATAATTTCCGTTAAACGTGTGTTCATTTCATTACTCCATGCAAATAGCCATCCATGTCGATGAACGTGATAATACTAAAAACGATACCCTTTCATTAAACAAATTTCACTCTATGATTATCTATAAACATTATCTAATAACAACCATACGCTGATATTAGACTAGAAATTTTGACCGGGTTAATTGTGCGTCATAGCTAGAGTGAAGTAATATGCACAAATATATATGTAATCAATGCATATCAGAGCATTCTAGTAAGGCGCACCCAATTGATTTACTCGGTCAGTGAATATAAATGTTCTCTCCAACCTCGCAAATTTCTGATAATAGATTAAGCGCACCCGCGAAAAATTTGATAAATTACCACAATGCTCCTAATGGATTCAGCTATCTGTGTTGTAATACCGAAGTTGAGTAGGCCGTTACGTTATTATCTTACCAACACGGAATTTCTCCCCTACCGATTTCATTTTGCGCAAGTCCCTTGCTTTGAGCAACGTCTGAATCATTTCCTACTAACTGATAAGTATCTTCTTTATGAACAAAAAATTCGTTCTTGTCTAAGAGGTGAACGGCATGTTCTTTACATGACAGAACACTGTAACCAATGTGAACGATTTTCTAAGCGTGGTTAAGTGGGGATGACACTGGACGAAAGTGGCCTCGATGCAGTGTATCTTTAGGTTTTGAAGTAGACTTGTTAGCTCACCTCTCCTAACACACGCCGATGAGTTGGAACAATTGATGTGTTTTTGTAGCAAAATTCTAAAGCTCTGGGTTCCCTTTGAACACTTGGTCAGACCAGGGTACCGAATCTTCCTTTTTCTTTGCCCCGCTTCTTTCCAATGCCCGTTTCCTTTCCCTTTTATTATGTGCCTAAACAAATTCGTTAAATGCGTTTAACGTCCGACACTTCAGCCTTTAAGCATTGTTTCAAACAGTTACTTCCAGCACAAGACGCAGTGTGTCTACGCCCGGATTCGAATTTAGACATCCACATGTCGCTAAGTTTAGCATGGAAACACGTTGCTCACTACGCTATTACGCGGGTTTTAGCAATGCTAAAAATCTAGGTTCGCGAACTTGTTCTATCCAAAACGACTTCATAGGGGGCGCTTGAGACGGAAAAGCTGTGGCTGTATACGTTTATCTCTAAAGGACAGATTCCGTCTTTGTTCTACAAAGCGTGTTAATTTAGATGGTCATACACCGAGGCAGGCAATTTGTTATCCTATTCCGCGTTTAAAAACAACGTAGCACCGCCGTTTACGGCCAGCAAGACAGACTTTACTGTAGCTATTAACCCGCGTCATTTGTATATACGTAATCAAATATATATTTCTGTGAAAATTGTGTTGCCTGAATGACGTATTCTCAGTTTGTATTGCATGAAAGACTTTGTTTAAGCTATATTGTGGAGCACTGTTCTAGCTATTAAGGAATAATTGGAGATTCGACTTCACCGTGATTATAAATATAATTGGTTTTTTATGTTTACACATGTTTAAAAATAAAAATTCGTCTAACAGTAAAATTATTGCGGCACAAAGCCCACGGATGTATTTACTGGGACCGATACACCGACATGGTCTTCCCACAGTCGAAAGAGTTTTAGCCGTTCCTTTTACGACAGATTTCAGTAGTGCTGTTCAATTAGAATCAGTCCAAAAACCCATCAGGCTAGCCAGCTCAGTGGAAATGATCTGACAGAGACCGAGCACGACTAGTTATTGTGCCTACATTCATCGTTGTCTCTAATGTTACCTTTCGGATTTCCATTAGAGCATCAAGGAGTGCCTATGCCCGCCCGCATTTCAACGTAAAACATCGCTTTGCTTCTGTGTTGGGTCCACAATGGCACCGCTGCGGCGACAAACACAAAAATTTCAGCCCACACAATGAAATCCACCTAAACGACTGGGCAACACTGAACACGCTGGGCATGGACTACGATAGGGTCGAGTCGAATCTGCGGGTCGGTTGGTTAATTTAATTATAGCAGGTTCCTCCAAATGATATCGTTTTTTAATTACATGGGTTTGCATATTGCACGGACTAGCAAAATGATCAAATTGTCATTGATTTTATTGATGTTTTGTAATCTTCAGGCGTGTGATGATACGACGTAATTTTGAAATTCGAGTTATGCATGCAAAAGAGATTTTAGATGACCCGTCTGCTTGTAGTATTCTAATTCAGTATCCTTATATAGCGTATTGCCAACATTTTATTTATGCTACATGTTTTATATTTGCTCATATTATTCTAATAGGATGAAATATTGTTTTACGTGCACGAAAAAAGGGTAACAGCGGGGTAAAATCCAAGCCTGCAGTTAAGAAGAAATTGGTTTGTTGTTTGAAAGAGGGTGAGCCAATAGTTGGGAACATATTTGGCCTATGCAGTACGACCTTTTTTTCGGGACTGAACGCTTAGTATTAAAAGAAACTTGCGAGAATTATTTATAACCCGACAATATTTAGAACGACATGTTGCTATTTCTTCTAGGACTGTTCACAAACATCATATTATTTATTTTTTATACTTCTTAAGAGTTTAGTCTATCGTAACGTAATGTTGGTATATTTAGGCTGGTACAATGCTAGCAAGTCAGCTACATTCCATCGATTGGACACAAAACAAGTCAAAACGGAACTTCTGGAGGTGGTACATGCACATTGGCATTCTAGTGGTTATTACACCCGGTTATTACACGTATTAGGTCCCGAAATTCAATAGAAATAGCGTTTGGGTGAATGGCTGATTTACATAATTCATAGCATAACAGAAAGTCAATACACACTATGTATGAAATTATGCCTCTTGGATTACCTCTATGGGCCGTACTTTCTTGTCTTAGAGAAACTGATTAATTATTATACCCTAAAATCCAAGTTTTTCAAATAGCCATCTCACTATCAAATAACGTTTCATGCGTTGAACGTATGAAAAAAGGTTATAAAATGCTGTTTAGTAATGATATTCCATATTTTTTCTTATTTTTTATCGAAATTGTTGATCTTGACCAGCGTCGGAAGAGGAATAATGAAGACCTTTTCTGCACATATCGCGCTTCAAGTGGCCTTGAGTAAAAAACTTGTAATTTAATTGCAACTGATTCTTCTTATTTAGAATTAATTAACTTCAGTAACTACTGTGCGTATTTTGCACGTTGCTAACGCCTATAGGATCGTAGTTTTTTCTACAAAATATATGGGATGGCTAGTAGTACGTTACTAGACAGAGGCTCTACTTGAACAGTTGCTAAATGACTTAACGCTTGTCAATATTAATAGTATCGATTCTAACATAGGTTTCATGAATATATTTTGGATATCGCATTGGCGCTAACCGCTGCCTGGCTTCCGCTTGCAGACTACACAATACCTAGAAAAATATGCCGTACCTTCGACGGACAGCTCGACCATTGCATCTGCGGAAAACTCCTGAGAAAAATGCACGCGGAATATTTCAAGCACCGAGACCTCCGCTCCTGAAAAGACGTTTTTCATAATGACTTACCGCCAAATCAATCTGGTGACATAATTAAAAATTGAAACTTGATCTATAAACATAGAACAATGAATGGCCATCTGCGCTGTGCTGTAAGGTATGAAATTATTGCAGCACTAGCTTAATTTAATAATCGAGATTCCGAGAACACCATCTCCATGCAGTTCCGTATGGGTACGATGCTTGCGTGGTCTGACATTTCCGCTTATATATGTGCGTGTTTATAGCGCTATTTATGATTAGTAAGCGACGCTCCACAATAGGAATCAATGTGCCAGCGGATAATATTAGGATCATACTTATTGCGTAAGTAAAGATAAATTATACATTAAGCAACGTCTGCATTGTAGGTATAGCAATTGCATCGCCATCAATATCATTTGCTCTTAGCAGCAGAATCACCGAAGTCCAATTAGACTCTTCTTGTCTATGGTACACTCATGGCATAGTTAGACAAGCGCAATATTAAACCGTGTTCGTTGTCTAGCTAATTTAGTTACAGGGCCATGGGCGGTTCAAGACTGTTTCTAACAAAGAGTTCATTCAAACGCGGTCTGCCAAAGCAACATGGCATGCTCAGTACGAGACGGAATCGTTACCTCAGTCATATTTCTCGTTGCATCAAAGTCTAATTCAGTTCTGTCTCGTTGCTGCTATAGCTATAATATGAAACACCCTTAGATATTAACCAACTATGGAATGAAAACACCCAACACTTATCTTTCCTGTTCCTTTCCATTTGCACATTTGCATTGTTTTTATTCACATGTAAAAATAGATTTGAACGATGACGTATATATATATATAATAGGTACATTGATAGGAGCTTTAGGCTGGTTAAGCGCACCCCAAACTCTTTTCGTCTTCCATCCATTTTCCAAGTGCTTCCGTTCTGTAGCATTGGATGGCTTACAATACTTCTTGTCATCGTGAATAATATACCACCTCATATATGCGTTCACTGTTAAAGACAAGAAATTGGTTATGAACCATCGAGAGCGCATTATCCTTACTCATCTGGACAATAGTAATGTAACATAGGCATGGCCCCAATTATTTCAGGCCTAAACGTTCGCAAGTTTTTGTAGCAGTCGTTGTTGTTGCCGTCACAATTATATTTGCTATTTCCTCTTTATAACTGTCCTATTTAATCATAGGTTACTTAATCACGATTATCGCGCACAATCAGCACTAATGCATTCAATACATTAACGAGCTATAATAAAGGTTTGATTAAATTATTCTATATTCAGATCGTTCAGTTCACCGTTCAGATTTACCCTGACTCGTCCGCCGCGATGTCGGGTCGTGTGGTCTTGATTTTTTTTCTCCTATATTAGCGGTCATCCTCACTCTAAATAAAAATTGAATTTATTTAATATTAGTAAATCTCTACGGAGCACGGGACGAAGCGATACATACGAAGTCGTTGCTCCTTTCAGTCGAGTTTTTTCGCGCAAACTTCAACTAGTTTCTCCAGAGACTTTTTCTTTCCTTTTTTCTATCAACCACCGTACCCGTTCTATACACGCCTTCTTCGATTTGCCATCGACCCGACTTGCGATTAGATCCCATCTGCCCTCAGTCCATTTAGGGAATGCTACCATGGCTAATTCGAGCTGTTTCTGCTGGCTCGCTGTCCACGCCGTCGGATCGGAGTCTGTTTCTTCAGTAGAACCGGCGCTAGTCTCATCATAATCACCGTCATTATCAGATTTGTTTTCTTCATCGTCGAGCTCCTTTGTTGAAATCCCACTTTCGACAAACAGCGATTTACTGCTGTTCTGCTGATCGGGTATGACGTTCGTCTTGACCGTGCGCATCGACTTGACCTTATCAAGGATGTCTTGCGGGGAGCGGGTTAGCGCTTCGGCGATTTTCTCCCAGCGGTCAACTGACCCGATGGGGTATTTTTTGAGCAAACGAATTAACGTCGTTACCTCGTTATCACCCCAGGGCCCCTGCTTGATTCGCTTTGTCTCTAGTTGTTTGTCGTCTCCAGTCGACACGTTGGCCACAACCGGGGCAGTTCCATTTACCACTTCTGCAGCCTTTACAGGTTGTCTTTGGCGGGGTGTCCTTTTGGGTTTCATTGATTCATCATCTTTTTCACTTCCCTCTTCAACAGGTTTTTTCTTGGCCGCTAATTCCTTTACGCAGCCTGGTAGTGCGACGAAAGCACAAAACAGCTGATACGGTAGTCGAATAAACCAGATATCCTTGAAACTCGGCGCAGAGATGCGCGACATGAGTTCTTGCCGAATTTGTTGAATTTCCTCCTCAGCTGCTTTATTCTTTTTTGCATTCGTTGAACGTTGTTTTTTGCGTTTGATCGCCTCATTGACATTAGACTGAATAGTGAATTTTGCCTCCCAATACGACGCCCACATCCACAAAGTCTGTGCGACTGTGATAAGAATTGACATCATGACACTCATTTCTAGCGGGCCCATTTTGCGCGCTTTCCGGTAGTACCGATAGTACATACTGCGCGCCCAGTCAGGGATACCGTACTGTAGAATTTCATGGTACTTTGCACGTTTTCGCTCGTCCTTTAGCACTTCCATAACAGCGGCTATCTTTCGGAATATCTCGGGCGCTTCCGGATCTGCATTTCGATCCGGATGGTACTGAAGCGACAGCTTCCTATAAGCTTTCCGTATGTCCGCAGTAGTCGCATTCTCGGAGATTTCTAGAAACTCGTAGAAATTCTGTTTGACGTCTTCGACAACGTCGAATAGATCCAGATCCTCGACAGTTAGGTCCGCTTTAATTACAGTGATTTCACAGAAGATTAACGTAACTAGAAACATGAGCTTCATACTGATTAATAGATGAATTCTCTAAGGAATGAAATTAAGATGAAGTTATTTATCGCTATAGATAAACGCTGAGTTCAATTCTTTGGCCTGGTTCACAGCTACGCCATCTGGATGGCTACAACCTAATCGACGTCCTCCTAGATATACTACACGTCAAATCTGATGCTTGATGCCGAAAATTTTTAGCCTTACGACACGAAACCGAATATCACTGTTCGAACGATGCTGAAATGTAGCACCATTCGAAAGGCGTAGTTGGACACAGACGGAAGCGGTTGGACACGCGGCCGGAGACCAATTCGCACTATTGGTTTTGCCGCGCTTCTCGTCTCCTCGCATTGACTTTAGAAAGATTAGCTTACAATAACTACCTGTACTACTAAACAGTAAGCATGCTTCCTATATAACATACATTAAATGTGATAATCATATTTTTGGAAATTTGTTCAATTAAGTAATTCTAAGAGCATTTGTGGTGAAACACTAATTGACAAACTCACATTAGGTATAAACCCATGCCCGTAGTTACATGGGTTGGGCGGTATGTTGCCGGGACTTGAACTAATGGCCCTTGGACTCTTTTACCATATATAACAATATGGGAACTTCTGTCGCTTTATTAATTACATTAGCGACGGCCGAAGCCTTAGCAGGAGATTAATCTAAATATAAGACCAAGACAAAAAAACTTCAGAGGCCAAAACATATTGTGTTAAAAAATTTGTACCTGTTTACGCTAATTATTGTGTAAATTTTCAGGCAGTCAGATAAAAATTTCCGATAAGAACAGGAACGCCGCTGATATCATTGCTGTGAAGAATAAACATATGATTTGGATGCAAAATTCTTTATATAAAGGATATATATTGGCTGTCAAAAATAGAACTAGTTCCTTTACTTGGTCCATTCGAATTAAACAAAATACCTGGATTCGATAGTTAGTTAGTGCTAAAAAAAAAAAGGGCAATGCATTTATTTCTTTCAGAAGCGTTTACTAACGAGGATCGTATAACCTTATTACAAGGACGTTCATTATTCTTAAAAGCTGTGTCATACTGTTGAAACGAAAACAACCTTTCTTCTTTAATTACCGTCGAAATGTCGCAACTTACCATGTACATGTAGAAATGTTATGGCCCTATCAATAGAATAAAAAGTTCAACAATATGGACGGGTTTCGTTCCGTTTTGTGATAGCGGTTTCAGGTTGAGAAAACCATATTATCATATTCTAGTTATATAAGTTATATAACCTTACTTTTTAATGATGAGTTTTGACAATCTTATCTTATTAACATGATCGAATGACATTTTAGATAGCCTGTATGAACTACAGTTACACTGTATCATCAATAAACACACAGTATATTAAATTATTTTAAATACTTTGCTTAACATTTTTTTTATTAATAATCGTCAAAAAATACATTGCAACTTGTCTATAAATCAACATTTTTCTGTTTAATAAATAAATTCGCACGTCAACCAAAAAGGTCTGACCCGGTTTTTTTGGCCTTCGCCCAAGCTTCTTCACGGGTTTGCTTTTCCTCTTCGGACGGCTCCAGGGAATTGCCATCAGCATCTAATTTCCCATTGAGATAATCAATCTCGATTTTTTCTGTATAGATAGCCTCAAACAGGTCCTGCAATTAGAAAACAAATCTATATCTTCTGAATGATGATTTAGTAAAAAAAAAAAATGTACGGGTTTCACAAGAACAGACTAACTATCACGAAAAGCTGGAACGTTGATTGACGGACGAATTTAGAGATGTCAAACATTTTTTGTCGAGTCCAAGCTTCAAATTACAATGGATTTACGAAAGCTAGGCTTGGCAGAATTAATTAGTTCCATCAGCACCTTTTTTCCTAATAGATCAAAAATCCCGAAAAGTCTGCTCGACTAAACTATTTGCGTATTTATTTTTTTCATAGAATCCCTAATTAGGCTCTAACGAAACAGCATGTTTTATAGTAGCTTAGTATATTAGTAGCTAAAAAATAAAGCACAATTTATAATGAGTAGCTTCCAATTACGCAATTCTGTTGTGCGGTATATAGGAATGCATTCGTCCATTATGAATTTTTCGGAAATGTTCGTGCTAACAACTTAATAACCAAATAATCAGTACAAATCTAAAAAGAATGAACGAAATAAATAACAAAATGGTACTATTAGAAAGCAACACAGTACCTCGGCGGTAAACGCACTTTGCACGACATCGGGAACGTTGTACGATACGTAGGGCTTAAGTTTGAAACCGTCAAGGTTCGGAACGATAATCTCAGGGATTAACTCCGGTTCGATCTGTTTTGTCCCGTAAAGAAAGGGCATTCGCTGACCGTATGATTCATCTTCAAGATCTGGGTTCTCTCGATCATGGATCAAACCGCGTTTCGAGTTTGGTATCCAGAATTTGCGAAAATTCTTTCTGCCAAGACGAGCCGTCGACGTGCATATCCCCCGAACAACTGTGAGTCCGGTCATTTTTGTATGACCTGTTTTTCGGTCTTCTTTTCCACCTAAAAACACTGCATACAATTTGTATCCAATGCGAGAATGGTGACGCTGTACAATCAGCAAGACTGAAAAGGCGTTCCACCACCCAGCCCTAGTGTTTATCTGTTAATGATCGGAACACTCGCGCAGAAAGCACCGTTGTTTTTGTTAAGTGTTCTTAATAGAACGAAGGGTTCGTAGTATTGTCTGACAACACGCATGCGTTCAGTCACAAATTCCGATGAGTCCAAATACGGCCGTTGGCGGACCGATTTGGACAGACAATTTAAAGGAAAACGGATTATTATTGACAAATTCGCCGATTTCTGTCGTGATTTATTTACCGATGGTCAGCGGAGAACAAATCTATCAACCTACTGGTTTTTCTCAGCGTTCAGATTGATGCTAGCATGATTAGTCGCGACCTGTCAAATGCATGAAATACCGCAGCTGTAAATGATAGAGGGGGAAAGAGGACTCAACAAGTCGGTCGTGTATAACCAAAATAAATCGAACAAAATGCCGTTGTTACAACTACAATTGCCCAGAGTAAATTAATTTATGTAATTACGTTTCGGATGCGAAGAAGTTAACCGTATTCGTGGCTGGGTGTTTGTTTGTTAATTTTTCAAAATAATAGTACTCTGTATTTAACAATAGGCCTTATATACCCATTTATAAAAAGTTATGAATTGCTAATTCAATAATAAGAATAATAATAATGTAATGCCTCGCGTGAAACACTCGACCGAGTTTTGCTGTACTCATCCCCGCTGTGAAGTTGAGGGCAAAGCGCGCAGATTTGCCAAGGCAAGTCTTCTTCGACAGGCAAGTAACTTTGAGAATTAAACCATACTTATGTCAGTGATGGTTACTTCTGTGGTGCTTAGCTTGGTTACATTTTTTTGCTTGCCGTAACTGAATTGTGCGCAAGTGGTAAATTACATATACATACATAAACTATGATAGACAGACTAAGTTTAGGGACGCAAAATATGTGATAATAAGAGTTAGTACCACTGATGGAGTATAAGCAGTATAACTTGTTCGAGCTAATTTAAATCATTGTGGGCAAGTTCTTCTGCGCCAATCGATGTTACGGCTTAGTGGGACATGTTGACTATACACTAAGCAACTAATCGGTTTTCGATACAGTATGAAATGCTATATTGCTGCCATATAAATGAAATAAATAATAAAAATTAATGAAACGAATTCATCAGTTTTAATGACCATAATGCAGAAAGTCAATTGAGAGTCAAGATGGAAAAGCTAATCCGCAATGTAATTATTGAAAACACCATGGTAACATTTTACTTCGTTTTTCATGTACTCCTTGCATATGTTTAGCATCAGTTGAAGGTTCACGCCGAAAAGACGCTTAAGTGTCAGCACTGCTCAAAGGCGTTCTCTGTTGCTTACCTGCTTCGGCAACATGAGATCGAATGTAATACATCCGTGACATGTAAGGCTTGCGGGGCCATATTCGCCTATCAAAGTTCACTAAAGAGGCACTACAAAACAGCAGATCATGGACCCACGTCCGGTTTGTCATCGTAAGTATACTTCGTCACCATAAAAATCCGCTCTAGGCACACTACGCTCGCTATTTAGGAGCATGACCTCAGAGACTGTGTGATATGCAAAATTTATGGTCTAGAACATCGACTTTTGAAATACGCGCATCGAAGCTAGTTGTAATGCAAATCTTAACAGTCTACTAGAAATTGTAAATTATTGAAAATTGTTGTTATGTTTACATTATTACTGTTCTTATGAAAAATTAGAGATATATCCGATGTCGAACCTCATTCACAAGAATCGGATCTGCTAACGAAATTTTGCCACGAGGCGATGTCGTATATGATTGAGTAAGGTTCGACCCTACAAAACGATCATATGGAGATGGTGTGCACTTTGCAAGCAGTGATTTACATATATTTGCTTTGTTTTACTGTCACTGTTTTCAGGGGGCAGCCAGTATCGAAATCGTTGTCATCAAAAAAGAACTTCCAAAAACCCACCATCGTCACTATTCTGCCCCTTCACATTGTGCCAGTCTATATCCCTACACCTGGTTCGACTGACGCATCTAACATGGTCAACACTTACCGCAAAGAAAGGCTTATCCTACCGAAAAGGGTTACCAAGAAGGCCGCATCAGTTCAGGTTGCTCGACGCATTCAACCCAAGCTAACAGTATCCACCCAAGTGTCCTCTTTGGACTACGACCACTATCGTATGGGGCACAAAGAGTCACAAGCTTGTGTCGATGCTACAAAGACGCTAATATCTGTGTCGACATCAACCGTAGCCGAAAAACAGATCTTCGCCCCTTCGATTTCCACCCAAACCAATTCAAGCACTATGTGCAATGTTGCTGTTGGAATTGACGAAGTGCTCGATGATCTCCAGAAGCTATTCGAAAAATCGTCAACTAACAGCCAGATTACCTCAGAAATTTCTTCGGAACAACACAACTTTGCACAGCAACAACTCCAGGGTGACCAAAATCAGCATAATTCAGCGCCTCAGAGTGACTACAGCCATCCCTCAGATATCTTACGGGACGTTTCATGTTCTCTTACTGCTACGACAAACTTCCACCACGCAGAAACCCAGACTTATCAGCCACGCTTTGCTCATACGCACATACAAACTTCGTATTATGACAACGAGGCGTTTGATGGAAGCTTTCTTTCCAATAGCGCTTCGATTGTCCCAAATGCCGCCGCACACCAACAGCGGGCAAGGGAACCTGCTGTTGTTCATGTAGGTGTTGGAGGACCGCCGTTCGACGAGAGGATTTTCGGCCACATGGAAGTTCAGACGACGTCGTTTGAGCCACAGGTGCAGAATTTCGGCATGCAGACCGCTCTCAATTTTGCCGGAACTGTCCTCAACGGACAGGGCAATATTGCTGAAACTCAGACATTATGCGTTTCGGCACTCGATGGCTTTTCGCAAACCGGAAGTATGGAACTATCATCCGTGGAAACGCAGACTATTGAACAATTCTTTAATAGTTTAGAGAATCCCTAGGAGAGGTCGGTCGAGAAAACCACTTCGAATAACCATACCTGTATAATTTTAGAAAAAGTAGTGACTAATGCAAGGGCATGCAAACACATCATATTGGTTTTTGGACAAAAATGAAAACAATGGTAAAATCACAACTAGTTTATAAGCAGGGTAGCAGGTTTTAACGAACATGCACGAGAAGGCAAAAAGTCAAGAAGACTGAAAGGTAAATGAAGAAGTGTTTCACTGATGTTGATACATCCTCGTTGTCGCGTAGTAAAATAGGTTGCTCGGTGAATAAACTTGCCAGCAAAGCTTGTTGATTTTGCTATGTCCATGGCTACGTTTTATTGTGTTCATTATCTACCTAGTAAATCAATATCCCTTAAGTAGGCTAAGGGACTTGCGTGATTTGATACACGAACATCTTGGCCTCTAAATAAATGTGAGCTTGAGTCCGTTTCTTTATCTTTTGCCTATTCTAAACACCACAACCTGATTGCAAAGCACACTAATTACATTTATAGCTTAACCAACAATCACGCTATGTGATCAGTTAAATTCAATGTTCAACAGAAACCTGTAACTTCTTTTCGTCGAGCCATTTAGTTAAGAAAAAAGGTTATGTTGCAATGGTTACTTTTCGCCACATATGCTTGACACGGGGAGCCGTATTAGGCACTATTTGTAAATGTGTAACAGATTTTCGGTCTAGGTGTAGATATGGTTCTAGTATGTTAGATATCAGGGCAGTCTAGTGATGCTGCGTTGATAACATGTTTGCCTACTAAATTTCGGGATACGTAAGATAGACTAGGTCTGATACCGCGCGTGGATACAATTTGTTTCGTGATTGAAGCGGTCATCTGTCTGAAGGGACATCTGAACGGTTAGACAAACGCAAAATTCAAAACACCTCGATATAAAGACAATGTGCGAACATATTTTATTTATCTTTGATTTCTGAATAGCTGGGTTTGCTTTGCCTTAAGGTCAGTTTCAAATTAATCTCCGCCCACTTATTAAAAAGTAATCGTGGCTAATAACATTAATTTATTGTACAAATATACAGAGGAGACAGCAGTTGCTAGCAACAATGTATTCAATGTATTACAGGCTTTGCTATATCACACGTTTCATTTGCAAATGGCTAATAAATTAAATTGATCTCTGTTTAATATTTTTTTTAATCTGAGCCTTTCTCTGCCGTTTGCTAGGCTCAAGCCCGCTGTCATATTCCGAAATCCTCTTGCGTTTTGTCGCTATCGATCGAGCGGCCTTGGCATTAGCGAATCTTGTCTTATTTTCATTGTGAATATGTCTAGGCGCCTTTGCACCAAGCGCTCTTGGTGGATCACTTAGACAGAACATTTTAGCAACATGACCAAGATGAAGTTCCTTAAACGGTGCAACTTCTCTCAGATCCAATGGATAACTTGCTGCTGATCGGATATACGTAGTAAAAGCGTTTCGAGCTAACTTGAGGAGTTCAGGCTCTCTTTTGACTTCTGCTTCAAACGTCAAATGTAACGCTGCGCAATAATCTTCGGCCGTCTTCAGTCCGAAAGATGGATTCTTCCGCGACAAATAGTCCCGAAGCGTTTTTACGTAATTGATAACACCGCGCATCGGCATCTGTCGGGGCCGTATGTGCTTTTTTGCAAGAAGATTCAAATACTTGGCCTGACAAGGCATCAACATTATAATAGCACAGCCTTTCATGCCGATTCGAGCTGTTCGGCCTACTCGGTGCACGTAGTCCTGTAGACTTAGTGGCAATGAAAGCTGCACGATAAGATCGACCCTGGGCAAATCGAGACCACGACTGACCACATCGGTCGTGAACAACACACCTGATTCTCGGCCTCGGAACTGGTTGAATACTTCGATTCTGTCGGACTGGGACATCGTTCCGTGTAACCGGTAGAAATTCACCTTGTATCCAGCCTCTAGGAATGCCTCAGACATGACTCCAGAAAAGAGATTCAGATAGAAGTCAACTACACCTTGTGTTGGCAAAAAGACAATAATTTTATCTTTTTGTATTGCACCCCGAATAACCATGCTAGACAAGGCAACCAGGTAGAGTTTTGTCGGACAGATCATAAACGTCTGCTCTAAGCTTTCCGGTAGGACAAAGTTGTCAAGGGCATTTTGGCACTCACTCGACGCGTCTATGAGTAACGGGTTGCTAAGCGACAGGCCCGCCAGCTTTTCTACGCCTGGCGTCAACGTGGCCGAGAGTAAAACAGCATTCGATTGGTATCCTTCCCGTTCGCGTTTCCATGCCTGAATAATTTGCGAAATATTTTGCTCGAAACCCATCTCGAGCATGCGATCAGCTTCATCAATCACGAGCCAGTCGGCGGTCTTGAACCCGAACACACTTGTGTGGTGAAGATGATCGATAAGCCGACCCGGTGTACCGATCATGATCACCATGCCTTTTCGAAGTCTAGCTTTTTCTGACTTTTTCTTTTCACCACCCATCAAAACTCCCGGGACAATCCATTTGCACGCATTGGATATAGTCTCTAGACACTGGTACGTCTGCAATGCTAGCTCTCGAGTCGGGGTTATGATCACGACGCGGGTACCGGTTTCCCGCTTAATTTTCGGCTGCTCCAACATTAGTAAATGGAATATGGGTACTGCGTAAGCCAATGTTTTTCCCGATCCCGTCGGCGATTTAATCAAGAGATCCTTACGAGCAAGCAAGTGTGGTATGCTCTTCTGTTGGACAACAGTTGCTACGGTGATTTTCAGCCGGTCTCGTATGCAATTGACGAGATGCGGATGGATATTTAACTTGGAAAAGTCGTCATCAGAAAATAATCGCAGATCCACTCGTGGCTGTTCTTCGTCTCCGGAAGCAGGAGCGGGTAATTCGATCTCGACATCGAACGGATCTTTTCTTGTAGTCCGTTGTTTGTCCTTGAATTGAGAGTCAGGCTTAGACTTACCTCGCTCATAAAGAATCCCTTCGAGTTTTAGCTTTGTTTTTAATTGTGGCACGCTAGCTTCGCCAAGCGGTAAACCATCTGCAGCTGTTTTATTTGGCGGTAATGGTACGATCCCCTCATTGCGCAAAGGACTTTGCTGGTGGGCACTTTGCAATTTCCTTTCATTATCGTTTCCACCATTTGTATCATCTTGGTCACTTTCAATCATTACTGCTTTGGGAAATATACGATCCGTTTCCTGGGATGAATCCTCGGAGGAGTCATCGCATTCAATAGCGGTACTCTTGTCTTTGCCCTTTTTGGATAGTTCCTCTCCACGAAGAAGCGCATCAATGTCGATCGGCTCAGCCGTGTCATCTGAGCAGATATTCAGAAGCAACTCGCCTCCAGCGTCCATAATAGAGATCTGAAATAGAGCAATAGGTTATGACAGCCTTACTTACGCCTTCATATTAGATATGAAAATATGCACGATAGCGAAGTAAATATGCACATGGCGAGAAATAATTAACGGCAATGGTTAGCTAATGTAGTTCTATTGTAATTTAGTCATTGTCAAAGCTTTAATGTGAATTACACCCCGCGGTTGGTACTTTTTCATTTTGACAATACACTGCCCAGAATTACCTAGAGTAAGTAACTTTTTTAATCTTTTATTGTGCAGCTTAAGTTAACAAGAACATCTTCTCTTACAACGCAGAAGGGGAAAACAATTCTTGCTCGATGCAAGAAAACCCGATTGAGAACGCTACTTTTGAATTGTACTATAATACCACGCATGAAAGATTGGTACTTTCGCTGATTAATACAGAAAATCATCGTACACACTAATATAGATGTATTATATTTAATTTGAATGTACCCTCGTACTGCATGACCATTTTTTCCCATTTTTGCATACGTACACGGTAACCTTAGGAAAAATTACAATGCTGGTCAACGTTTTAAGCACAGCATTCTTTGACTCGTGCCGAAACCGGCCGGAAATTAAGCAATTAATTTAAAATGGCCAATCAACTTAACGTTTATCTTCATAGTTAACATGCCAGTCAGTGATTTTTTTTGCCACATGTAATGTGCATGGATTTCACAAGCTTTAGCTCAAGGTCATCCTTTTTATCTTTTTTTTTTCAAAAATAATAACTGTATTAAAGTAATTTTGCCGAAGTTAATATTCGAACATAAACGACTATTTTGCCATAGATCATCAACTTTCACACCTCTTCTTCGTAAAACATGGACGTGTATTATACGACTGTTGACTATGTATCTTCAAAAATGTCAGTTGGACCTCAGTGGATTACATGAGCCTCACATCTCACCTTTTTTTTTGGTGTCTGAATACTTCTTCGCACACTACGACACCCTCACAAAAACACAGGTGCTCTCACTCAGATGTTTTTTACACGCGGTTCTGAAATTGCACGTTGTTTTATTTGGATTATTGTTGTTGCACTAAATGCAAAAGCTAACCAAAATGTAACACCCGTGCGACATCTAGTCTCGTCGGGCCCTAGGAGAAAATATGGCGCGAAAGCCCCAAAGCCTTCATGGATTTGCCTAATTTATAGTCGTGCATCATTAAAAAGCTTTGGCACGGTTTTACAAAATGAAACTTATACATAGCATTCATTCTCAATGCATAACATTCATGGAAAAAGATTGTTCACGCATCGTTTTGTTGCGAAATTTGCTAAAACACTTTTTAGCTCCGGTTCTGATCTCGGTAATATTCAAGCACCTTTCCACCATATGCAATTGTGTTTTTTCCAATTCTAGTAAACATTATTTTATCAATAACTCTAAGAAAATCTCAAATAGGTATAGTTTTAACTGTATCTTTATTACGCTGACACTTCTCTGATACTCCTTTCGCCTCCTTGCGAAACTTGTAAAGGAACTCCTCTAGGACTTCCTTTACAAGCTCCGCTGCTTAGGTTAAGTCATAGTTCGACACTTGCGTTGCGTAGATCATGATTGGTTTAACATGTATGCTATAAGTTTAAATTACAATTTCATATAGGAGAGTATAAATAGGATCTAAAAATTCGGTGTCAATAAGAGAGTGGATGTCCTAGTGACGATGCAGCGGTAATGTGTTTGTCTAATAAACTGTAGATGTATAAGGTGATCGAGGTTCGGAAACGAGCCTAGACACTTTCCGTTTCGCGCCAAAGAGCCAGCTGCGCGAACTAATGATTTACGAAAGCTGTACGGGACGCAAAATTTAAAGCCTAACTAGGTTTAAAGAAATTTACTTTTTAATAAAAGTCCCAGCAACAGAGACGGTGATTAAATTCGTTATTCCCTCTTTTTTTCGGTTCACTCAGATTGCTCGTGAGCCCTTGAAACAATACTAGGACCAGCACGGAGGTCTATTGAAAATAAGTCAGCTATGGAGAAAATTCAAAACGTCTCAAGGCAAATGGTTTCTCAAAGGTGCTCGAAATTGATTTCACCAAAGAAACAGGCAGTAAGATCTTTCAGACCCTTAATAACTTTAGAAACAGAGTTAGTAATGAATGAAACTAATAAATATGATAAGAATTATTTTGTCACTACTTCGCTCATTTATTAGGACTGGACTTCGTAGCAGTTTTTGGGCTGCTATAAATATATAGCTAATTTTCATACATGTGTCTATTTGTGTGTTACATTTATTCGTTTTTGGTCTTATAATAAATATAGAAACACTTCACCAACATGCACATATGTGAATAAATGTATTACGAACTCGTGATGTAATTCTTCTTATATGTACACGTCAGCTTTAAATACTCTACACGTAATTACCACAAGCGTATTTTACTATTATATATATTGAACGTCTCAATGAACAGAGGAAAAGACTACACGACATATGTTAAAGAGCCAAGAAAACCGCGGAGGTCTTTGAACCGGTTATTTTATAAAAATACCTCGGTAGTATGAATAGTATATCGTAATGCTTAATGGAAACGTCATCTATTGAATTAAACGACTTCTAAAAACAGTTATACAATCAAATGATCACAAACTCTCACTTAGAGGATAACAACTGTGTTTTTTGCTGAAAATTGAAGGTTTTGTAGTATTGATCTAATGTAGGCTAAACGCTAAGCCAACAATTACAGCGCATTTCAGTCAGAAATTTGCTCATGCCACTACCAACTAAGTACAATTCACATCGAAAATGCTTGACCCGAGAAAAAGCAAACTGTAAATGTTTCCATTCCAACTGTAAATTCCAACTCGATGTAAAAGTATCGATGGTAAGGAACTAAATATCCAAAGGCTTTGTGTTTCAATATAATTAATTCTAACAAATTTTTACCCTAATGTTGACACCAACATCAGCTCTTGACTATCACACCCACAGTAGATGATTACGTTTATCGTGCTCGTCCAATGACGATCTTTCCACGCTTTATCAATACGTTAATTTTGTTAAACTACTATACTAAAAAGCTTATCATCATGAGCCTTTTCTCGAAGAATGATAACATCGCCTAAGTTCACTTAATAATATAATTTTTCTCTTTATTGCTTTATGTACATTTCAATGATGTGTACAAACACGATATTTTCGCCAAAATGCCTAAAAACTTTTCCGATCATTGCCGTACACGAAACAACAACGATTCTATCATTAATTAGAGTTCAAGTTAACAGGAATATTAATCGAAAATAAATATAAAACAATCTGAAGTTTTTGTATGGTTCTTTATCCTGAACAACGGTCCATGTTAATATTCTTGTTCTTTATTTTGCAGAAATACTATATGAACAATCAACCACCGGCTTTGTATCTGCGCTGGATGTCCGACTGCTACCACTGACGTTAAAATCAAGTACCTGCCGAAACCCCATTAAATCTAGGAGTTATAGGTAGCTCTTCCTTTTGAACTGAAAGAGTGTAATATCGCAGGTCCAAGTAAGGCTCAAAGGCCGTCAACGTAAGGGCACAAGGGCGTTAACCCAATAACAATGATGGTAGTTCTCGTCATAGCAGAGTCATAGAGATGCAAAATAAGAATATTTAGGGACCGCTTGTCCGGAACGTTTCTCATCTTTGAAGAAACAAATTGTGCACCTTCAAGTTGTTTAGGACTTGGCCTTAATAGCTTTATCGATGTCAACCATGTGCTCCTTGAGTTTCTCCCATTGGTCGATGGACAGGGCGATGCCTTTTTTGCCCGGACGCGTTTCTCCATTGCTGTCTTCGTAGTATTCACGAATGTTTACGAACAGTTTGCCTGAACGGTTGAAGAGGTACGTGGATATGAAAAAGAGAAGATAGTATTATAACGTTAGGAGAACAGATCATTATATAATAGCCGGCATATCAAAAACTGAATTCCAATTTTGTTATTACAATTAGGGTATAGTAGACGAGCTCAGAATCATTGCCTTTACCTTTAAAATCACTGACGGAAACTTGTCGCATCTTGCTCAGTTCAAAGGTGTCTTCGGCGTCAGACTTCCTTTTTTTCGTTGGGACGGGGTTCCTATCTTCGGGACCCGAGTCCGAATCGGACAGATCCTTTTTGCTTGGTTTCGGCATTTCAGTACAATCTGTGCGATACTATTTATCTATAACAAAAACAGTGAATCTAGTCAGCTAGTATGTTCATCAACCGAAAGGCACTTTTGGGAAAATAAGCAAACGGTATAAATGTCGCGTTCATGCAAAACGCGCTTTGTGAAGATGAGTCGATGGCCTCCTATTGAATAAAATGGAATGCCCGATTGCGAGTTAATAATAATAATGACAGTAATATAAAGTCAGCTAACCGGTACTGAAATCCACTGGTTTAGACACAATGTTAATGTTGGAAGATCGCCACGCATAAATAAGTGTGCATACATAAGTCAAGTGTCTAATGACATTCGAATATCAGACAAGACAGAGTACTACAAAGACTTGCCAATTTGTTTATGAGATACAAGATAAAAAAGCAGCAGTGTAGCTGCACGACTGTTTTTTTTTTTTTTTTTTTTTTTTTTTTTTTACTGAACCTCTTTAAATGGAGTAAAGCATCGCAACGAATTCAATACCCTAGTCGTTGACTGATAATCATTCACATTCAACAACAATATGAAATATAATACAAATGAAAATTGAATGCACCACTGTATACGTTCAGTTGTCGATCATGCAGGATTCTTGTTGAGCACGACTAACTATATTAACTAAATTGACGATATGAAAGAATAAATCAATATCATAAATCTTTTTTACACATCTCCCTATAAAGCAAAGCTTGTTACCATAGCCACATTTAGCCCTAGTTAAATTCACAGTGCCGGCATAACGTTGTTTAGCTTACGTAGGTAAGAGGACTATATCTGCCAAAAGCTATTAATGCAGAATCTTCTACTATTTATACTTTCAGATCATTTAATACACCCAGACAAAGATGAACCCTTTTGTTGCTATTCAGATAGAAGCCAAGCGAGTAGTGTCTGCGACTCTTATCTACAAATAAGCTCGGATACATTCGCAGCCTTTTCGAACTTGTCAACAGACAGCAAAAAGAAACGATTGATACAACTACTCAGTGGAATCGTACAATTGATTTCTACCTCATTCGGTGTTTTTTTTTTGCCAATTGTCCAGTGAAAAACGCTTGAGCCAATGACCAGTTGGCCTGGTGGTTCTTTTTAGCAGTGCCACAAACTGGTGTCAATCACTTCAAATCGGATTGATAAATACTACGTGACATCCATTGGTCCGATTCGTCCATTTCAGTTATTTGATCGAGATGAGCAAGTATAGTGTCTGTACGTACATCAAACATGCGCGCCAAGGCCCGTCCACTTTGAGATCGGTCGGCTACCATCGCAGAATCCAACTCTTGGTTATTGATCTTCGCAGAAGGTCTTTTACGAGACTCATTTTCACGTTCCAAATTTCCGTGCTGGAACCTTTTGAGCCAACGGCTCAAAGTGTTTCTAGTAGTACATCCTTTACTGAGCACGAGGTTTACGCGGCAAGCTGTCTCCGCTGCCATAGCTATTCGTAGTCTACTTGAATTTTTTTATTTTCCAGGGCTCACCGCAAGTTGCTTGTTAAAAGCCCGAATGATTCCAATGAACGGTCTCAGATGATCACTATAGCTATACCCAAATTTAGTGAACACAAGCCATAATTGTTTCACTGTTGAAAGCTTTTCATATAAGCTTTTTGCTCACGTGAAAGATCCCCATCTTCCCGCTTTCGTATTGGAGTTTCCGCTTTTTTTTTACAGCTACCATACATCCTTGTTTCAATATCGAGAAACTAGAAAATGTTCTAAATTTTTTTGCTTACCCAGGTACTGGTTAGCTATTACTGAATGCACTGCATCTCACCGATAATAATAACTATGATAAAATACGGAAAAACAAGATGCCACGATGAATCGCACGCGAATACAAAGCAAAAATACAAATCACCTGAACAACACATGGCGCGAGCTTGACCTCAACCTCGGGTCAGTGTCTCTTCACATTAACTTTGCTTGGGTCTATTTGATAATCAGTCCATGCTATATTAATCAGTATAGAGGTTTACCTGCTTTCAGATCGACTGTCTCCACGACACGGCAACGACTACCCTCTGTTCAGGCAATGGCAAAGTTAAGTCTGCGCGCCAAACAAACAATCACATAGTATGTGGACCCTGTAATTATGACCGAACGATTTGTCTCACACAAAGCGACTTGTACTAACTAACTGAGCAAATACAGATAAAGACGGACTCGTAGTGGCGCAAAAATGCCGGCCTCTGCCCTGTGCAGGCCCGAAGCAAACAACGGATGACTGCCACAGCAGACGACGCATCGTCGAGATTGCCCAGAATTCTATCTATTAACTGGCGCCAATGGCGGGCTGATCGAAAAGGCGGGAAATGAGATCGGAGATTTCCTAGTTTTAGAACGTTTACGATCATGCCAACGAAAGTAACGAGGCATTAAAATATTAGTAGTGTACTGTATAGTTACTATTATATATTATAGTCGATATTGAAGCTAGGATTTGATTCAGAGAATACGCTATGCTAAGCGATCTCGTCACGTATTTTTAGAAGCTATAGGTAATAATGATTCGTGGTTCAGATCCTGTTTTTAGTTAATTTGCGAAATGTCTTTGTTAAGCCATTGCATAACATCGTACACAGACGCCAACAAGATCTATTTTGCATTATTGCGACTTCAATACAATTTAGACAACTCCGAAGTCTAGGGTACGGATGTCAAGCACTACTTTAGGCAGTTAACTTCCAGCACAGAGTGTGTCTATGCATAGCTTTTAACTTGGACCATCACATATCCCTAAGTTTTGAAAGCTAATATATTATTACTTCGCTGTCACGTAGAGTTCGATATACTTTAGGCCATATAAAGTGAACGTCCGCGACCGCCGGGCAAACTCGTCAGTTGCTTCTAGGGGTTTTCCTATAACTGGTATTGTTCGTAACTATTGTCAAGAAATCTGAAAAGGAATTCAATTATACAAACACATTGATATTATAAATCGGTATTTCTCTTTACCTCGAGAAATTAAAAAATAATCAATAAATCAATTCAAGTCTGTCTGTCCGTTCTCCACATAGAAAAAAAACTAGGGTTTCTTTTCGTCTTCTATCTGTTACCTTTGTACATTCGTCCTTGGCCGAGAACTTCATTTCGCTCACTTACTTAACTTTCATAAACAGTTACACACTAATATCTACGATCGCTTCTGTTTGTATCGTATTATTTTCTAGACAACGCTCCCCGGCCTTAGACTGAGGTCACACCTTCACCTTGGAAACGTCGTTTGAATTCTCACCTCAGCCTTCATTTAACCCTTGCTTCCGTCTTTTATGACACTTCTTGCGTCGATAGAGATCCGCATTTTAGCTTGGCTACCGGCGTCCGGAGACGCGTTGGGTATCAAGGATATTTGTCTATATGTAAAGGTGTGTACATTTCCTCACTGTAGCGTCCTCCAACGACTACGATGAACTAGCATCGTGAAGGACGACTCTTTCGGTCTCTCTCCTTAAATCTCCCCTCAACCCGTTCTATTTATGGGGCGCAATCGACGGCTAGGGACGCACTGTCTGTCTGGGTTATACTGCGCTCGCAGTGTACCGGTCTCGTGGGCCTCCGCTTTGAACGACTTGAGAGCGGTAGCAACCTAATTCAGGTACAGACACCCAGAGCGTCCGCGGACAGGAACCGGATTGTCGGAGCAGAAGGGAGGATAATTTTTCTTCTTTCTTTTTTACCGGTCACAATCCACAGCAGGCCTGCCGCGAACCCTTCCTCATAAAGTATTTACGAAATATCATGATCTCGAAAAACGTCGTTACGATAATCTGTAAACGGGTGCTATGCTGTTCAATATCCAGGTAGTGGCTTTATGTCTGTATGTGTTTGGGGCCATGTTGTCTGCATATACATCTATATAGCCAGTGGCGCAGCGTGGCATGACGCCCAGGTCTAGAAGTGCCGCTAAGCATTTCCTCATTCGAAAGACGAACCAGTGGTGGATGGTCACGCAGCTCAAGTTCATACTAAACTTTCTTTTCTGTTCTGCGGATGGCCATCCAGGTAGCAGCAGAACAGCCGATCATGTCTGCGTCAGAAAACGAGGGCGAGAGAGCAAATACACTCTATTGGTTACAGATGATCAGGTAAATCACCCGGAGCTGTCTTTGAATAGTGCACCGGAGCCGACGGCCTTGGCCTTCAACCGGAGCAGAGATATTGGAGTCTGAGGTGCCTCTTTGCCAGTGGTGATGGCAGAAGTAGCAAAGTTCTTTAAACACATGAAGTTAAGGTCTGCAACACAACCTCGAACTTCAACCCTCAGGGACGGTGAATCTTACTGGGTCAGGCAACAAAAAAATACAAAGAGAAATAGTCCATATAGATTGGTGCTGTCCTTCGTAAGTTAAAGGAAGTGCAGCACCAAAGAAATCGTCTAAACTGTATGTTTTACAAATAAGACTTGCCTATTGGAAGCATACCAAGTGGACGCTTCCCCATCAGCTCTGTCAGACCAGTATGCGAACTGCCATAGACTGCGTATGCTGAAGCAGAACGCGCGGCTTTGTTTCTCCGGTAGCAGGCAGACTACTAAGTACTTCCACTACAACTACTGGGGGTCACCCGGCAGTGCTCCGGTAGATAGGCCAAGCAGGCCCTTCCTACAGCCGGGCGGCTCGCTCTGTCTGCGTATTGGCAATGATAGTTTTTTGCATAACGGAAGTGCACTGTATACCCCACTAAAACTGAAGGTTACAACTGATTAGCTACTACCATCGGTAGTGGTGGGCCATCATTCAGGACTTCTAGCTATACTGTACCAAGACGGGTGGCGAAGAATAGCGACACAGGCAGGGTGGTGTAGTACATACGATATGTATGAAAACGCCGAGTCCAAGAAGAGGCGAACGTACTTTCTATGGAGATCGATTTGTCGTGTGCCGCTTCCTTGTTCGTGGCCGTCTGTGAATGAGCGAATCATGCGACTGACTGATTGTTTTTCAGTCGCTGCCTCAAAAAGTAGCTAAGCGTGTAGGCAGACGCTTGTAACTGAGAACGATCTCTCACAGGGAGATGATTCGTGCGGCAGGGTGTTCCGGTAAAAGTTTTGAATATAGGTTCATGTATGCTTTTTGTTAATTACCGATCACCTTGCCGTTGTCGAGGTGCTTATGGTCGTCGCGAAGAAGGTTGAAAACGATGTGCTTTTCCTAAAGAGAAATTGTCAATAGGTATTGGCCAAATTAATCGTGATGTTACCAATTTCTTATATACCGTAGTTGCTATTATGCACTTCACTGTATTGTAAACACTACCATATATATATATATGAGCTCTTATGATATGGCACAAATAACTTACGTTAAGTTGAATGTAAGGTCAACGAAGTAAATGGGATAAATTCACGACAGGAACGAGCGTGAAGCTAAACTCGTGGTAACGTCCAGTTGTACACTGTCGTCTGAAGAACGCCCACAGTGACTATATTACAATAATATCCATGAATACAAATAGACTTACGCATTCTGACTTGTGTTCCTATTGTAAACTTGTATTGCAAAGTCCAATACCGACCCCCAATATGTCGGTGGATCTCATTTTTATAACAAGCAAGCACTGTGCAACGATATCGCTTATAGAACGCTGCAAAGGCACTGCGTGTGACGAGCACCTGCATTGGATAAATTTGTTCGATGGTGTGCTATTAGTCCATTCCCTTTCGACTCGGTCTAGTCAATTTACATGAGACAAACTACTGGGGCAAATTATGATTTTCAACGTACGTTGAATTTCGACGCATTTGGCATGTTTGACGATCCACGTCATCTGCGACAGATCGGGTCACCACTTCAATTCATCTTGCACAGAGTAGCCAACCGATAGTCCAGCCGGCAGTATCCGCGCGTGTTGTTGTGCGTCTGCCGGTAGGTGAGCAGTTCGTTTAGAGCTCGTTTCCACGCACAGGATTGGCCGTTGCTACGTTTCTTTGACGTTTGTAGATGCGACATGGGTAAGCCGGCGTTACCCCAAAGGAAGATGTTGAAACCTTCTTTTGGTCACACTCTCAAAAATGGAGTTGAGCGTTTCTTTCACAAGACCAAGTTAGTGGTAACTGCTATTTTTTCCGTTTGTTTCCTGAACGTGAAGTGTGTCTTTCAAATGCGTCGTTCATCTTATACGATCATGCGTTCCATACACATCTGCTAGTTCTCTTTAGAAATAATCTATGTTGATCACGTTTAATCGTCTGTGTCACTGAGAAACCCATTAATCACAAGAGAACTATACGCCTCTATTTGTCTATGAGGACAATTAAATCACTAGACTTTCATCAATTCTATCATGTCGGTATAGTCTTCTTCGCTCGTTTCGCCTTTCCGCCAACATAACGCTCATGTTGTCAATCCATCCAACTATCGTGTCCCATTGCTTTAGTAAATTTGTGTTGATATATTACGGTTCCACGCCATGAAATAAATACCAATATCTATTTTATGATGGCATTATGGTTCAAATTCGTCAAATACCCTCCATATAGCTTCATAGCATTGATGAAAATTAATCTTCATATAAGTAGAAATCACACCAGGGTCGCGCTGTGAAACGCAATAGGCGAAAATGGTACGATCATGACGTATTTGACGATTGTGTTAAGTGACGCATAGCCGATGGGGCAAAGTAGTCTTGGCGTGGTAGTTTCCACCCATTGAGTTAATCTAGCAAAAAATTGATAGATAACCAACATGTGGCTTTTTTACGTGGTTTTGCATATTTTCCTATCTATGTATGTTTACAGGGGCATATTTGCACTGAATGACTCAAAGCAACGAAGCAAAAGAAACAAGAACATGCCCAAAGGACCTTGTCGGACAAAGGCAGATAAAACGTTTAAAATTCGGGCACGATCATCGACGAGAAGTTGCTGGGATTACATGACTTCACCGACGGATTTTATAAAGGATATGCGTGTTTCGGATGACGCCTAATACACTGGGAATCGGACGTTCAGCTCTAAATCAAATAACGGGTTGGCGTATGCTTTCATTCGCACCTCCGAGCCCTCCCCATGGTACACCGAAACGACAATTTTGGAGCCCTGCCAGTATGAATGTATACCCTTTAAAAAGCAGAGTCAAGAAATGTAACTTCTCATGGAGTTTTGGCTTTAACATATTGACATGTTTTATTGCTTACAATTAATTTTTTTTACTGGTAGCATATAAGTAGTTGATGATTTAATTTTGGACGCGCCTTTACATTATATGAAATAATGGCGTATATGATCTATAATTTTAGTTATAATAAAAAAAAATACGATATTATATATGCAGCAGAAGAATCACGCGAATAACTGAGACGGTCGAATGTCATGACATATAAAAGAAGTAGCTTTGAGAAATTAGTTATAAGCTATTGCAGCTTTAGAAATACTGGTCTGGAATAGCTTAGTCCCTATCAACTTTTAGACGAACCTTATGCTAGACTTTTGATCTTGTTGGCTTTCTGTATTATGTGATCGTTAAAAATTGTAGATTTAATCAAGATTTTGTTTTTTATTGAAAAAAAGAATTATCATATAGTAATAGTTTGTTATTACTGCCTTTTCAGGAATTAGTATCCCAGACGATTTCCGTGACGCAGTATATGCATACATACATATATTGATACCTCAAAATATGGAAATAGAGGCCAAGTGTTTCGAATTTGTTTTTTACATTCATTCATCCATCTATCTGATTTTAATGCATACTACGTTTGTATTGATTTGTTTGTACATTTCTGTATATAACTGACAACCCGTCCACGAAACTTTTATGAAAACAGAGAATATACGTCTTCATGGATAGTTGTCTCCGTTATCGCAATAAACAACACGAAAAAGTTGTATGATTTATTGTTGTATCAATCCACTTAAATCGAGATTATTTTCGTGTTCATTTATATATATATATATATATAGCTGGTAGGAAGTAAATACTGACTAGACAGGTACACTAGATCTAGTCTTTGTAGTGCATTACGTCTTAAAAAAGAACAAAGGTAACGTAGTTACAGTGATACAGTGTCGAAATGGGTTGCCAAATAGGGCGTTTATATAAAAAATAGTTTTGGGTTTTCGTTTATTGTACCAATCCCAAATGTATAAAAAAAACGATATGCAGCCACTAATTCCAATGCGTATCACTACCATAACTGTGACCGTCATCTTACTGTTTAAACGTAAACAGAGAGAGCTTTTAGTCTCTTATGAAAGGCTCGTCTCTGATTCAATGAGCAAGATTAATTAGCCAGTCTTATACCGATTTTTTTATACCCAAAACTCTATGCATATATATATATATATATATATATATATATATATATATATATATATATACATACATATATATAAAGGTCCGTACGCCCGACTCGATGGGAAGCTGGGCGCACGAGTCCTTAATAGTAATAACATACCTACACATCTATAGCTGACTAGCATTTCCGACGATGGAACTATGGACGAAAGTCTGCTCACAGCGCGCCAACTCGGATGAAGTTGTCGACCGACTTTGTCCATGTTTTGCTTAAGTTTTTCGATTTGAAAACGGCCTCCGAACTAAGCCATTTTATCGCATCTCGTCTAGCCATCCGCTGAGACATCCGCCGGTTGGCTCTCGAAGACACTCTATCATGTAAGTCTCTGAACCCTTCCCTTGATCAGACTGCCTTGAGTAGATTTGTACCTTGCTGTTGCAGCTGGTGTCAGTGCCGCGAAAATATCGAGGACAATTCCACCTTGAAGAACGTCCAGGATATCCTTTCTGATTTGCTGACGGTACGCCTGCCGAGATTCTACCAAAAGGCTGTCTATTAAATAGCACAGAACGGTGAACTACTCTCAGTGTGCTACTTATATGTGTAGGCTGATGCTTTGGAGGCTAAACGACAGCAACTAGGGACAAGCAGGAACAAGCTGGCGAAAGCAAACTGCAGTATTACGGAAGTCGATGATGAAAAATCGGAGGCTCGTTCCTAGAGTAAACGTTTTTTTGTTTCATCTTCTCGGCCGTATTTCCATGTGAACGAATTTTCCCGACACGTTAACAATGCACATATATTTTACGAGAGCTTACCAATAACGTAATTTTTCTATTAGAGCCATAGTTTATCTGGAGTTCGCTAGGTAAAAACCCTTGTTTTTCTAGTACTTTGTGTATTTCTGTGTTATTTCGCTGTTTGCAGTTGCTACCAGTATCCATTATTGTACATGTGCGTACGCAGGCAAGATACAGGTGCGGCCGGAACCAACGCTTGAGTGGGTTTTTGACGCGGAGTGCGGGCCGTGGGCCTATTTGCTGAGTGACGTCGGCAGGTCTGAAGTTTCGGTCCGCAGTTTCAGCCCAACTAACCTTGACTCGTTCGGGCTGGCTGATCTCAACTCGTTTATATCCCTAAGTACATGTTCGTATCTTTTCATTGATAGCACTGGTGCCGGTGAACCAGCCGAAGTAATGGTACTTTGGATCTGGAGTCGCGCGCCCAAGCGAATTTGAGTCATTTGGCTAGGGGCCATGGTGTGTCTTCATGCGTAATGACTTGCTTCTTTGCTTCGTATATAATACTCAACTAGTGTTCTAGCGGTTCGCGCGGGTGAAGCTGTTGACTCGCACAACGCTACGTATACACTCGGTATGGTAGCATTAAATTGATCCAGGTGAGGCCGTAATGGCGGCTGCGCTGATGCCTGCGGCTTTGATAGCGGCAAAGGGTAATCAGTAGCGTTAGACGTTGTACGAACTTAACGTATTCGCGAGCACCCAGCCAGAGATCCAGCAATCGCATTCCGTTCAGGTAAGCGCCGAAAAACACCCCCACAAAAGCGGAAGCTGGTACATGCGCCGGAACTCATGGGGGTTGAAACACCGATAGAGACTATGAACGGTGACGATCACGACTGACAACAAGCAAACATGATCATGGTGTCAGTAAACCTAGTAGTGTCAGTTTCAATGCAAAAAAAACTGGGGGGTCTTTTAGATGCAGTTCCCTTGGATTAGTATAAATACCTAGAGTTAGCTACTTTCAAATACCTACAGACGCCCGCATTTTGGTAGTGTAACAGGGTACGCTTTAGGACAAGGGTTAAGGCCGGTGATTTATTGCTATACAAGGACAGATAGCGTGGGAGTAAGCTTGATACTTGGCGTCAAGGACGGTAAAGGATTAACCGCAGGACTGAGAAACGTATTTGATTTGTGAACATGAAATCTGTAACTGTAGGTAAAAAAGCTGATTGCTATAGGCGGTATCGCATGGGAGATTTAGAGATACTGGTATAGAATAATCTAACCTGAAAATTTTCGCCAGACTTTAAGGAAAATTATAGATGAGTACATCTGTGACTAACTATGTTGATCTACTTATTAGTTTGGACTTAAAAGGTGCACTACAAAACGCTAGAAAAAAACAATCTCAGTACTTGATGGGAGGTACGTGCGTGTAAAAATTGCATCAAATTCCGTTTTAGAAAAATATCATGTCTGAAAACTGTAGGCTTGTAAACTAGTGTAAATATTACCTACAAGTCTGTAAAAATTGTTAAGAGTCTACGATTTGTGTTCAGCGAAGACATAATAAGCTTTAATTAGCGTAGTAGGATCCTCATCGCCAGCATTACTACCGTAAGCTAGGGTTCAAGCGATACGATGACCAATTACTTAAAACGATCAATTCGTTTGCGTCTTTTGGCTGTCATTTTATTTCGCTATCCTCTCTGTCAGTATCCCAAAAGCTCAGCAGAAGAACTGACAGAACAGGTGGCATTTATCTGAAATTACACGGATAGTCACGGTACCAGGTCGTCCGTAAGCAAAATGTTGATCGAAGTTGACACCGTGACATAGCCCAGCTTTGAACCCAGGAATGGTAGCCAATAGTCGCAGAGAATGGAAATTTAGTTTATCTATCACTATCACTAAAATACACCTATTATTAGGAAAGTGGCCTGATTTTTTGGGTCATATCTACAAATGTAAGGTTCACGTCCCGCCACGGTAGCGTTCAGGTTTCAAGCTCCATCCGAGTGTTGTCAAACAAGCTAACTGCTGAGTGGTTAGGGCCAAAGGTAAACGTTGTCATTCCTTCGCGATCTGATAGGCCGAGCTGGTGACGTTGAACATGTTACTACATCAGATAAATATACTGTCGGTATTTATTGTTATGGATATATTACATACGTCTGCCAATATACCTACTGCAGTAGATGACACCGTGTGATACTGACCGCAGCGCAGAAAGACGCAATAAACGGACTCAACAGCAAGCGACATTCGTTTGCTTGCTCGGTTAACTCGTCAATAAGGGGTGACATGATCTGGACGGTTAGAACTCCGCCATATGAAAGGTTAGAACACGTTGTTCTAAACTTTTATATGGTCTGTTCTAGGTAGATAATTCAATGACAGTAGTGTCAGCCCTCAACTGTTAAGCGTGTAGTGGTTCGATAACCTGCTATCACTGCCTTACACTCTGGTCAAGCCATAGAATGGCTAGTTGAATAAGCTCTAATTTATATAACCAGTTCCAAGTGGCTCATATGGCCCGTGAAAGCCCAGTTCATAGAAGTTCCTCGGTGTCGAGTTTTGCCACCGTCGCTGGTTAGGGAGCGGCATCCATCCCGGCGTTTCGGCCCCGAACATTCACAGACAATGGCTGTCCCGCACCTGTCGCTACCGAGTTCCACTTGCTGTCAATTAGTAGCTAGAATGTATGTCTACGCAGCCGGCGCCGCTGTTGACCGAAAACAGAAGCCGCGATTTTGTCGGGAGGGGCTAAATTTTCTGTGACTGCCTCTGAAGAAGACAGAGCTACCAAAATCGACTTCGTGAGGATGCTGAATTGAATGAGTCCTCGTCCCTTTGCCGTTGCTGCCGCCGCTGGCCATCCGACTTTTGCGCTCTCCTCAGTGAAGATAATACGAGTCTCAAAAATTCGACCCATCTTTCTGTCGCGGCCGTGACTATTATAACCCAGACTGACAGAAATAAACAAAGAGTGTTGCCATGAATGCGGCCACAGTTTCGCAAAAATGGTTGCTTGATGGGTCGTTACAGTCGCGCAGAAGCGGAGACCGTGTTTCGAGCGGGCGGTGGGCGTCGTCGGCGTAAGTAGAATGTACGTGTTACAGGTAGCATGCATGAGAAATGAGCGTACTATGATCGTGTCCTGTGCGTACGGGAACGTCTGCGTAACTTGAGTCGGTAAAAAAAACCATTAGGGGATAACGTGATATGCTGGGACATGACCGCCCGCAGTAGCTCTTTCTGTCTGGAAATGGGTGCAGTCAAACCGGTAGCCCTAGGTAGGTACGACTGAACAAATGGGTAGGTGTTTTCATTAGCTTGCTTATAAAGCTATTGTAGACGAGGTAGATTTAGAAAGATGGCGCTTGAATAGGCGAGAGTGGTAGCGGAGAGCAACCGAATTGAGTGACCTTTTTACTCAAAGGTCCATGCGTCTAACTAGAATATTCGTTCGATTTTAAATAAGGCAAAATTTATTTGGCATGGCCAATAATGGTCCAGGGGTGCATTTGTTGTGTGTACTACTATTTATTGAAGCACTTAGGTAATTCTTCATGCTTAAACTGTTTGACTTATCTATATTTTTTAAAGGATTAAAGTGTTAATGCTTCAGTGGTAATACAAATTTGCTTTACTGATGTGGAAGTCTTAGCCGCTACAGCCTGGACGCCGTATCCTTAGTATAAATGAACGCCATAGGTGATAATATATATTATAGCCATATATTATAGCTCAAGTGTCTCGACAAATGATAGGTACGAACGGAAGTACAATTTAACTTTTGCCTTAGGAAAATGATAAAACTTTTAAGAAAATAAATTGTATCTATTTGTTTATTTAGACGACAGCTTACTGATTAGCTAGGTCGTACTCTTTCATATGTTTTTTTTTGAAGTAGTCGTATTGGAGTATATTGTTATGTTCGGTTATATAGTATTGATTTCCTATAGAAAACACGGGTAAGTTGTCATTGAAATGAGCTCAAATACGATAGATATGCACTGATTAATTTTATATGTAATTTAAAGTTAGGTAGGGTATTTCATCACATGAGATCAATGATTGTCCTGTTGCACGGTTCAGTCCGATAGCTTGAGGGCACATCGCCTCAGATTTTACTAAGCCAGTAAACGGATCAGAAAACCCAATTTCGAAGCTTTGCAAGACAAATGCTAACCTGATATACTTGTTCCAGTAGGCAGAACCAGCCAAACGGGTCGTTTGGATAGAAACCTATGATTTTGTTGCTGTTGCTACTGCCACTCCTGTTGAACGGTTCTTTTAGGCACCGAAGACTCTCAAACGTACGCATCCATATGTCGTGTGTTCCGAAGTTTGTCTGGTCACGATCGATGGTCTGCAGAAGCTCGTAAGCCTAACGAGCCTGCTTACTCACCTATTCAAGGTATGGTCTAGGTAGCAGCCCTTTTCTGTCTCCACTCGCAATCAGCCGTATGCTGTCTGTCGCTCGCGTTCTGTATATCGAGAATTTGGATGCTGTTTTTTGTGCCGCTGAAGAGTATTGAAAGTTCCGAGTTACCCTGAGGTTGACGGCCCTCTCTTTTTAACCTATCGAATTAGAGCTTCAGACAAACTCAAATAGGTGTTTGTATTCGTCAATGTTTTTCCCGTAATCATCCATCGTACGATCTGTCTATGCATGGTTTAAGGGTACCGCTGAGCACTGAAGGTCTATAAATGCCCATGAAGCCACGTGTTTAGTTCGGGCGTCTTGTGCGGAGATAACATGTGCGCTTATTAAGAACATCGCATCTTCATCAACACCGTGTGCTTACTACATTGGACCGCTCTCTTGCTACAATATTACGTTTCGTATTAGTGGTATGATTATCGCCTCTCAATTAGCCTTACTTTAGCGTTCTCTTTTTGTTTCTAATAGCCGTAGGCGACAACTACCGTTTCCTACAGGAGCAATGACGAGATCATAGAAATCAAATCGTGCCTAACGATAAACTGGATGTGTACACGTGTCAAAAACAGCGTTGTTCCGACCGGGACATCTTTGTTCACTATAATTGTTCGAAATTAAGACACCTCCCTAAATAATTGATCTATTTGAATGTCTATTCAGACTTACTTTCTCCACCTCTATACATCGTTTGTATAGTGAAGAAAAGGTTCACTAAAACATCATCGGGGTAACTATAATGATTTGTCGCCTTCCGCCAATTGCTTACTGTAGATTTGCGATCAGTAGGAGACCATTTGTACGTGAAGCGAATCGTGTACACTATTACGATCGAGAGAATGTCGGGAGCGAGTCATTCATCAACGAAGAAAATTTCCACCGGATGTAGTTGTTTTTTTTACATTCAATTTATTCAGTTCACCTCGTGAAATTCACAGGGCCGAACTTTATTAATAAGTTGATAATAATTCCGGGTCTGGGACTCATTCATAAACTGAACCATTTAACAGTCACAACACTTTGGGGCTTCTTTGTTTTCGTTTGCAAACTTAAAACTAGGTTTTAGCTTTACAGGCAATACTTACGTCTATCGATAATCGCTAGCGTCTTTCGTTGTATTCCACTCTCAATATTTGAAGTCGTCATGGACGCAGGTGATTGCTCCGTCTGGTCCGGCTAGTCATCATCCTCCGGCGTTTCGCTGAAAATAACCACATTGCACTCGCCATCAACAACAAACGAGAACACCCAACACAATAAACCGTAAAGCCGCACGGCCACAATTACAATCGTAACATTAACACGAACGAAACATATAGGAACAGGAACTTTCGATGATATCTCTTTACGTCTACGATTATCTGTATGGGAATCGGACATGCGGACATCTAACGGAGTCCAGTGGTCGTCAAACAATGGCCAAAACCTAAAAGGTTATGATCCGGTTGAGAAATATCTTTCAAACGCGTCGATAGTATTACGAATTCGCGTTGCATTCTACTTTTGCGAACGCCCCAGAGCCTCGTCCGTTCCCTGTGCCATTAACCGCACAAGGAGCCGTCTCTGATCGTAAACAAGTTTCGCTTCATGCTATCACCGTCTGATAAGAAAGGACACGACCCGGAGACGGACCAAGTAGATGAAAACAAAAAACACGAGAAACATCTGAAAATGCCGAGTTCACTCGTGGCAACGCGACGGCCACGTCTTCTTGCCAGGGCTCCCAGCGACCGTTTAGGGCGATTTTTTGCCACAAACAGGCCTGTTGTTGTTATTGTTGCCGATTCTGTTGTTATCGGTGCAGACGATGATAGCACAAGATGCATGGGTGAGACTTCTCGTCAAAGAGCAGATGCTTTGCGCAAGTTGCTTTATTTCTCTTCCGTATGATGTATCATGTCTTCGGTAGCTAAATAATAGCTCGGAGTGCCAATACGTTTGGTTTACGCGCACGGTGGTTCCATCTGCGCGGTTGGTCGCTTGCCCTACAATATTTCGATATACAATGAAAAATACGAGCGGATCTTACATTATCGCCAATACTAATAGGACTAGCCTAAGCAGCAAAGCGATCTGCAATGAGAAAATGTACGACAGCTAGGTGCTCTTTGTACCTTAGCTTCGTGAGTGTCCTTAATCGAGTATCTCATGTCGAATAGAAGACTCAGCGGCAGAGTGCAAAGGTAGTTCTCTGAGACTATGCCATACGCAAATCATCGTACGACATTATACATGTAACGAGGAGACTTTGGAGGAGTTGATTTTCGCAAAACAAAGACTCAGCACAATCCGTAAATACTGCGGGCATGGTAGATCGGAGCTAGCGCTTATGCTGATTATTTTTTGAGAAAAAAAATCTATGGCAGATAGTTAGCTACCTGAAAAGAGAAGCAGTCACCCCAAACTGATAATGTGCCAGAAGAAATAAACGTACAACTTTTCGACAAGCAGATACTTATTTATCGGAATAAAGTAGAAATATTCGATATATAAACCGTTCCAGTAGTCGGTTACGAGTACGTATATATGTAGAATGTCTCGAAAAAAACGTCTGCACTATTTGACGCATCGTAACTTCCTGATTGTTGTTTATTTTCAGAGTACAATTAATATCAAGATAAACCTCCGACCAATAAAAACGCACTGTTAATTGCTATTGAAAGTATTAGAATATAGCGAAGGTGTGAAAACAATAGCGTAAAAAGCTCCAGGCAGATTTACCATGGGGACTTGCAACTAATGGGTTAATATACAAGTTCGACATGGATGCAATTGTATAAGATATTCGTGGAAAGACCGAGAGCATCAACGAGTGGCAACATTTATTAATAAACACTGGAAAGCTATAGTGAAGCATCGCCAAGATGTCTAAGACAATCAATTGTGGGCTTACTATCAGTAAAAAATGGAAAAAAACGCTAACAACGAAAGCAATTGCACGAATAGTACTTGAAGAAATGCAGCAAGATGCATAGGTACCTGGTGAAACTATATCGAAAGAAGAAAAATACTACGTTATCTTAATAAATGATGCAATTAATACACATAATTACTGATTGGAAATGGAACACCATATGATCTTGAAAAAGTTCGAGTGTTCTGTGACATTTCAAACACACAGGACTCACTGAGCCCTTTTCCTTTAACAGTACAGCAAATGGTGCTGATCACTTGAATTTATTGCGGCAATCTGTCTTACCACGCTTCCGAGACGACGCCAATAGAAATGCCCAATTTTGTTTTCAGTAGAGCAGAGTACCTGTCCACCAGCATCGTTATAGAAGAGCATATCCTGATAAGAGTCTTCCAAATAGGTAAATCAAAGAATATGTTCCACAGAATAGCTTGCCCATTTGCCAGACCTGAAGCTAATGGACTTCCCTTTAGGTGGATGCCCTGAAAAGTCTATATTTTTTGACTTTTGTAAATAAATAGCCCACCGGTATCACCAATAGATTAGCTAGAACTGTAATACTTTTGAACATCTGCAATAGGAGAAAAAGCAACTACATTTCAATCGACATTTAAATAAAAATCGATCTTATATTAAATAAAATTTTTAACTGTTTTAAACAGTAACAGGGAAAAAGTTTATAAAATTTAAAAAAGAAGTTAGACCCTAACTACTAGATACTACTGCTTAACACAATTAAATACAACAAAGACGCATATGTTTATATGTTCGGCGAGATGTACCATAAGACCGAAATTTCCTAAAAACAGCTTATGAGATCTGCGGAAAATAGAGCGAAGCATTTCTTGGGGTCACTTTAATGGCTTCTTAAAATTATTTAACTCTATAACCTATGAAGCTTTTAAAAAGTCCGCCTTCATCCTCTCACGGTCTCAATACGATGCTCGCTGAAATGCACCGCATTTATTCAAACTTCGCAAACGTTTTCATTTCTCTAAGTCTGGGTTGCGTAATACTTCAAGTGATCCGTCGTCATGGATTTATTTCCGCAAGGATGAGTGCACCACAAGGTACATCAGCTATGAGACAAGTTGACTGCTAATTCGCAAGAACCCTTGCCTACTTGAACTTTCGCGCTTGTCCTTCCGCAAGCGATTCTATAGTTCGATCGATATATAGGATCGACCGGTAGATACAATATGAAAAAATATGCCATGTCCTGCTGCGCTGTTCAATAAAAGGAAAAAAACAAAACAGCGTCCTGCTAACGTATTTTCACTCTGTAGCGGCACCGGACTATATGCTCAACGTGAGCAATGCAGGCCGAACGGATTCATTGACAGAAAAGTAATTAGGAGCTTTACCATATTTTGGAAATTGGAAGGGTTTGCGTGAGCTTTTGTCCGTTTTCTCATGCTTCTCGAGGATATCCGGTATTCTAACGAGAGCGAAGTTCACGTACAGCTTTCAATGGTTGAGGTATGATGCCAGAATTTACAGCACCGAACTCCGATTATTATAATTACTCCTTTCCGAGAAGAACGCTTTTCGAAACGATGCCGAAGACTATAGTATCAGGTGGTTTTCAGAGGGTAACGGATTCGTTTTGAACGTACGAGGGTCACGAAATAGAAGGTAGAACTGATTTTTCGTGTTTCTGAGTTACCATCGAATTAGCTCTGTGCAGTACACGCCACTAATAGCGCCATTAAACACAGACCGGCACATCTTCATCGCACGAAATCAATTAATCTGATCGTTAATATTGGCGTTCTGAAGCTGTCACAACACCGACCGGATACTGCATGTGTTCGATAGCCATATCTGATGGTCAGTTCCGTTGGCACTGTCAAGCCACAGAAGGGAACCGCTTTCACTGGAGAATCATGAACAAACAGGCCAAAAAAAAAAACAATATGAACTAGCTGTGCATTGACGGCTTATTAGTCAGACGAAGACACTGATTCGATCTCTATAAACGCATGTCAAATCCGCTGAAAAACAATTAAAGCTTCTAGATTCCTATTTAGGTTGAAACTTCACACGGTGTTCATAGGCTTTGACTGTTTGAAGTTCAGTTTGTAGCGAAAAATGGCGCGCAAGACAGCATAGAACGGACCCGTACCACAGACCCAACGGCTTGCCACTGGCTATGTTTTATCTATACTTTTACTTGTGCCAATCATCGCCATAACAACAAAATTGAGTGATGTATTAATTGTCGATCTCAGCTTTAAAGCTGTGATTACGTCCTTGTTGTTACTACGCGAAACATACGGATCTTGTCGTTCCATACCTTTTTGGGCGTTCGAACGAGGTTAATAAGGTTGGAATTTAGAATTCAATGCTACAGCCAAATCAGAACGACTCTTTCGGAACAAACGTAATCGGCCCTAAGCAAACGTAGAAAGATCTGAGTAAATGCTTTGAGTTTTACATCTGCTACTGCTGCTACAAATACTGCTTTAGGTGACTGGCCCTGAAATCATAACAGACCTTTTCTGTCAGTACCTTTTCACCCTCGCTCAACCTAAAATCTATATGCTTCAAGCTGTTTACCCATATGTTTGATAGAATCTTAGCGAGTAGCAACAAAATGGGCGTCCTATGTTGTTGTCTCTAATGGCTTGAAGCGTTTTCGGCTTTTTTAGTCTTTAATTGTGCATTGCTATAGATTGGTACTGCCATATGCCATCGTACGATGGCCATCGCCGGCAACAATATTTTCATCTGTTGTCGCGCGTTTAGGGCAGAATCTATTCGAGTCAAGACGCGTTCAGGCTCAGAACAGCGAGGCCTGCCAAAGCATGGGATCGTTTGTCCCATAAGCAATTTACGCTTACTAGCTGTCGATGCGACAGCCTTTTAATGTACGCAGAGTATCCTCCTAGAACTTTGTACGGGGTGCGCATATACCTAAATGAGATAGATAGATAGATATACATCGACACGTAACGAGGCGTTGTACCGACACAACTCAAGAAAAAAGCTTCTATATTTCCTTTATTTGGCATCATCATTGGAGACAGCAGCCAGAGAAGAAGCCATTGGGGAGATCGGGTGCCGCGGGTCGCTTCTGCTGCTGTCGCTGGCCCCGAACTAATCGAATAATTTGATTTGCTGAAAAAATCGATTTTCGTGTCCGTTTGGGCTCGCCCATTTGCCCACTAGCCTTTAGTCCGATAGATGATAGTTCGATGTCTCGCTAGAATGACTCGAAAGAACGGGTCCGAAGAAGCCCGTGGGTCTACGAGCTGAGAGCCCTTTCGCTGCTACTGCTCGTAATCTCAATGAGTGGAACTGACGTCAACAACAAACCTGTTCAAGTTCGACTTCGTTGTTGTTGTTGTTGTTAACTGCGGACAGAAAAAAGACGATTTAGTGAAAACGTTATAGATACGCGCGCCGATACCTATACAAGCTAATATTATTTACTCGGATCAAAGATGGCACGAGTCACTTGTCTGTTGTTGCGTTCACGTTCGGCTGCCTACCTATTGCTGCTGGTTACCTAGGCGATTGCGAGGTACCGGGCGAAAGACGTGGATATGAAAGAAGACATATAGCCTTGTTAGGATCTTCAGGTGGTGCGTGAGGCTAGGTTCAAACGACGAGTGATGATTGGATGAACTGACGTTAACTTAAACTAGGTTAAGTTAGGCTTAATTGGCTAACGAATTAAGGATGAACGAGTCGCTGTTTAAGCGACCTGCCCACAAGCTGTTGTCGTCATCTACGGAAAGGTAAGGATGGATGCCCTACTGGGCTGACGTTCCCCGTG